GCTGCTGCAGTGCAGCGGCGGTGTGAATTTACGCTCGTTCGCTCGCTCGGGTCAAGAGGGCAGTTTCGAGGAAAAAAGTGCTTAATTCACTAAAACAAATTCGATTATATATATTTCGGGCTGACTAACGATGTTTCGAGTCGTGAGCGCGTCGAGGCGCGTGAATAAAGCAGCTGACGTACAAGAGAAAAATACACCGAATTTGCGTATGTATACGTATGCCGAGCAAGGAAGAATATTTCGGGACGCTCGCGACGTGTTTCATTATTCGCGCGCGCGCTAGTTCCTGCGTAGCAGCGCAGCGTAGAGCAGCTACGTGCTGAAACGGAAAGATGATGCATAACTCGCAATAAAGCCCATTGAAAGTGCACTCTTCGCGCATACGGCTTCGAAACATATAGTCTTGAAAATCCGATGTACTCTCGGCGCGCGAGACGTTGGCGACGACGGCTCAGCTTGCAAGAGGGAGAGAGCGCGAAAAATGTCTCTCGTCGTGAAATATACATAAGCTGCAGGCTGCATAGACTAAAAAAGCTCGCCGAGCTCTTTCAATCGCACCCCACGCTAGCACCTGCGAAGCAATTAAATTTTCCTCCCGAGAATCGGAATAAAGCGATTCATCCGTGTACACACAAATACAGGCTCTAGCCGGCCAATTTTTGATGAATAAAAAACGGGGCTATAGGGTAAGAAAGAGAAAAAAAACGGGTTTCGTTGGAGAGCGTCGGGTCGAGCGTAAATGAAAGTTTATCGGGATTTTATTCCATATTTACGTATATATACAGTTGGCCGATGCAGCGGCAGTAGCAGCATCTTGTGTATTCTTCCGCGCTTGCACTTTATGAACGAAAAGGTGGAGTAGCACATCGCAGCTAGCTGCAGCCGAGGCCATTACCTCGAGCTATACACCGCTGCTGCCGCTGCTGCCGTTGTTGAGTGCGTATATAAATTTCGACCGCTTGCGCAGCCCCGCATCGGCCGCGTTTATATATATCGAGAAAACGTATGTACGACTCGGGGCATTACATTATTGCTCGCTCGCGTTTATATCGGTCTACGCGATGGAAAATACGTTTTCTCGCTCGTTTTTTTCCGCGGACACGTTTCACCGCTAGCCTCGACTTTATAATTATTCCCACAGTTCTATATACCCGTAAGTAGTGCAGTAGTGAAAGTTGACTTTGGTCGGACGCGCCTCTGCTCCTCTACTAGACTGTTACTGCTACTGCTAGCGAACTGTTTGCATAAAATTTCGAATAGGTAACTCGCAAATTAGACAAAAAAATAGAAAAAGCAGCTCGGTGTGCGCTACGAATTTTGCGCAGCCACGCGCGTTGCACATTTCTCCCTTGATAAATATCGTTTGCTCCGCGCCTGGGCGTTCGTATACGTACATATATAGGGAATTGCGCCGCACGCCCATCTGCGAGTGGCAAAAAGTATTTTTTAAAAATGCACGCGCTCTCCCTCGATATATCGTTCGTTTTCCAACCGGCGGGTTTCGATGTTATGCTTACTTTTTTTTACCTCGCTTTTTCCATCCTTTTTTCACTTTATCGGGAAAAAATGCAATTCCATCTGTCTCGCGTTTATACACGTGGACAGTTATTACAATAGCTCGCGTAAAATTCGCAGATGCAGGAGGCAATCTAGCCTAGCATTTAATCAGCTTAGACTGCCGGATCTATCGTATTTCTTTGAGGACGAGCACGCAGAGCTCTCGCGAAAGATCGTCTACTCGCGCAATATACGCGTTCTCTCGACGCAGCTGAATTATAAATTAGCGTGCCGACGGCACAGGCAGCTGCCGAGCGGCGCGGCGGGGACAGGGGCGTAAAATGAGCTTTGCGCTTGCGATGCGATATGACGACGACGACGCGCATATACGCCGCCGGGGCTCTTGTGCAGCGCCGCACGCCTCATTTGGAGAACGATTCCCTCTCTCGCACTGCTTCTCGCTCGAGAGATGAGTGAGTTTGAAATTCTAATCTGGACGGCTCGTGCTCGCTTGTCCCCGTTTGAATTATCGAGACCCATTAGGAACTGGCGTCGAGAGTCTGTGCGCTGCGACGACGGCGGCGACGATTCAGCCTTTTGTTTTTGTCACATGGCGCCGGCACCTAGTCCGGGTGCGAATCCTCGACGATTCGCCTATACGTTGGCGTGTTGCTTTTTTTTGCCACTCCGCTACTACTTCGACCTGCGGAGCTTCCGTCAAGACGATGACTAACGGATGCGAGGTGCATGCGTAACGAAGAATGATTGACGATGTAACGTGCGAGAGAGCCTGTGAAGAGCTTCCGGCTCGAATTGTTTCCGATGCGCCGAAAGCTCCTGCGCGAGAAAGAGGAAATCGAACTTCCAAATTCAATTAGGATGGTGAGTTGCGCGCACATATTTTTTTCCTCCGGCCCTTGCCGTTGCGACTCGTTCGTGAGCTCGGCCACCGGAAAACTTTTCTAATTGAATTACGATGAGTTGATTACGAGCTTGCACATGCACACACGCACACACACACTTTTCGCTCTCTCTCTCGAATGGAATCAAATTTACTCAGTAACGGAGCTTTAAAACAAAGGATACAATTTACTTAAGGTACAACAACAGGAGCCGCTCGCAGAATCGCCCGGCGAATACAATCGAGAAAAAAAGCGTATCTCCTATCCGGGAGAGCGACGAGAGCTGTACGTATATCACGAGGCAATTATTCGAGCGCCCTGATAATTTTTCAATGTAAATATAATAAGGCCAACTGAGAGGACATCGGTACGCGCGGCCCGTGATCGCCTCGGTCCACCACAAAAGCGGAGATGAATAATGCAACGGCGGAGCAAATTACCACGGAAACTAGCCCTCTTCTCGCTGTGGTCCTCGCATACGCCAGACTGATATTCCGAGTGAGGCAGCCCTAGGACAATAGTGTCGGTATTGTTCGCTTCCACGCAGTGCTGCGCCGTCGCCGCTATATACATACATCTATGTATATACGAGCTGTACTTGTGTAGCTTTGTAATAGTGCTCCGTCGTATTTTACATGCGGTCCAAGCGCCCAAAGAAGCTATCTTTTTCTTCTTTTCCTGCTATAACGAGAAAAAAGTCATATGCGGACGAGAGACTCTCTCACGAGCACCAACGTGTATTTTACGCTAAACTTAATTTTCGGCTCTGCGGGAGGCTAAGAATTTTCACAAATGAAACCTTAAAAATTTACAATATTTCAAAACTTTGCGTGTAATTTTAAAGAAGGATACTTTTACGTGCTTTTAAGTTTAGCTGCATTACTATATCAAGAGTTCGTGATTTGCAATAATTTTTTCTGATATTTCATGTTGATATTTAAAATATATCCCATCAGAGCTTGAATTTGCTACAATAGCTCTCATTACTCTTTTTCCTGCTTTCCCTTTTTTTTTTTTTTTTAAATTGAACGTCAGTTTCCAAAAATTTGTAAACCAAACGAACGAATTTTATCTTCTCGTAGCGTCGCTGTCAGACTGAAATGTCCGAAAAAAAAAAATTGAATATAAAACCGGGTGCATACCCGGATGTGATATTTAATAAAACGTAAAGTAGAGAAAAATCCGACGCCCGCCAATTTCCGAGGTTGCGTACATACACGGAGATTTCGTTTTCCGTATCGCTCTCGAGTTGTCGCGCGATATCGCATACGCGAGTGTATTTAAAGCGCGGGAGCGACGATTTGCGTTGTTTAAATGCGCTCGTCAACGACTCGTCGAGCGATCCGTGTATTTTAAAGCTCTTGGCGAATTTGACAGTTAATGCTCCTAGGTTCTCCCTGTGTCGAAGGGAAAACAATCAATTTCGTGACTGAGCATGATTTAATTATATGATCGTGACGGCGAGTAAACGAGTAAACGAGCTGCTCCAAGCAATTCGGGGCTTATGGCCTCTAAGTTTATTTATGCTCATCGACGCGCGCATGTCAGCCTGTTTATTTTCTTTTAATTTTTTTTTCTTCGTTCATGCACCATAGTGTCCCAGATTGTTTTGTCTTTGTCGTCAGTGGCATGCAAACGACCAGACTTTTGTAGAATCGTAGAGACCATAATTGGCCTTTTTCAGATTAGCTCTCGCTTCATTGCTGCAGCTTACCCAAGCTATTACGACGGAGATTTCGTTATAATAGTCTGGCTCTTTTTTTTTCTAAACTCCAAGATCCGACGATGCTTTTCTCTCTTCATTAGTTGCGAGCCTAGCGTATATACCATACGTAGGAGCGGGCGCACGCTCGGCAAATTAATCACTCCCACACGCATTGCGCGCCCGCGTGGGTTAACGGCCTTCTAATAACATAAAGGATGATGATGAGGCCAGCGGTAAGCTGCTGCAGCGGCTTTCTCTAATTGCCTGTATAAAACGATTAGATTATGATAAGCTGCGAGCGACTTGCAATCCGCCTCCGTGAATATTTGGAGCCTTGCGAGCGAAAGCTTACCAATCGCTTGCGACCTGAGAAATCTTGTTAGAGCTGCTATATGCCATAACGAATGTGCTCAGGATTATCTTGACTAAAAAAAAGAAGAAGAAGAAAAAATTGTCTGCAAAATATCCATAGTCGCAATCATATTGATCGAGAGCATCGCTGAGTACGTAAAGCACACAAAAAGAGTACAGGAACTGTAAAAAGTATCGAGGAAGGAACTCATTCTCTAGCTCCACTCTGTAAGTTGATCGCGTTTGTAGCCTACTTTGAAACAGTTGCAAGGTGCAGAGAATAATAAACGTTTATGTATACTGTAACTTGTAAAGTGCAAGTTTCCAACGGGCAAGCTATATACTTTCAGTTATGTTATGGGAGGAAAAGCTAAGATTTTCTCGTTTGTTGCCGAACTTTTTTTCAATTGCACATATCAAATGATCAATTTACGCTGGATTTATTGTTCAAGAGGTTGGCTTTAATTGGTGAAAATTGTAGGAATATGTAGGAGAACGGGTGAGGAGGTTTAATGAATTAAAAAAACGTTTCATTTCCTCGATAAGGTACGGTACATATGGTTTATTTCGTATCGTTATACACATTCATATAGTATTTCCATCCATCTTTTGATAACCAAACAAACATTCGTCTATTAGAAATAGAAAAAAGTTTTTATTCGCAGCTAAGGGTTTTTACAATTAACGTTACATTAGTGAATTATGGAGATTCGTACATTTTGTGCGCATGAAACGAAGCTTTCATTTAGAAAATTTTAAAGTCAAAATTTACATCACAATTATGTGTATGACACTAACATTTGCATTTAACCATTTTCAGTTTACTCTGCATTATTTCTAAAATATCACGATTCACGTAGCGTATCATTACTTTATAAAAAATGTCTTTTAACTTCGACTATTCGCAATATCACATAAGGTATTTTCTTGACAACAAATACGTATAATTTTTCGTAAAGATTCAACTAATTATATCGTATTTTTGTTACATATTATACCTATCAACATATAGTAGAATTAATTAAAATAATTGGCAGTGTTTCGTAGAGATGCTTTTAAAAACTCGCTGCTTTTTTGCTCTTCACCTTAGGATTGGCAGTGTAATTAATATTGTACTCGCTGTACTGGAAGAAATCAATTGTGCTGAGGTTTGCAAGCGTTCGATTTGTGTGCGCGAACTATGTGTATGTGTGCCCGCGCACGTGTGTGTGTGAACTAAACAAGATCCTACGTATCACATTCGATTAAAAGTTGCGATTCTTTAACTGCAGTCAAGGCTTTTTAAGTGAAGGAAAGGGTTGTTGAAAAAGTAAAGTATCGATCGGTTATCAAAGCTTTGTATTTTCTGAATATTCATATTAACGGGTACTGATAACTATGCATATTTTTCGGACAGCCAATATTTGTTTGTTTTTGCACGACGACGAGAGAATTGAAAAACATCGACATTTCTTATCCATTTTTGTATTTATAACATTCATACACGACAGCAAACATGCACTGCATGCGACACAGTGATTATATTTTAATTTTATTTCTCTTTAAATAAGACTCTTTCGTGTGGCGGGAGGGGCAGTTTGGAGTCGCTAGAACTACCTCACGCCGAAGAAGGTGGCTGCCGACGAGACGACAGCCCAGAAGACTAGCTGGCGGCCATCAGGAGTATTGTCGCTCGCAGCTCCCGTCTGAGTCAATACGAGGGTGTAGGTGGCCACGCATTTGTCGTAGGAGCGCTGATTGAGCCGAGTGACGGCGCAGAAGTGACGCAGCGCGCAGAGACCGCTGAGAGCTCGGTCGCATCCCCAGATCTCTTCGATGTCGCGCGGTAATGAGACACGATTCGCCTGGTAGTATCTGCAAATGCACATCATGTGTATACATCGGTGTAGAAGGCAGCGTGTAAAATTTCACGTGCGGTTCGACGTCGACAAAAAAGATATGTTAATTAATTTTTAATACAAGCAGGCAAATTTTTGCGTAAAAGTAATATATCACTGTGAAAAAAAAGAGCCAAAGTCAAAAAACCTCAAAGCTCGTGCGCGTGGCGACATTATATGCTTCAGATAAATTTACTTTGAGTTTGAGCTTGCAAGCGCATAATTAGCTCTGTGCGTAAGAGTGTCTACGTGTGTACGTGTGAGCTGATACGCGGCTTCCGTTTCTCTGTGTGCGCCACGTATAGGACGCCTTTTCAGACGACGACGACGACGACGTCGCTCTCACAGACAGCGACACTCGGGCTCATTTCATCGTTTTCACGAGCGCTACTCCTCTTTTTTGCTCTGCTAATTTTTGCTTCAGTTTTACGCGCGTGAAACGTCATAATGTTTACGTTCTAGAGGCTTGCGCTCAGCTTGAGCTCTCTTGTGTCGTTACCCGTACACAGTGCGAGTATATACACATTAGCGCGCGCGGCCGTGGGGCTCTTTCGAAAAAGTACCGTTATTTTTACGGCTTACCCTTTGCGCATTTTCTTTTTATTTTCGCCGGATTCGGTCAAAGCGTTAAAATAGAGAGTTTTATGCTTGCTTTCGTGGCGCGCGTGTCTTGGCCAATTTACCTTTGATTCTCGATGCACTTATATATACGTATACCTGCATCTCTCAACGATCGTAGCGTAGAAGCGAGTACAGTCAGAATTCGCGAGTCCGGAAATTGTCATACTTGGTCGATAAACGTGTAATTTTCACTCAAGCTCTTGCGCAAAACAGCTTGCACGCCTCGAGGTTTAGAGCGCCGCGAGGTTCACGAGCTTAAAACTGTCTTTTTCCTTCGAGTACCCTCGAGGGGAATTCACCGCTGCTGCTCTCCAAATGCGTCGTCTCTAAATGCCACGTACATATAGTGCGTGTAATTTTTTCGCCTCGTTCTAATGACCGAACGCAATGAGTTATGAAATGTTTCTCCCGCACTCGTTCGCACAAATGAACCAGGCGAGCTAAAGAGCAGCAAAATTACGCTCACGCCAAGTCGCGCAATTTGCGTGAAATTTTGTTTAAACGAAGCGCGAGATATTTCGCAGGTGTAGTGTATACGCGGAGCTTTTATGTGCAATTCATATACAAACCTGGAGAAAGCATGATTGTTGGGCTGGGTGAATCGATCGGCGAGATCGTGCAAGCTCAAAGCCGAGACCTCGGCCAATTCGTAATGTTCCCTCAAGTTGTATTCCAGGCGCCAATTCGTACGTTTGCCGAGATTAGCTTCGGCCAGGTTCAAATAGTACTGCGAGTAATCCAACACCTGCGGCAACATTGCAATACACGCACGCTGCAGTATACACGAAGCATCCATCCTCTCGCTCGCTCGCTCACTCACTCAGTCACTCTCTCTCATTCTCTCAGGCTTTAGACTTATCGCTCTGTATAAGGTGCCGCGTCGTGCATAGCTCATACAGACTTCTCTCTCTCTCTCTCTCTCTCTCCCTCTATAGGTGAAGCGTAAGCGTTCAAGTTTACTCTCTACTCTTCTTAGTCGGTCGTGTCAAATGAGTAACTGCTACGTCCGGGGCTTGGCTTTACAAGCTCGCGTTCGCGCGCGCGCGCGAGACTGAGCGAGAAACTTATTTCATCCTCCAGCGAAGTTTCAAATACGTTTAAGCTCCAGAGGGATTGAAGCCCGATGTGACAAAAGAAGTACGCGATCGTATATAAGGGGCGAGAGCATATAATTGACGTCACAGTCGATTGTTTAAGGGTAGATTTGCAGTAGCGAAGAGGAAATTGATGCAAGAGCGGCAACCCGAGCTTTTTCCCCGAATACTATGTAAGCAGAGGTATTAGGAAGCTTGCATACACGCCACCTTGCAACACAGTGCGGCTGGAGACAAGAGAGAGAGAAAGAGAGAGAGAGAGAGAGAAGATGAGGGAAAGAGAGAGCAAGATTGGATCAAGTGCAATGAGAAAAGCTGAAAAGACTAAGGCGGATTTATGAATTGATGAATGAATATTTCATCGTATTGTCGAAGGAAAAAGTGGATGATAGAGAGCTACGGAGGATCCTTTCTTGATAGGGCTCGTAGATGAGGATTTACATTATATGGAGCGGATGTATATATGCACGGCGCGGCTTTTATGATGCATGCCATCGCAATGCATACAATGCATCATTTTAGCATCAATTTTCAAATGACTTTTCGTGTTCCAAGCGGCTCAGGGTAGTTATTAAAAGTATCGATTTTCCAGCTTATGCACAAATACACACAAGTATATTACATAAAAAGGCGCATTTTACAACTTGGCGCACGTTATAAGATACGATGCTATATATTACCTCGCCGGAATCGATATTGAATTTGTAGAGCCTCAGTCCAGGATTATTTGGGCCGCCGGGTCTGTAGGGAGTGATGCTCGGGGAAATCATTATCCACGACACTGGTTGATCTGCAAATTTATAAATGGCCGACGTTGTTTCTTTATTTTTTATTTTTCTTTTACAAAAGGAAGCGACATTACGCAGGAAAAAATAAAAAATAAATAAGAGTATTTGCGGCGGTGAGAGTGCAGTGCGCCGCAGCGCGCACCGGACGTAAAAGCCTCGAATCACATTACGTGTGTATTTTGTATCCTTTTGAAGTTTTAATGGAACGAATTTTTTCTTTGCGTTGGCCTTTTCACGACTGAATTACGCGCTAATGTGCCGTGGAATTTTTTCCACATTTATCTTGGTTTCCAATGAACCATCTCATCACGGACGAAATTAAAACATACATGTCAAACAAACGCGGGAAATGCATCCGAGCTCGTCTCTGCACTCGCGATATGATCTGCGCTCTTTGATTAAATTTACTCGAATTGCGCTTTGTGATTAAATGTAACAAATTAAATATAGTTAGCATTACGAATGCGGCTCACTGTTATCGTCGTAAACAATCCTGAATGTGTCCGAGTGCCAGTGGCCGAAAAATTGACCTTTTATGATGTTGGAGTACTGACGCACTACCTGCAAGTAATGCGCGTTGTGCTCGTCGCTCAGGCCGCTGAAGCCGGTGTTTCGATCGTCGACGCCTGGCGGTGTGTGACCTACTATGTAGACCTGCATAAACAATAGAACGTCCTCGTCGATATTATATGAGCAGCAGATTTATAGAAAAAAAAAGGGAGCGTCAAAAGCAAATGATGGGCCACGAGAGGGATCGAGTGAAAAATCATCGTTTCGCGCTGGCGCAATATGCAGGTGCACACGGTGAGTTAAAAGCTTCCGTCTGTGTAGCGACGCCGGCCTGGCGTTTAAAATTTATTACAATAAACTCGGAGTCGATACGCGAGCGAACGAACAAAGGCCCTCCTTTCTCGTGCGGCGATGCAAAAAAGATGTTACTCCGATACGATTATTTAATGGATCTTGCCAATCACGTGAAGCTACTCTCGCTCGACTGCAATCGATACACACGGCAGACTCGCACAGCTTCGGGGTAAATTCCCGTAATTTTTTTCAAGGCTTGGCCATTCCTCGAATTAGATTCCATGCGTGCTCTGCTGCAGCGCAGGTCTGCACAGACGCTCTCTCGTTGAGCAATTTTCGCTTCGTATATCCAGGCTCACGCACAGATCTGAAGGCTGCTGCTGCTGCTGCTGCTGCTGCTAGCTGCACCATCATGGCAGTGTGTTACAAGCTATATTGTTAAGCCCTGTCTGTAATCAAAGACCCGTGTGCTGAGCTGCCGCCACCACTGCTGCTGCTGTTCTATCTCTTTGTGTCACGCGCGCGCGTGGGGAGCCGCCTTTCGGATCGAATATTACGTATATGTAGTATGTACATGCCGCGCTCATAGCGATCATTCGCACAAACGCCGCGCAAAATATCGAGATAATTGTTTCAGTCCTTATCGCTCTCGACGTCGAAATTGTTATTATCAGGCCGATAACCGTTTTGGATTGATTACTCGCCAGCAAGCCTCGTGCATACATCAATAGAAACAAGAACAAACGAACGGATAAAATGAACATCAATGCGATACGTCCGTGTATGCATCGTAGATCGATTCTGGGCCCTCGGCTTAGCCGGATATCTATCGAAAATAGAGGCTCGAAGCGAAAAGAATACACGTGTGTCAACTCATCGAGTAAATTTATCCTCTTCAGCGAGACTCTCGTATGTACACAATCGCTTGCAATGAATGATGCAATGACAACGGCTGACACTGATTAGCTAATTTTTTTTCTCATTTACCATTCGACGCCTGTTTAACTCGACAAAATTAATTTAGTCAAGCGTAAGGGCACACTCGACCCATCTGCGAATTGGAATTATGCAGCTGCTCGAAGGGTATTTAAAGCTTGCGCGAATTTATTATATTTGAAGGAAAAAGACTTTGAGAAATAATAATGAAAAACTTACGATTTTGCCAGCTTTGCTGGCGTTGTGGAGGACGGAGTCGAGCCATTTCCATTGGCCGCCGGGATCGGGATCCGTCGAGGCCGCTGCCTGGGCCGAGTTACTTATTGAGCGCTGGTAACCACTGCTGGCACCTGTGCGAGCCTCGACATTTGCCCCTGATGAATAGCCACTCAGCCACAAGTTCGTATTCAACGAAATGATCTGGTAATTTTTCGAGCGCTGTTCAATCATGTAGTAGCCGTCTGACAGTTCCGAGCGAATGAATAGCAAGAGAGAAAAAAATAATGAGGTTTATTAAGCTTTTGTCGACAATTGCACTCTTGTGCTTATTTTGCTTCTTCTTTTTTCATTTTATCGATTGTGAAATGTGCTAGTAATAATGTATCACTTTGAACCCCCCAAGCTTGCTTTAAGCTTATGTTATAGCAGAGAAATATTTTAGCAGCGAACTAAAACATTTTTTATTCAAGCTGTCATAAGGTTTTTAATTGTAAATATAAATGTCTGTCGCGAATCGCGTGAATTGCGCACGATTCATCATCGGACGCAAAATGCGATTTATTATCTTTTGCAGTCTCGGAAAAATCATAGTACTTTTGCCATTATTAATCACGCGTAAAATTGTACGATTCAAAGGGGGGGCAGAGGGGAAGGCAATGGCGAGATGTATAACTCACATTCCCGAAGCGTAACAAGTGCCTCGTCGGGCAGCCAATTGCTCCAGAGACTCGCAATCTGGGATAAATTCAGGAGTCTAACGTCGTCGTGGCCCAGCACCGGGAAGATAAATTGTCCCGTGAACGTGTGCGACAAGAGGTCCGTTATGTTTTTCAAGTACTGCATTCTCAGCTCCAGCGGCATCTCCTCGTCCCTGGCCAGCGCGTCACTGTTTCACATTTCATTCGCATTATATTACAGCTCCGGCTTTTATTTATTTTTTCTCATTCTTTATTTCAGCCAGCTATATAGGCGGTAGGCGGCAGCGAAATTGCCAAACATACCCGGTCCAGAGTACGAATTCGATGCTGTCGAGATGGATGCCTTTCATTGCCTTGGCAGCCGAATCGACGAGTGCCCAGGACGAGTCGCAGTCGTAATGACCGTAAAGCCCGCCACTCGAGCCCCGTCCATTCAGCCGGCTCAAGTGTCCCGCGCCGCCGTTGCTCTCCTCGCTGCCTCTGCTGTTCAAACATTCTTGTTCATCGAGAACAGGAAAAAAACGAAGAGATGAATTTACCGGATAATAATAAAAGTATGAGAAAAAAAAGAGGAGAAATAGCGAATTCGAGCTTTTGTGCGTATAGATATATACACGCACGGTTGATAGCACAGGCTGCGCGCGGGTGTAATATTCCTTCAAACTTGTATACACGTGTACAATATACGCACATATAGCTACAGCTCGTACACTCGGCAGTTATAATAGACTCTCCATTCTTGTCGAGAAAAACAAGATGACATTTTTTTGCTCCTCTCGTGTACTTCTGCATTTTGTCTTCTTCCCTTAGCCTTCTTTTTCATTCACTCGCGGAAATTCTTTGAGTGCACCCAGAAGGCGCGCGATTGTGTATGTAGCTACGCTATATCGGCCCGTACGAAAGCCATTTTTCTCCCTTTTTTTCTCTTTCTCTCACTCTCTCACGCGCGAATTCGCGAGCAGTTTCCGCGCGCGCGCTACGCAGCACCGGCGTGGATTCTTGCGATGAGCTTTTTCCGCGCGCATCTACCTACATGCATGCATTCATACGGACGTTATAGTGGCACGCGCACGCCTCGTGCAAAAGCTACTTCCAACATTTCCAGCGCAGTTTGCGAATTCGCGATGAAAGTTTCCATCTTATCGCGAGCGCGCACGGGAGAGAGCTGCGAGCTGTAGACACGAGTATTCTCCCATACATATTCTGTTATCCCCCCCGCTGCCGTGCACGTTAAGTACTTGTACGTACTCTCCTTCCTCTCGTGCGGTACGTGCAATTTGTCGAATTTATTTTTTGTCGGATTTCCCTGCGAGACACACGTGAGCTTTCGTGTTATGTATAAACGATAATTGATGCGCACGTGGCAAGCGTCGCCGAATATCGTACATGAACGAAGCTCGCCCGATCGATTTCGATGCATTTTTCAATTCTGCGCCTGGCCTTGTTTCGGCGCTCTCGACTTCGCTAAATGCTGCATATACGTTTCTATACTCACTGCTTCCATCGCCGTTGCTCTGGATGGAGTATGTCGGATCGTAATGGATGTCACCGATGTGCCAAAAATACCCTGCAACAAGTCCAACAGAAGCTTTGCTTTATTTTATCGTGTATCGATCGTGTAAGCGAGTGGGAGGTAACACTACTTGCCTTCTTTACAGCTTACTGTGCAAAGCCACGAGAGCAGCACCACGTAATCGCGAAACATTTTTAATTTTTATTTTCTATCTTCCAGCTGTTCTTGGTAACATGGTACATAACCTGGGTACATCCTTCTATAACCTTCAAGACGAATTCTTACCTGATAGCTGTACAAAAAAATTTTTTTGTTCATTCAAATATTTCGTGATAATAAAAGTAATCAAACGACAATATTAAATGAGATGCTAAACCTGATATAGAATAGAAGGCGTCAAATTTTCATAAAGATAAAAAAAATTAAACCTCATATTTCAAATGGAAAAAATAAATCTACATAGCTGTCTTCTAGGTGAATAGTTCATCAAAAGCGCAAAAGCCAAATGTCAGCACTCGTCGAGCTACCAGAACGAGTCGGAAAAAGGGAGAGCTAGCGAAAAAATTCGTTCGTTGACCGACATCTCTTTGCTTGCTAGATTCTTTGAAAAAAAAATATAGCGTGAAATAAACTGCCAAAGCCGAGGATTATACCGAAATTCGATATCGCTCCCAAGGGGTGAGTTTGTCTCTCTCTCGTTCTCTCGTTATCAAGACAAGAGAGAGAGAGAGAGTGACTGTGCAAGTTGAGCAAGGAATATAATTTAAGCCCGGGCGAACGCGCACGGCTCGTCTTAGAGACGCGGCTCTCTGTGCTTGAGCAAACTATAAAGGCCCGTAATACGTGTGTATAGATATCTTAGCTGCGCGCGCGAGAGAGAAGGAGATCGATCGGCGACGCGTATCCGCTTTGGCGCGCACGAGCTTGTCGTTGGATTATAATAAATAGGTGCGCGCAAAAATTGGAAAAAAATGATACCATCTTCGCACCGTTAAAGAAAGTTAAGCGAGGAGCTTTTCTGCGCGCATTTCAGCTTGGATCAACTTTGAAACTACTCCTCCTGCTGCGCCGCCAAGAGAGAGAAGAAAAAAGACAGTCGACTCGGCTAGGAAAGAATTTATTTACATATCCGAGCTTGCGACGGACGCTCGCGCATACGTGCGAAGAAAATCTAATAAGACTCGAGATAAGTACTGCGATGCAGCGTTGCTATATACTTGACTGTATGATGTACATCAAAAGTTACGCAGCTAGTGTGAGAGAAAGGACGAGGGAGAGAGAGAGAAGCGCCCAGGCAAGCAAGCGTGAGTAATAACCGCGCGCGCAAACAGCTATTTCCATAAATCAAGCTAATTTTCTGCCTCGCTCGTACGTGTGCCGGTGTGCATGTACGAACTCGTGTGTGTACCTGATAATGAATATATGTAGGATATTAGCGAGTGCGTGGCGAGCTTTTGAGCTTTATATTATTGGATTTACAAGCGAGTATTAGGTGAATAATGCGCCCTCTGCAGTGCATAGATGCAGATGGCACTTTATTATACAGCATACATGCACACACACACACACACACACACACACACAAACAAGTTGAGTGTACTAGTTTTTAATTACTATAAGCAACGAATTGCCTTGTAGTCACACACGCACGCTAGAGCTTGCAGCACGTTCGTGCCAAGACACAAAAGCTCGCTGCGGTATACTTCACAAACGGCATTATACGCGTGGATAACTTTTTCTTTTTTTCTGCCTCGGCTGCATTCATTATTCCGTCATTTCTCACTTGCGCTGCGCAGCTCTATCTTCGCGCGTTGCTTAACTTTGGCTGGCGCCACGAAAAAGAGGCCTTGACTCGACGCTTTGAATGCGCCTCCCTTCCACGTGCGGATGCGAACGTTCAAAAGTACCAACGTATTATGATTCGCATAATGAGTGTGTTTGCTCACGTATGAGTCATACAACTTACATCGCGTGCGAAAAATTAAATATTTTTTCTTTTTTTTAATAGCCAAAAGTTTCGCTAATTGGAGCATAACATTTCCGGAACTTTATTGCGCTTGAACGATGAAATGCGGTTTTTCAAGAACTTTAAACTTCCCGCTTTTTTACGTGTTCGTGTACAAGTAAACGAGAGAGAGAGAGAGCGCGAAAGAAAAAATCGTGTATTGTTGCTTGCAGCTAATAAAGAAGACGAAAAAAAAAATCCCAACCTAATAATCTACTTAGTGCGTTTAACTTTCAGGCGTTGAAAGTCACGTACTTTTGGGAAATTTAAAAGAAAAAACGCATCACGAAGAGCGTAAACGTTGAAGATTGAAAGGAAAACTGATGGTCCATTGGAGTCTCGAGGCTGCGATATATAGCTCGCAGCAGCCGAAGCAGCCTAGCGTGGGAGCTGATGAACGCAATATGAAGGAACTCGCTCGCACATAGCAAGTGATAATAATGAAATTAGAATGTAATAGGGTCTCTCTCGAAGCTTAACTGATTCTCCCATGGCGATGAACTCGGGGGATTTATTAGTCGCGAGAGTTGCCAAAGGAGATTGGATTTTTGCCGTTTCCCGTGCTTAGGCGGAAGAGTCTGAGAGAATTTCGCAACTTATTACCTCAATGATCACACAGCATTTACCTAACGAAGAGACAAGAGAAATATTTTTCAGCGGAATTATTTATACTGCTTCAAAAGAGCGGAGCAACAAGTGAATACAGAGGATTTAATTCTACTTAAACGGAATTTCCAAACGGTTAAATCACACAACGAAAGCTCGAAGCGTAAACTTTAGGAGAACCTAGAAAAAGCCGGGGAAGCAAACTTGATAATTTATATGAAATCTTGAGGAGCGTAAATCTTCTAAGCATCGTGGGTGATTCATTTTTCCCCCAGAGTGTTGCAAAAAAACTCTGTAATTCATCCCGTAAGAGTGAGCTTGCAAATTAAGCTCCAGTACGTGCGTGACGAGGATAAACATCGATAGTTTGACCCTGCCTCGCGTTAACCGCTCATACACATCCTAAAAGGTCATGTTTATGCGCGTCGTATGCATGCACAATGCACCCCTGTCAGTATTCGTTATACCTTCTTTCTTCGAATACAAAATGGAATTTGATCTTGGAATAATCAAAAGCAAGCTATAGGCTAATCGAGCAAAAAAGAAGGAATCAACTATTTATTCGTTAAATGAGCGAATGAAGAATGTCGCCCGATGATATAATTGTACCAAGTACTCGAAGAAGGGTGCTAAAAGTAATGGAATAAGCACACACACACACATACATACTCCATAGGGAGGTGAAAGTTTAACGTGCAGTTTCGAGCGCGATACGAACGATAAATCGCCGAGCTAAAGAAGCTAAATGAAAACGGGGGTCCAGCTCGCTCTCTCGCTCTCTTTCTCTCTCTGGCAGCGACCAACAGCACTTTTTTACCGGATATTTACTGGACTTTGCTTGAGCGCAGGAATGAAACTTTGGTGCTTTGCGCGAGTTTAATTAGCGGATGGCAATAATAGAGCTTGGCCGCGCGCTCGGCCTAAGCCCGCTACGTTTCAATTTTCTCCGCCGTTGGAGACTTTTTTCCTATACTTGCCGCGCACTTCTTGCCTCCCCGTTGTTATGTAGACGCCAAACTATAGTATACAGTCGCACACGTGATACATGTAAACCACGTATTATACAGAGAGAAAATATTTTTTTTCTCGCTTTTGCTCTTTTTGTTCGCGAACGTGTCTCTTTTGTTTTCCATCAACTTTTGCCGTCGATGGCAGTGGCTTGTTTTCGTTTTTTACCTTTCTCTTATCTGCGCGAATGGATTTTGATATGTACACCGGAACAATACCCACACGAACGTAAACTCGCAACACGTATAAGCTCGGCGCGCACATCCACTCGGTGCAGAGCCACAGGCTATTGTTTGTCAAGTTTACAGTTGTGTATATGGGCGACCGAGAGATAGACGCTCTGCTGCTTTCATCGGGCCATATATATGCATAGCCCGAGTGATATACAACGCTTTAATTTACCGATAGATATACATAGTATTCGAGAGTCGTCGCACAGCAGCAGCAGCAGATTTCCGTGTGCATTAGGTCGATGGAGGAAAAAAACACGAGCAGTGTAGCGAGCGTCGATTTCTTGATTACTTTTCGTAGATTATTCGCTCGGCAGACAGAGCGGACACATAATATATTATGACTGAGCTATACGCGCTGGACGTTAAACAAAACTACTTGGAAACTTCATCGACGAGCCCGTGTATGTGAGCTAAGTTCCAACTCGATCTAACGACTTCGCGAGGCCGCCGCCGCCTCTGTATACCGCCCTGTTGTACAGCTCAAAGGTCTATATAGATATAAATTGTCCCATGCGTCGCACTCCACTCCTGCCTTGGCTATGTAAAGGTATACCCGAGCTATTTACACTTGACAGGAAGGAAAGGAGTTGTATATAGATCCCCCCTCCTCGTGCTCCTTGGCCAACTTCATCGGAGAGAAAATTAACGTTGATGTGTATTATAAGGACTAACGAACTTTGCAAACTTTCCAAGGGATATATGCTTGTATTAAAGATTTGCGATCTGAAACGATTTTACAATTTGGCTTTTTATGCCCTGTCTGACTTAGTGCAGCCCATTTCGATCTAATGCAGATTACTTCGCCTCCATGCATTGACTAAGAGCGACTCAATCCCATTGGGCTCGGTGCGAGCGCGAGCGAGAGGGGGCTGCACTCGATCAGAGCGTGCCAGTTACCCGCTCTATATACATATATGCTTCGATACTCTCGAGAATATCAGCAGGAAATAAAAATAAAATAAAAACAGCACAGAGATATCGAATGATTGTTACTGCTTTTTATTCGACCCAAAATTTCATTGCGTAATTTTATACGGCCTTCGATACTTTTCTATACGAGAGCCAGACTGAAAATTAAGAAAAACTCGGCGCAGTGGCAGGGCGACTCGAGGTAGAAAGAAAATCTCGATGTAATGGAGCCAGCGAGTAAAAGCGTCTAGGAAGCATTTTGTTTGTTATTATGATCGCGAGTTTTTCTTTTTATTTTGAAAAAAGCTTTCAGTAACGAGAGACGAGCGCCCTTATATTATATATCCCTGTCGTATAATAGCTTGTCAACGGCAGTATTCGAAACAAAACGTAAATTAACGACGAGAGCATGTGCATACTTACATAAAAGCCCAGGTGAATATCTATACATGGCACAAAAGTCATCGCAATGACCCTGAGGGCTCAAATTTTTCTATATTTATACCTCGTTGATTCCTGGCGTTCTATACAAATATGCGCGCACAATAGGACGAGTCATTCGTTTTCATTGATTGAATTTTTCCCCACACGCGCGTCACTAAATCCAAATGAAGCTTTCATCTGCGTGTATACATCCATTAACGAATTCTATCAATTTTCCTTTAGTCGAGGCAAAATGCCAATTTTCGCTCTGGGAATTGCATCACGCGCGCGTTACTATATGCGTGCAAAATAATAGCGTCGCGCGGCCCGTGCGACAAAACGCTACATGGAGGATCGTTTTTTTCGCGGGAGGCGCCGCTACTGTTTCGATTCTCTCATTAACGTGCACACGAACTAGTCGAAGGCTCGATTTTCGTGTGAGATTTACCGCACGGACAGTAGGGAAAGGCGACCAACGTCCATACGGAAGCTTGTGTATATATGGAGGAAAGCTCTTAGTCCGATGCAAAGAAGCTTAGTGGGATATAATATGATATTATACCTTGAATGGACGTGTAGGTGTGTGTATGTGTATAGGGGGCCAGACGGGCTGCGCACTGCCACGAACACGAAGTTGTGCTTGCGAGGCTGGAGAGTGCAGCTGCCTATATACGTATTTGTGCGGGGATGGTAGGCACAAGCCACTTGTCTAATGATACACGGCGCGCGGGAATTAATTAAGCCGCTTCGCGCTCCAACACTGCAAGAGCATACATATATATCCATGTGTATAAGTGCAGTCTGTACTACGTATACGTGAATACACATATATAATGCGAGCTGCGAAGCTGCGGGAAAACGCGCACCAAAAGCTCTGGTTAGGTTTTCCTTATTAATCGCCAGACTCGTTATTATTACTACTCCTCCGTACTGTATTGCACACATACATGTGCGTATGTTTCTATGTATTTTTAGCTCTCGAGTTTTGCTTTAACTATGCGATTTTAGTTGCTCCAGCGAGCCAGAGAGAGAAAGCGAAAATTTGACGATGTTTAACGAGGCTAGCGTCGATCAGTCAAGCTGAAAAGTACTGTAGTGGTATTTGCCTAGCAGATTCGATTGCGGAAGGGATGAAGAGAAAGAAAAAAAAAAGTAAAGCAAGCGAGCCGCGAGGGGTAGTTTGTTACACTTGCCTTGCCGCGTGTCAAATGAAGTAAAAGAAAGAGAGCTAAGAAAGTTGGCATGGCTAGGGAAATCTTATTTTATTTCAAAATGTACACCGTTGAGAGGGAGAAATGAGAGAGAGAGAGTGAGTCCAAACCTCACTTATCTTTTGTCTCTGTCTATCTCTTTGCTCTCTTTCTTTCTCGTTCTCTTGCGGACTCCCAAGAGCGTTGTTGAAACTTAACATAGTACACTTTAATCTAACATTTTCTTTACTTTACTTTCTTTATAATGTCACCTCGTGCCTAGCTTTCCTCCCGCGCTGCTTCGGTCCCTCTCCTTTTTTTTCGACACAGAGAGGCGCAGTAGTTTCCAGCGCTCACAAAAGAGACCCAAAACACGAAGAAAGAAATGTATGCCGTATTATACATATGCGAGTAATGAACCGTTGGTTGTAGCATCGGACAAAAAAGTACTTAGTGAATGCCTGCGCTCTGTCAGCTTACACGTACTAGTCGTGGGCTGTACCGCGAAATGCGACTGCTGTACGTGTGTGTATGCGCCGCGCGTGTGAGTAGAGGAATACACAATGCGGCCTCGCATTAGCATTTGCCACACGTACGCCATCCTAGTCTACGTATACGATGCTTAGCAGTGCGACATAATTAACCATTTAATAATACATGTAGCCGAGAGCAAATACAAGCCTATTCTTTGCCGCGTATTTCAATCTGTCCGAAAGCTGCGGAAACAAAGGCTAAAAAAGAAAGTCACGTTTTTTTTTCACCTGCACGAGTCTATTGCGAGTAGTTATATATTATACGATGTTCCAGTGCACGTCGTATTATCGGATATCGCAGCTGCCGGGCTCGATATAATATCGAGTCGTAAATTATACGTCGAAATTCGCGCGATCGAGTTTATATACGTTGCTCCCTCTCTCTCTCTCTCTCTCTCTGCTCTATCGCGTTCGACTCTCGACCATATCCATTGCATTTGATATTTCGCGTTATTTTTTTTTCTTCTTCAGCTCATTGACCAGCAGCGGTCGTATACTCGCCGCTGTGCGCATCGAAAATTTACGTAATTGTGAAACCCAGCCGCGTGCCCGAGCGACCGAGCGACAATCGAACAAATTCTGATTTTGACATTAATATCGCGTTACGCACGCAGACACGCGCGCGGAAGCATACGTTGCCTATATAGATACAGGCGAGTCAGTAGGGACATATATTACAACACACACCGGGCACAAAAGCAATTAAGTATGCAATTAACGAAAGCAATACGCTCGTTTGCTCGTTTGCGAATTTTCCCCCCGTGACGACGACCGAGAACGAGAGATCAATCGCTTTTCCGGCATATAGCCATTGACGCGCGCGCGGACAATGCCAATCGCGGGCTCGCTTTATATGTTTTCACTGATCTTTGACTAGCGAGGATTCGTTCGCTTTTTGCGCCGTTCGTATCTCGATGCGCGCAACGATTGCCCACACCTGACGCCTCTACCCAGTTCACGAAGTTTCTAAACTTTTGTTGAAAAATACGCGTAAATATACGAGGACACTGCATACCCTTTCGCTTGTCTCGGGTTCTCGAGCTTTTATTCGACTTTTTTTTTTGAAAATTCGGAATACTGAACTACCCTTTGGAGTATCGATTATCAAAGGCATTATAAGCAGCTGGACCGTGAAGAGTAAAGCAAAACATGTTCTAAAGGCAAAGCTAGTAATACTCTCACATACCCCGAATTCCGGAAGCCGATTTCAATCAACGATCTTGCAACTCATCGCCTCGATTCGCCGACTTTGAAACTTGGATCCTCCGTGCCAGTGATTTATCCGCCCCATGTCTGCGATACTCGGCTTCAAAAAGATCAACGCACTTATGAAATCACATTTCACACTTGGCATGTGCAATAAAACTTGGTCTATATCGCAGCAGCGGCAACTGCATGTGCACGTACGTATACGGCATAGGCGAGCGCGCGCACGGAATTCGGACTTCGCTAGCCGACTCGAGCAGCTCCGAGGCGGAAAGTCGCTCCTGAACGAGCTGCCGGACGGTGAACGACTGAAATGTATATTCGCAGCCACCTGCAGAGGAGATGTGCGCCGTGCGTCGAACCCTTCGGGGGTGCGGCTGCGCGACTCAGCCGTCGGACGGGAGCACATCCCGTCGCATCGCTCGTCAACCCGTTCGAATTAGCCGCCCACGTGCGCGCGCAACGGAAAGCTCTGTAACAACGGCTACGTATACGTATACTACTTGGAGCTGTACACGACCTCAATTCCCGATGCTTATGCATGCATAATTGTCCTCGCGATACGCGCTCGTTTACATCGAAATAAATGCCATAAATGTTACTTGCCACACTTTCGTATTTATGTAGCCAAGCTACCTGCGCAGTGGCTACAATGGCTGACTCGATATAATTACTACCGGCAGATTGAATCTAGCCGCTGCTGGAAGGGGGTGGGGGACAGAGAGAAAAAAAAGGAACGAGACGCGCAAAATAAAGCTCGACTCGAATATCGTGTGTGTGCGTCGTGGCTGCCGCGCGTGTACACTGATGCAACTTTAAATTGTCGAGCGCCCGGAAGTTTTGTTGTTCGAGTAGTTCGCGAGTTATTATGCATATAGAACATCGCATGGTGGCTGCGCGTAGGAAAAAAAGCCTTTCGAAAGCCTGCATTTTTTGTTCCGTTAAAAGTTTTTCATCGCGCGTACGCGTAAAAACCATGGCAGCCCACGAAACTTTTTCCCGCGACGGCATCTATACTCGGCTTTAGGCCGACGAGAGAGAGATCCACTTCTCGTGAGATTTTATCTGCGATTTATTCCGAAATGCTAATATACTCGCATTATCGGCGCACTGACAGATAGAGAAACATTGTATGGAGATGGCTTTATCTCCTTTAGCCACAAATTGAGCGACTCCTCGTTAATCGATGTTCTTTTTTTATGTAACAATACATACAATGAACAGTCACAATAAATACAGAGCCGCGCGTCGATAACAAAAAAAGGTAATCACGGTTTCGCGTCAGAGCGAAAGTTCAATGCTATGCCACGCAGATAGCCGTGAGCTTGAAAGTCCTTATTAGAAAAGAAAAATGGCATTTGGCACGAATACGTATGCACATATGATATGTGACAAATATGACACTTTCGAGGTCACAAACATAGGCCATTGTTTGCCGGTGTCACCATGGCGACCCAGAGGTCAGGCATGTAAGCGCACCTAATATAGGTATAACGCGCGCTCTACATGGTCTTTGCAGGCATGCACAGTTGCAACAGTTGTTCCATTGTGCGCGCTCGCGAGGAAGCGAGTCTTAGAGAGACTACATACGCGAAATTTGATGAAAGCCTTCTTTCGCAAATCTCTCTCTCTCTCTCTCTCTCTCTCTAGAGTACAAAGGCAAAACTGAAGTAGATCGAGTACCGGCTTTAACCAGTATCGTCCTGGCATCGATCCGACCTCCTCGTACGAATAAGAATCCGTATACTCGTGTGTGCACAGCCACTTGTAATTCGTGTTGCATTCGGCTACGAGTCAACTGTTCTTTGCGAGGTATCCTGCTTTAAGCATTATTCATCGATTTCAGCTAGACACTATCTCTTTGCATCGTCGGAAATCACAAAAATAAATGAGGAGTTTAATATTTTGATTAGTCATCTTTTCCAAGCGTATTTTTATTGATTATATCAAAAAAAGCAAAATATTTTGATTCGTAATCATTTTGGTTTTGATTTACTTCTGATTAGTAGAAATTACGACGAGATATACAGCCAATTTCATGATTGATAACGTGGTTTACGATGTTTTACTAGACTTAAAAGAGTTGGAATTTTAAATGATGTCTGGAGATTAAGAAAACTCGTGCACATAATTTTATATTTTTGTTTTTAGAAAAAAATGACGATCGATATTTATTTTTTCCCACCGAGTCCGCCTTGCCGAGCTGTTATGATGCTCGGTAGATATATTGGAGTTCACTTCAATGTAAAAACTGTCAATGTTTTAAAGGGAGATCAATTCAAACCCTCGTTCAAAAAAGTACGATACATTGAACTTTCGATTAAAATCTAAGCTGATACTAAAATTAATTTTATTTTTACAGCTTAATCCCCAACATACGATTCCAACCATCGAAGACAATGGCTTCGTTTTGTGGGAAAGGTATAATTTTGAAATACTTTTGCTGAATGTAAAATCCATATTTTTGACATTTTCAATTTTTACAGTCGTTCTATTATGGTTTATCTAGTGATGAAATATGCCAAAAATGATTCACTATACCCGAAAGATCCCGAAAAACGAGGCTTAGTCGAACAAAGACTTTACTTTGATATGGGGACTTTGTTTCACAATATTGGCTCCTACTACGTGAGTTCTTGTTTTGCCTCTTTGTGTATTTTAGCGAAGCATCCAAGTGCCACAAAAAAGTCGCCCAAAGATTTAATTGCATCTTCTAATTTTGTCAATTCTACGTAGCGTGTATCTTTTTAATTAAATACGTCTGCGAAGTTGCGTTGACGATTTATCTTTTTGTACCCAGGGACCGGTGCTGCTTGGTTTGGCTGATCAACCACCGGAACAACTCTTGGAACCCTTGGAGCGATCCTTCAGTGTACTTGATATATATCTTCAAGACTCGGATTTTCTTGTTGGAAACGATCTGACTGTTGCCGACTTTGCCATCGTCAGCTCAGTTTGCACGGCCAAGGTAAACTCTCTTGCCTGCCAATAAATTTAAATGACCCACTAAAATTATTTAAATTTCAGGCTGTGGGCTTTGACATAGGTCGATACGACAACGTCGCGCAATGGTACGAGCGCTGTAAAAGTGCCATGAGTAAATGTGGCTTTGAGGATGTCAATGAAGCAGGAGCTAATATCTTTGGTGGATTTTACAAAGCTAATCTTAAATCATGAAGCACCAGAAAGCGTTTATATCAAAGTTTACATTATAGTGCTCACGTAAAATACGTCACTACTCAAGTAAAATAACTTTACGTAAATTAAACAATCACCAGTTTAGATTAAAGCAACTACTCGTTCCCAATCGTCGTTGAACTAAAATTATGATATTTTTAAATTTCATAGAATAAAATCGTTAAATAAATGATGTCAAAAATATAAAAAAATATTATAAAAGAAACTTTAGATAAACTCAATTATTTTTAATATATTAAGTTTTATGGAAGATTTGACCTCAAAGGCTCTAGGTCATGGTCTTGTATGTAGTACGTAGTGAAAATAACTAATTATAGGAGCAAAAAATTATTCACATAGTTCAATGCATGTATAAGCATTTATCTATGAAGTATTAATGAGAAATCATTAAGCGAGTTATATTCAATAAAAATAATATGTAAAATTGTGAAATTAATTAATGGAAATTTTATATTTTTACAATTTCAAACGGTGCAAATATGTAGAAAAGTTGTTAAAATATTTATGAAAATAAATTTCTTGTATTGATTCCTAAAATGAATGACATTAATATGATCCTTATTAAAATTTGAATTCTTACTATTCTGCAGCGAAACTGTTTCATCTTATAATAGTGAAATGTTATTATTGTACCGAGCAATTTATATGCAAAATACTTACAGACTTTGATTGCTAACAGGAGAAACGAGTTTTGGATGTTTACTTAAAAGAAGCCAATTTGAGACTTTTTCTCACGAACCGTCTGAATTCTACAATTCATATAGAGTTAAATTTAATTAACAATTTTTCAATTAAACAATTGCCATTATTTGAAATGTATTATTATGTTATCATACTTATAAATAATTTCAAATTTACCTCATTGCTTTCTATCGTATTATTATTTTGCACTTTCAATTGTATCATTTCTTTATGTTTTGATTTTTATAGATAATTTCTTTGATACTATCAGTCAATATTTACGAAAAAATTAAGTCGTTGACTCGATTATTTTTCAAAAATGATTTAATAGTTACTCATGAAATATTATTCACTTCGTTATATTAAAAGATTTCATTTTAGTAATTATTAAGACGCATTTTATATTGTATCTATGTTGTATTATATTGTATCATGCACACGCCCATAAACGTGAGTTTCTTAAATAGAAGCGCAAATTCTGCATTACAATTGATTTTTCCGATTCAGTATTCTAAGATATTAACTGATAACTAAGATCCCTCAAGATTTCTATCATTTTGAACGATAAAATATCACGAGTAAAAAACATGATTATCCCGGAGATATTAAATAGATCGACAGTGTGTGTATACGATTCATTGTTATGAGCAGTGCGAGCGGCCGAGCAGCTCGTGGGAATAGCAACTTAACGCTTCGACGAATGAGACATTTATATCCAAGGCACGGTGCAAAGGACTTTTCAGTTGGTAATCGCCACGCGAACAAGCTCGCATCTCTCGCTCTCCCTGTTTGAGAGTCGCGGCGAGGAGATTTTTTATTCGACATAGCATTGGAAGTGCTACATTGTGCGCGCTGTGCATAGGTTGAAAAAACGTTTTTTTAGCTCCAACGATGCGGTAATATTCGTTCAAAAGAAATATATTAAAATTTCGTAGTTGAAACGAGGTAAGTTGTATATTTTTTCAATACATTTCATACAAAATCAAGAATAAATGGATGTGAACAACTCAATTTCGTAGGGTTCGAATCATGAACGTTTTTACGAGCAAGTCTACACTTCTCATCCTCCTGGTGCTTTTTACGCACAATGGCGCTTTTTCAATTGAAAATTTCGAGTTTGAAAATGATTATCGACTGCCAAAATCTATCATACCGAGAAAATACTTTATAAATTATGATGAAATTGATTTTATTGCGGACACCTTTAAAGGTTCCGTCGAAATACATGCTGATGTCAAAGAGAAAACAAATAAAATTTCACTTCACAAAGGAAAGTATTTAAATATAACAGATGTGAAAATTAACAGTTCGATTAAAAAAAAAGATGAAAAGATCAATGACAAAGCCGAAACATATACAATTTTATTGGATAGTGAATTAAAAAAGTCGATTCCACTTGTTTTTACGTTGAATTTCCAAGGCAAATTACGTGATGATATGATTGGTTTTTACAAAAGCTCTTATAAAGAAAGCAATAAAGAGAGGTAAGCTCGATTTGAATCTTTAATATTATTTAGTTTTTTCATAATTTTTAATTTTTTTCCATAAAGATATTTGGCTGCTACTCAGTTTGAAAGTACACACGCCAGGCACGCTTTTCCTTGCTTTGATGAACCTGCTTTAAAGGCAAATTTTTCAGTGACAATTAAACCGCCGGGTGACAATTATATATGCTTGAGTAATATGCCTCAAATTTATACAAGGTATTCAAGTTCCAAGCAGTGTCATATTTTTGATAAATAATTTTTAATCATTGCATCATTGTATTATTTTAGAAAAAAAATCTGCAAATTTGAACAGAGCGTTGAAATGTCAACGTACTTGGTGGCCTTCATAGTAGCTGACTTTGAAGCCGTGAAAGATGAAAAATTTGCAGTTTGGTCTCGTAGAGACGCCGTCGACCAAAGCAAATATGCACTTAAAATCGGTCAGGCATCGCAAGATTATTTTTCTAAGCACTTAAATATTTCCTACTCACTCTCGAAGATGGATATGGTTGCTGTGCCGGATTTTTCCGCCGGTGCCATGGAAAATTGGGGCTTGATCACGTATCGCGAGACAGCCGTACTGTACGATGAAAATCATTCATCGAACGCCGCAATGCAAAGGGTGGCCTCGGTCATCGTTCACGAGATGGCCCATCAGTGGTTCGGTAACCTCGTCACGCCTGAATGGTGGAATTATTTGTGGCTGAGCGAAGGATTTGCTCGTTACTACGAGTACATGGGAACTCACGCGGTATGTATTCGATATCCCTGAGTATACAATGTTCATCGAGAGCCACGAACGGATTGATTATTTTTAAAAATTTTTTATTACAGTTACAACCTATGTGGGAAATGGAGAAACAATTTGTCGTGCAGCAGCATCAAACAGCTTTGGCAGTTGACAGTCTTGTTGATTCCAGTCCATTGACTAGACGCAATATTACGACGCAAGAGCAAATCGGTACGACAGGAGGTTCGATAACGTACAACAAAGGCGCAAGCATTATCAGGATGATGCGACATACCTTTGGCTCTAATATTTTCGACGACGCGCTGCGAATTTATCTGAATGAAAGGTAATTATTAGAATTTAATTGCTTGAGATTATATTAATAATCATACTATTTTTATATCAGAAAATACGCCAATGCCTCTCCCGATGATTTATGGGAAGCTATAGAGAAAAGTCTAATAAAACATAAGGCCGAAAAATTACCCGTTAATGTCTCGTCTATAATGAAGACCTGGACTGAACAATCCGGTTTTCCTTATATATCGGTCATGATAAAGCAAGATACCATAACTTTAGAGCAGAATCGATTTTTATTGCAAGATCAAAACGAAGTCAGCGACGATTTTAAATGGTGGGTGCCTATAACAGTTGCCTCTTCAGGCTGGAACAACGTCACCGAGAGGCAATCTACAAAACCAGTTTTCTGGTTGAGCGAGAAGAAGAAAAGTGTTAAAAATACATTTGGAAACGAATGGATTATTTTTAATGTTCAATCAGTTGGTATGCACTTTTACATACTTTATTATGTACAATAAATCTAATATTAAATTTGATCATTAGGTTATTATCGAGTTTTGTATGATGAAGCTTCATGGAAAAAAATTTTAAGCATCTTGAATAGCAAAGATTTCGAAAAAATTAGCGTTGAAAATCGAGCCGCCATAATCGATGACTTGATGAATTTTGCAAGAGTCAAGAAAGTATCGTATGACTTAGTATTTGAAGGACTAAAATATTTGAAAAGGGAAACTAGTTATCTACCCTTCAAAGCTGCGTTCAATGGTATTGATTATTTGTCAAAAAAACTTATTAATGACTCTACAATTGGAGAATTTTTCCGCGTAAGTAATAATACTGTGCAGTATTAAATGTGTCTTTAATGATTTTCTTTGCATAAACTTTTCATTTACAGAATCATGTGCAAGCATTACTTTCTAAAGCGTACAAAAATTTAACTTTCAATGATAAACCTGATGATAAACAATCAACAATTTTACTTCGTCAAGAAATAAATAGTAGGCTTTGTAATCTCGGGCATTCAGATTGCATTTTGGACTCTTTGAATCACTTTTACTCTTGGAAGAATAGTAAACAAGGAAAATATTCGTAAGTTATAATGAATTAAACTAATTTTATTTCATATTTTATTTAAAAAATTGTTATAACTCAAATGACTCCAGTGTCCCGAAAAATCAGAGAGGAGTCGTTTATTGTACAGCTATGAAATATGGTAATGAAGAAGACTGGGAGTTCTTGAGACTCGCATATGACAATTCTAATGTAGCTGCTGAGCAAATAGTAATTTTAAATGCACTAGGATGTACGAAAGATAAAAAACTACTGGAAAAGTAAGTTTTTAAAATTTCTAGTACTTTCTGATTAATCTGAAAACTAAATTATATTTATTTTTAGACATTTTCTCAATGCACTATCAGGATTCTCAAACAGTGGCATTCGTAAGCAAGACATAAGTTATGTTTTTAGTGGCGCCCATTCTTCAAGCCCCGACAATGCTGAATATATTCTAGATTTTGTCAAAAATCATATCACTGAGTTACACAAATAGTAAGTATTTGCTTCTAAGCTAACATAAAAATAAACGAAAAGTGATTTTATGGAATTCATGTAATTTTTAGCTATAAAAATTACGAAGAAATTGTAAGCCTCATTAATGGAGCAGTGAAGAGTTATCAAACTGAAAATATTCATAGAAAATTGAAAGAAATGATAGAGAATCCTGGAGAACTGAAAGATAATGTAAAATCTTTGAATAAATCGTTAAAAATCGTTGAAGACGAACGAAAATGGTTTGAAAGAGCTTACGCAGGTATATCAAAACTTGTTGCTCCTGAAAATTATAATGTTTTGTATCGTTTGCCAAAAAATATTCTTCCAATTCATTACAATATTGAACTTGAGCCTTTTATCAAAGATCCCAATGATTTTACTTTTAACGGTAAAGTCGAAATAATAGCCAATGTAACCAAAAGTACTGAGAAAATAGTTCTTCACGTAAATCAACTTCGTGATCTGAATTTTAACATTTATGAAGAGGGCAATAAAGAAATTTTAATTAAAAGTTTAGTACCAGATGATACTCATGATTTTGTGAAGATATATCTCAAGTATCCAGTAAGGAATGGAACAATATTGAAAATAGATGCCACTTTTGTTGGATATTTGAATACCGAAATGCGAGGTTTCTATAGAAGTTCATACAAGATATCTGGCAAAACTAGGTAAGTACCACAGCACCTTTTTTAATTTTTTCGGAAATGTATTGTGTACATTTTTCAAGGTGGTTAGCTGCTACGCATTTGGAGCCAACAGGAGCCCGGAGAGTGTTTCCATGTTTTGACGAGCCTGCTTTGAAGGCCACCTTTAATATAAGCGTAATGGTTCCTGACAGTACCTATACTGCCGTTAGTAATATGAACCGCATATCAAAAACAGGGTAAATTACATCACTTTTTTATTATATGAATATTGTAATATTTTATGAAGATTAAAAAAATAATGATAACATTTTCAGTAACTTGTGGGTATTTGAAAAGACACCGCCGATGTCGACGTACCTAGTTGCTATCGTAGTTAGCGATTTCCAAAAAAAATCAGCGGATGAACAGTCTAGTCCAACTCTCAGCGCATATGCCAATCCTAATGTGTACAAGCAATTGGAATATGCGCTCCAAGTCATGCGTCCAATTGTAATGTCGTTCGAAGAAAAACTCAATTTCACTTATACGCTTCCAAAGCTCGACATGTTTGCTCTGCCAGATTTTTCTTCCGGTGCCATGGAAAATTGGGGTCTCATGACTTTCCGTGAGACTAATTTACTATATGACGCGGAAAAAATGTCGAGTATCACAGCGAAGCAGTCTATTCACAACGTCATCGTTCATGAAATCACTCATCAATGGTTCGGTAATCTTGTTAGTCCTCTTTGGTGGGATTACGTGTGGCTAAGCGAAGGTTTCGCTCGATATTTCCAGAATCACATGTACTATAAAGTTAGTAAATTAAATCAATTGAAGTAAATATGTTGATGAATGGAAAAAATTGATCATTATCATTATCTATATTAGGATGCGGAGAATTGGAATTTGGAAGGTCAGTTCGTTGTCGATCATCTACAAACATCATTTTCCACAGATGGTACGAACGGCACTCATCCAGTTTCTGCCAAAGTTTACACTCCAAGCGAAATTAAAGGAATTTTTGATAAAATTTCATATGCAAAAGCTGCGAGTTTAATCAGGATGTTAGAAAAATTAACTGGACCAACAGCTTTTTACGGCGCTCTTCAAGAATATCTGAAAAATAGGTATGATAAAAATGCTTGAAATATTTTTTAATTTCACGTGAAAAAATTTTTTTCCTCTTATTATAGGCAATACTCGTTTGGCACCCCTACTGCACTTTTTATACCATTCCAAAAACAAATAGGAGGCGGTAAATCATTGACAAAATTCGATGTTATCGAAGTTATGAATTCGTGGACAAAACAACCCGGATTCCCCGTTGTGCATGCCAGTTTTAAAAATGGCTCGATGACTTTAACACAGAAGAGGTTTTATACCAGACCTCCGAATAATAGCAATTCAAAATCGATTTGGAATATACCGATTACGTACACAACCAGAACTGTTGCCGATTTTTCTGATTTCCGTGATGTCTTTTGGCTAAAGGATAAAACGGCAACCCTCGAAGTTCGCAATGCTAATATTAACGATTGGATCATATTAAATCTCCAACAAGCAGGTAAGTCAATGGTTTTAAACATAATTTTGTAAAATATACTGATCGTGTAACTTTACATAACAGGTTACTATCGCGTAAATTACGATGAGGCAATGTGGCGTCTCATCATTTCCGATTTGCACTCGGAAAGTCGGGAACGTATCCACCCAATAAATCGAGCCAATCTAATCGATGATCTTTTCAACCTCGCCCGAGCTGGTGAAATTGGCTATGATATCGTTTTGTCAGCTACGGATTACCTCGTTAATGAGACTGACTATGTGCCTTGGAAAGCTGCTTTGACTAATTTAAATTATCTGACCAAACGTTTTGTCGGTCGGGGTTTTGTCGAGCAGGCATACAAAGACTACGTCATCAACCTTTTAGAGCCGAGTTTTAAAAGATTAGGATTTTTTGATAAAAAAGATGATAAACATACTGATATTTTACTTCGAAAAGTCGTGCTCGAAACACTTTGCGCCTTCGGTTATGAAAAATGCATCAATGAAGCCAAAAAATTATTCGAAGAGGAGCGAAAACAAGTTATTCCAATTGTTCCACCTAATCAACAGCTGTTTGTTTATTCAGCTATAGCTAGACATGGTGATGAACGAAATTGGAATTATTTATATAAAAAGTTTACTGATTCTATTTACGCAACTGAAAAATCGACGCTTATAACAGCTCTTGCATGTTCCAGTAAACCTGATCTATTAAACAAGTAAGAAATCAATTTAAAAAAAAATTGCCATGTCAGTCAGTAAAATCAATTTTTATTATAGGCTTATGGAACTAGCTATTACACCTGATTCGGAAATAAGATTACAAGATGTTCAAAAAGTTTTTAATAATGTCATTGATGGTGGTCCAGTGGGGGTGAATGCAGCATTAGATTTCATCAATAAAAGTTATGAAGATATGTATAGATAGTAAGTAGATACAATTTTTTTTATCAATAACAGTATATTTCTCATTATAAGTAATATTAATTTCGACATTTTCTTGTCAGTCTCGGTGATTATAGCGTTGCCAAAAGTACTATAAGTACAATTTCAAAAAGACTGTCGACTCAAGAACTCGTTGACAAGGTACATTTCTTAACTCTTTTTAATAATAATCTTTCATATTGTTTCATAGTAATTTTTAATAACATTTATTATGAATCGTTATTTTCAGTTTAAAAAGTTTACAAAAGATAATCTAAAACGGATGGAAAGCATTAAAAAAACGCTGCAATCGAGCGAGAACCGAGCTAAATTCGAACTGGACTGGTTCAATGAAAATGCAATGAAAATAGCTATGTCGATTGATACAAAATTGTTTACAAGGAATCCATATAGATTACCTGCGGTTGCCATTCCGAAACATTACGACATCAGCTTAAAACCAGATTTTGAGACATTTACTTTTAATGGATCCGTGAAAATCAACATTCTCGTGCAGGAAGACACATATACGATAACATTGAACGCAGCTGACATGGATAACATCCAAGTATATTATAATGAAGTAAAGGTTGCACACAAATATGATTCAACTAATCAATACTTGAGAATATATTTTGCTGAGGAACTTCATGCTAAGGGGCTCATTTGGTTGAATATATCCTACAAAGGCAATCTACGCGATGATATGAAAGGATTTTATAGAAGCCATTACATTAATGAAAAAGGAGAAAAAAAGTACGAAATGAGTAATAATTTGTCTATTATATCAAATCATAAATATATATGAATATAATTTTAAATGTTACTCTATACTCATAGATGGTTATTGAGCACCCAATTTGAACCATCTTACGCTAGAAGAGCTTTTCCATGTTTCGATGAACCATCATTCAAAGCAACATTCAAAATAAGAATATCAAGACCTAATAATCTGAGCACATTGAGTAACATGGGATCAAACCCGAAAACAACACCCGAGTGAGTATTATTCGATACTACGAATAGAAATTTATCTCGTTGAAGCTTAAAAAAATTAGTAACTGTTATTTCTATTATAAAGTGTGGAAGGTCGAAGTTGGGACGAGTATGAAACCACTGTAAACCAAATGTCGACGTATTTAGTTGCTTTTGTAGTTTCTGATTTTGTTAAAACTACCGATATACAATCAAGAGTTAACATATGGTCCCGGAATCAATTGAAGGATTACATGAAGGAATCGGTGCGCATTGGACACAATGCTTTGACATATCTCGAAAAATTTTTACAGATCAACTACACATTTCCCGAGATGAACTTCGTAGCAGTACCGGATTTTGATATGGGTGCCATGGAGAACTGGGGACTAGTAACTTATAGGTATGTAAAATGCATAAAGAATACATTTTTTGTTGATATATCAATCGAACATGAAAAAAATTCCCTTTCAGAGAATACGGACTTACCTACGACTTATCTAAAATCTCAGCGACTTACAAAAGATATGTCGAAACAACCGTTGCTCATGAGTTAGTACATATGTGGTTTGGAAATTTGGTCACATGCGATTGGTGGGATTACACATGGCTCAATGAAGCTTTTGCTGAGTATCTGTCTTATGTCACTAGTGATGCGGTAATTCGATTTGAAAATAAATTCATGCGTACCTAATTTTTAATCTCTTAATTAAATTTTTTAACAGAATCAACCAACGTGGAAGTTGATGAAACAGTTTGTCGTAAACAACTTGCATTCGGCGCTTGCAGCTGATGCCAGCGGTACATCTCATCCGATGAATAACAAAGTTTTAACTCCGAGAGAGCTTCAAGATGGATTCGACAGCATTGCTTATGCTAAAGGTTCCAGCATTTTAAGAATGATAGATCATAGTTTTGGACCAAAAGTTTTCCGTTTAGCTTTGAGACTCTATCTCGAGAAGCACAAGTACAAAAATGTACATCCTCAGGATTTATACAATGTAATAGAGAATAAAATTGCAGCCGAAAAGATCAAAATACCCGGTGGTTTGAAGGTTAATTCTTCAACTGTCATAGACAGTTGGACGTCCCAATCTGGTTACCCAGTTGTTAACACCAAGCGCTATGGTTCTACTATCGAAATCTCACAGGTACATTATATATTAAAATAAATTAGAAATAATTGAGTTGTTTAAAATCATGAAAAAATTTTCTTTTAATTAGGAGAGATTCTACATATCACAACCCGAAAATGGAATTAAAAATAAAACTTTGTACTGGATACCCATTACTTACATGTCCGAGAGTAATGCAAACTTCAGTCATACATTGCCTTACACTTGGCTGCATGGCACCGTCGAAAATCTTTATGTATTCCCAACTGATAAATGGTATGTTTTGAATGTTCAACAAGTCGGATTTTATCGCGTCAATTACGATGACGCCAATTGGAGGGCTTTGATTCGGGTACTTAATAGTCCAAATTACCAACAAATCGAAGAAGTCTCGCGAGCTCAGTTGATTGACGATTCTTTCAATTTGGCTCGAGCTGGTTATATAAAATACGAGATCGCTTTGGACATTAGCAAGTATTTGTCTCAAGAAACAATGCTTTACCCGCTAAAAGCGATGAATTCAGCCTCAGATTATCTTGGACGTAGAATAGAAGCAAGAGAAGACGTGAAAAAGCTTTATTCAAAGCATATTTTGAATATTCTTGATAAAGCTTATAAAAAGTTAGGCTTCGAAGAAAATATGAGTAAGGACTCTCACTTGGATCAACTAACGAGAGAAATTGTTCTCAAATTGGCTTGTAAATATGGACAAGAAGACTGCATTAAAAACGCTAAATCATATTTCTCAAGTGATTTCTCAAGGTAATTTCTTCAAAATTTATATTAAATTTACGATTTTTATCTTATGCAAACCACAAATACTTTAAAGTTAATATAAAAAAACTTCATTTTATTTAATGTTTCATTCAAATCATTCTTTTATTATTTTTAGAATTACTCCCAACATAGCAGGAGCTGTTTATTGTACTGCTATCGAACATGGATCAGACAGCGATTGGAATATTTTGTGGCAGAAGTTCAAGGCTGCCAACTTGGCTACAGATTACCTTACAATTCTCAGAGGGCTTGGTTGTTCGAGAGAAGAATCTGTTTTAACAAGGTAACACACTACCAACAGTATTTCAATAGATAATAATCTATTGTAATGAAAATTATTAATATTTTAATTTTTTTATTGAAGATATTTAGATTATGCTATTGAAAAAGATTCACCTATTCGAAGACAGGATATAGGAACAACTTTTTCATCGATATACTCGTCTAGTCAAATTGGTATGCAGACCACGTTGAAATATATCCTTCAAAATCCTGAAAAATTGAAGAAGTAGTAAGTAAAATTGGTATAATAATACTGAAATCGATGATGTACAATTTAACACCAATATTGTATAAAATTTTTAGTTATGGAAATTGGGAAGATGTCAGTGGTCTCATCAAAAATGTCGCTGGTTATATCACAACGACGAAGCAATTGGATATGGTAAAAATTAAATATTTATAGGATACGAAACCAATTTTTTATACCCTACTTCACAAATATTTATTATTTGATTACAGCTAAAAAATGCTAACACAAACATAAATTCAGAGTTTGAAGATGCTGTTAAATCTGCAATCAAATCAGCGGAAAAAAATCTGAAGTGGTTTGATGACAACGTTGATGAAATATACGACTGGCTAAAAACAAATTATGACAGCATCACATTTAAAAGTTTGTGAGCAAGAAGAGCAGTTGGAATGAAAGTGTACATATTAATATTAATTTTAATACGAAGAAATACAATTTTATTGAAATTTGTTTTATTATGACAAACATATATCTTACGAATAAAATGATTGCATATGCAGTATAAGCTTCAAATGTATTGATCACATTTTTATTGGCGTTAAATCACGAAAACAATTATTATTTTACTCTCCATAAAGTTTTTTAATTATTTTTTTATGATCAGCTAACATCAGCGAATACGGAAAATTTTGTATTACTGCCTAAGTACGAAGACTCATATTTAGGGCATATTATAAATCCATTATATAATACTTCTTATCATTTGTAAATATAATACATATAAAGCACCAAAACAATCATACGGATTATTAGCACGTTTAATATTGGTAAAAATACGAAATCGAATAGTATGGACGAACAATAATGTTTCCACCAATGACACTTTAATAATTTATAAAATAATACTCGTTTGATTTCGACTTCAGTTTACAGTACGCAATTTTTGTTTTTAGAAAAAGGCACTTATAATATTACAAATGAATTAAAAAATGTAGGAAGTAAGTAAAAAAAACCAATGTCAACAATAATAGTTGATTGTTGGAAATTGTAGATGCAGTTTTCAAATATTTATAATATTTCATGTACAACAAGTTAAAATAATAATAACATTTATCCTTCTATAAAAATCACATCAAAAGTTTCATTCGACGTTTGTTTTATGCAAAATATTCAAACATTGAATTTTCAATTTTTTTTATTCTCCAAAAAACATTCTCACTCACGCCGTAAAGGACAACATTTAAAACAATGTTCTCATCACAAATCCTCGATTAGATCTAAAAACTTACGATTACGTTAGTACTCGAATGTAGTTGATATCGTGAATTTCTGCTGTTACCAATCGAAGATTCAATGACAAATTTTTTAGCAGTGATGAAGTTTTAATTTGGCAACATTACATTGAACTTATTTCATTTAGTGCGCGTTATTTTTCAACCACTCTTGAATATTTGCATGATTTCTCTCGAGCCAACGAATATTAACTTCACCGTTTTCGATGGCCTGTTCGACAGCTCGTGTGGCGCTTCTTAAATCTTCTTTGTGCTCATTGGCAAAGTCAAGCAACTGAATATAATGAATAATGGTTAAAATTTGGCAGTAAATAAAGCAATGAAAATTCGAAGTTACTTACATCTTTCAATTCATATTTTGTACTGATGCGCTTAGTTGAAGATTTGACAATGTTATTGAGCGTCAGTAAAGAATTTCCGAAGCTTTAAAAGAAAATTATTTTTAATAAGTACAATAGATGATATTTCATGCAAGAAATAGTATAAGATTGAATAAATACTCACTAATACTTGAGTTGATCCCACTTATTCCTAAAATAGTTAAAAGCTAGCGGCTGACCGATGATATTATTAGAAACTGAGGTGAAAACTCTGGTGACGTCTTGCTTCCTGATGCCCGTACTGTTGGACATTGCCCAGTCGAGGTATCTGCTGAGCAGCCAAGTCTCTCTCGTGCAGCCGAGCGCGTTGAGCAGTATGTCCTTCTCGGTGCCAACGTTGCTCTCCTTGAATCGCTTCCAGATGAAGTTCCACTCGGACTCTCCTCCCATGCGCACCGCCGTGCAGTAGACGACGCTCTTCAGGTTCGGCGAGATGGGATTCTCTCGATTGGGATCGCTCGTCTCGCGCCAGGCGGCGAACTGCGACACGGCGTTGCGTATGCAGTCCTCGTGGCCGAGATAGCACGCCCAGTTGAGCACGTCGATGCGAGTGAAGACCGTCAGCTGTGGATCGTCGGCGTTGTCCTTGAAGCCGACTTTATTGTACACGTTGTCGAGGAGTTTCAGAGCAAATAGCTGTCGAATGAAAGTTACATTTTTTTATAGCGTTTGATAAGGCATTCGCGCAGAATTGAACGATTAACTTCGATCTTGCAATAAAACGTCCTTACTCTAAACATGTCGTAGCCTTGATACTTGATGAGCATCGAGTCGAGGAAGTTGAGAGCCACGAGGGCCGACTTCCAAGGCAGATACTCGGTCTCCTTCGATAAGTAAGACGTGATGTCGAGAGCTGTGGCGTAGTCGAGTCGTCCGGCTCTGGCTAAATTCAGTGCGTCATCAATGAGTTGTGCACGATTCGTCGTTGAAATAGCCTCGTAATCTGGACCTTTGAGTTGCTTGATCAGCATCTGCCAATTGTTATGATCGTAATTCACCCGGTAGTAGCCGGTTTCGAGAATATTAAAGAGGATCCAGTCGTTGGCCGCGGCCCCGATTTTCTTCAAGCTGATGGCCTTTTCGGCCTTCATCCAAGTAGCGGGCTTGGTGTCGTTGAAATTCATCTTTTTAGCCGTTGTATAAGTCAGCGGAATCCACCAGACAGGCTCTGATTCTCCTCTCGTGAAATTACGAAGCATAAAACGTTCCTGTGGAAAATAAAGGCTCGTCGTAAACAATGCCGATAGTAAAGCGCAGTTGGCATTGCTCGAGCTCGAACTCTCGCAAACATACCTGAGTAATGGCCGCTGCATCGTTGGCATAGTCGCGCGTGACCGTGACGACGGGGAATCCGGTCTGCAAGGTCCAAGTATCCATGATTTGCTTGATAGTCACATCTTGACCTAGCACCTTGTCCTCGTGAGCTTGTTTCGTCAACGCGTTCCACAAGTCGTCCTGCTCGGCGCTTTGGTAAGCTCTGCGCGCATCCGATACAATTTGTGCGTCGGTTAATCGATAGAATAATTCACTATTATAATACAGAGACGATCGATCTTTGCCGACTTACTTTCCGTTGAGGTAGTTGGTCAATCCACGCTTGAACACCTCCGTAGTGAGGAAGTGATCCATCATGCGAATTATCGAGGCACCTTTGGCGTACGAGATCCTGTCGAATATCTCATTGATTTCGTCCGGATGGCCGACCTCGATCGATATTGGATGCGACGACTCGAGGGCGTCGAGACCGAAGACGTTCTGCAGCTCGTGCACTACGAACTGCTCGATGACTTTCCAACTTGGCTCGACCTGCAAGTGCAATGTTTTCGATGATTTATCGATATCCTTAATTTTACTCGCTGATCTATTATAGCTGATCTGATGCAGTATGATACATCGCTCTCGAACGAGCGCTAGAGAGAAAAAATAGCGGAATGATTGATTCCAAGTAAAGTAAAACATGTACGCATCTGCACGATTTTACCGTGAAATGTGAAATATTTCATGTAAACGTGCATAATGCGCAAGTTTTCACGCCATGCTACGCTGTATGATGGATTACTCGAAGAAAAGGGGAATATCACATAAAATGAATGAAAATTTCGGGTAATATTTGTAATACGTACCGCGTTGACGCCGATGTTCTCGGCGTAGCTAGCGAAGCCTTCGTTGAGCCATAAATCAGTCCACCAGGTGGGCGTGACTAAATTGCCAAACCACTGGTGCGCAAGCTCATGCGAAACGACGTTCGCCAGGCGCTGACGATTGGCTCTGGTTGACACGCCGTTCTGATAAAGCATCGCAGTTTCTCTGCCATATTTAAAAATCCATCCGTTTAAATTTCGTATCAATTATTTCAATAATCCTCGAACGGGCGTCAATGTGCATTACCTGTAAGTGATCAATCCCCAATTTTCCATAGCACCTGCAGCAAAGTCCGGCAACGCAACCATGTCGATTTTCGGCAGCGGGAATTTAATTTTGAAGTAGTCTTCGAAGTAGTTGAGGATCTGCGGTCCGATTTTCAGGCTGTAATCCGCCTGTTGAATGGCTTCTTTGCGCGCCCAGACGCTGACATTTGTGCCACCAGGGGACTGCGACTTCGATACTTGGAAATCCGAAACTATGAAAGCCACGAGGTACGTTGACATTGGTACCGATCGCTCGAAGTGATCCCACACGTACTCTGGCAGACCATCCCTACATTTTCAAACACGTTTTACATTTTTTCAGCCAAGAATTTTTTCCAAGAGCTGTCTATTATTTCTGAACAAAAGAAATCTCGATAATACTAACACTTGATCAGTCTGTTTTTCTTTTGGCATATTCGAAATGGCAGTCATATTTTTAGGTCGGGCGATACTGATTTGGAAGGTAGCCTTGAGGGCCGGTTCGTCGAAGCAGGGAAAAGCTCGACGTGCATCGGTCGGCTGGAATTGCGTCGTCGCGATCCATCTGAAAGTTACGCGGATGCGCGTATCATACATTTTATTGGGCTGTAAACTCGAGGACGAGCTGTCGAGCTCGCAGTTATGTACCTTGTCTGATTATTCTCGACGTAGGAGCTCCTGTAGAAGCCCTGCAGATAGTCGTTGAGATTGCCGACGTACTTGAGATGCAGCAAGTATTGCTTTCCAGCTTTGAGCTGCTGTCGAGCTTCGATCACGTGAAATTGCCTCGCGGAATCGTTGAGCTGTCGGCTGACTTTGATTTGTTTGTTGGTGTCACCTTCGACGAGCGGATACTCTTTGATGCTCGTGAAAGACTCGTCGATTCTCATGTCGACCGCGTGCAGCGTCACCTTGTACGTGTCCTCGGTCACGTTTACCACGATTTTCACCTGCGTTCGGCGTTCGTTATTCTACCTTCGTTACAGGCGGCGTGCAAAGAATAAAGTAATCAAGTCGTAAACTCACCTCTCCGTCGAAAGTGAAATTTCCCGGCCAGATGTAGGGAATGAGTTTCAATTCGTAGCTCTGCGGCAGGATCGATCTCGGCAACCTGACGTCGAGCTTTTTCTTGCTCGACGAGGAACCGCCGAAACTGCGACCGCTTCGACCCCCGTCGTCTCCGTCATCGCCGATGGGGCGGCCCGAGGAGGCGGCGAATCCTCGTCCGCACGGCGAAAAGTGATAGACCAGCAGTCCCGTGGCCAGTACCGCGGCCAGAAAGGACACGGCCAGCGCCAGGCCACCGCATCGCGTTACGGCGCAAGTGCGCTTACGACCGAACGTGGTCGCGTGCTCGTCCTGCATGCCCATCGTGCCCAGAGATTTCGTCATGCCGACCAAGTCGAGCCGTTATCGGAGATGCTCCTTGCCGATTCTGCGTGACATACAAGGCGCGAAAATGTGGGTCAGAGAGGAAAGTTTGCCTTATCGGGAAACAACGGCTGGGGTGTACGTTTGTTACAATTCATGTTTCTCCGATACATCCGCTCGGAAGATCGTCGCAAACAAACTTTTCAAAGCATGTGAATAAGAGAGCGCATATCGGTCGGGTCTTTATAAAGTTATTCATCATCGCCGTTAGGCATGGCGTGCGCGCGGCCACGCATAATGCAATAAATGCATCGAATCACACGCTCGCACACACGATGCGCTGCACGTAATATATCTATAGATACGTATATGCAATGCACATGTAGCTCTCGTGTCATCGCGGCGGTACATATGCAGGGCAGCTACTCACGGGCGTAATAAAGTTAACGCGCAACGAGCGTAATATGTAGTAGCGACGATCATAATAATAAGCCTAGCGCGCGGCCAGCTCGACTCCGCGTGCAATGTTAATAAATAGTTCTGGCCTGTTGTGACAGCCAAGCTGTCACAATCGTATAAAAGAAAAAAGCCATCGCCTATACACACGCACACGTACGCTTAATTCGAGTTTGTCTACTTATATTGGCTTTGTATTCCGTATACATACGACTGGTAAACACGTTACGCTTCGCTACTTATTTGTTGTTCATAAATACGTGGCATAAAACTCCACGCTGCGATTTCTTGATTTTTCATTATCCGTCCTATTTTTTCTTTAATGCGCATTCAGACAGCTGTGTCAAGGGAACGGAAAGATTAGAAAATAATTTCAATACCCAATTAAGAGGCTCAACTTTCGAATGGATCGAGCTAGCCGTGTATCGATGAATTTTCAATCAAACGATCTCCGCATGCTAATCTCGTCATTGTTAGGGATCGTTTTGAATTATTATAGACGTCGTTCAACATGGAGATAAAAAAGCATTATAATTTGTATACTTGAAAGAGCCGAGTTCACTGACACGACATATTGATACCTATGGTTCGAATACATATATAAGCTTTCGCATCAATGAGCTATTGAACTCGCGCGCCAACACGTACGGTATACCCATTGAAACTATTTCTCGCGTGCATTGAACTTTGATTTTGCGTGCAGTAACGATTTTTTTTCGATGCACGGTCAACTCTCTATGTAATTTCGCAACGTAACAATCGTCGAAACGGTGGCTCGGCAAAAAAAGACTAATACCTGTACGAAATGCCATTCAGATTCTCGCGGGCACTAGGCGCAAACAGCCTTTTAATAGTTTCCTGATACAGCAGAGCGCCGACGATTCAAAACACGTTACAAGTATGCATGTATTGGACATGAATGTGAAAGCTACCACTCTGCTTTTGATTTGTTTCTGTGTATTTTCCATTAGATGCGGCTGCCAAAGAGATGAAAGCTATCGGGTGTTGCAGTCTACTATGGTGACGTTCATTTTCCTCGAAAATTCAATGATCGGACTCCGAGAGTATTTTTTTAATAATGAACAAAAATTCTGATTCAACCAGTTCTTCTCATGATAAAGAAATATTTACATTTTTGATATATACTCATGTGTATTTATCAAACGCTGCTCACCGAAACGAACAACACAAGTTTTATCCTTCCACATTTTATGATTTTGGCCACTGAATTCATCGATGAAAAACAATTATACAAACAAATTGATGCAATAATAAGTATCTTATACTTTTATGGTATATACTTTGCGCGCAACACAGAGTACCTGTCTGAAATCGTGAACACGTAATTACTGATATAATTTTATTACTTGAAAACGCTGTGCAAATATTCGGTTTTTGTGTTATGCGTTAAAACACTGTATACTGATGCGATTCACGGTTACGTGTATTGCAGATGAATAATAAACTACTAAATGAAATAATTTAAAGATTTAAATAAACGCAAAAACTAAAATAGTAACCACAAAAAAAAAGTAAATAAATGAATAGCAATAATACTCATTCAAGTCGTTATAAAAATAAAATATCAACTAAAAATTGAATTCGTAATTCAAGCACTTATTTATGCCAATTAAATTTGCAATAGTAACATGCAATAATCAATCCTTGAAATAATTACAAAATATTATTAATTATTTACCAAAGTCAGCAAGAAAGGACTGTTTACTAAAAACACATGTGCACACCGAACGACGATCGTGTCTCGACTAAACGCCGTTCTGTACATGGCATCGAGAACGCATGTATAAACACACGTATACACCAACACACACGTAAGCGCTCACACTCGTACATTGGCGCTTTTGATGCTGCGCTTCCCCTCTTGTCGAGGATATACATCATCTGTAACTCATCGGCATTTTTTCACCTGCCTATTGCTTTTGTACGCGCGTGAGCGGGAGTTGTTATGTTGGACATGTCTATGGAATACATGTGACAATAAGAGCTAAACAGTAGAGTAGCGTAGAAAGAAGAAAGAATTTCATAAGAAATTTTTTTAGTTTTGATTAGTTTTCGAGGGAGACATTGGAGAAATTCTTCAACTTTTTTCAACAATGAGGAAGAAACTTTTTTAAACTTTTTTAATTCCATGGATAGGTCGCGTCCTCGATAGTTGCATTGGTTATTTAATTTAATTTGAAAAACAATCACTGTGTCAGAACGAACAAACACGTACTTTATTCAATGCATTTTCTGATAAATGTAATGTAGTGCAACGCAAAATCGGTGATATAATATTAAATCGAGACGTACACAAAACACAATAACGAGAAATATAAAGAGTAATGTTTTTCCTCACGAAGGCTTAATGAATGTCCATATTTTTGCGTTGTTTTGTTGTTACTTATCTCTGTTGAATCAGCTATAATTAGTAGAAAAATTGTGCCATGGAGGCGCTATTATGGTTGTATTGTTGTAAGTTGACTGTAATTAAAATTAAAATTACAATCTGCAAGAAAAATCTTTAAATTGGCATAATTTTAATGGAAAGTCCGCGATGACTGTAAAATTGGGAAAAAAACTCTGAAAAAATGAGACCGTTCGAAAATCTTGATATCTTAAACCGAAAAGGGCAAACAGCAAGTGATTATAAGCTATAATGCGCATTCAAGTGAAACGAAGATCGCAATCGGGGTAAATGCCTAAGCATATCCTGCTCTTGTGCGTGCAAGTTAAACATGGCCATTTGTGAAATTTATTAAATCAAAAGTTCATGGTCCTCCTATAAAGATGCGAATTAACCCAGCTCGTTTCAGGCCAAGGAAGAGAAAAATGCAATTTTATCTATATAGCGAGTGGCTCATGAGCGGCCGTGCATTAAATCGAGATGCTATCGCATTCGGCGGGTAGCTTTATAAATCCGAGCGCGATGGACGTAAAATTGATTTTCGAAATGCCAAGTTACTTTGCGCGCTATATACACACACGTAATGTGAAGTGGGATGTATCGCGCCTGGCGCTTGACAGCCCGATAATCGGATGAGCACTCGTGCGTTATATGACATTCCACCCGTACTCTCGCTCATATATATATGTGTGTGTGCGCTCTTATTCGCACACTAGCCATTCGCCACTGGCACACCAGCCCCAATATCTGCGCTGCAAGTAGCTGACAAATCCACCGATTTTCTGCCGACGTGAGCAAATCTTTTCTCATGCAATTGACCTGCAATTGAACCGATGGGCTGAATATTTGTTTACGTGTAAAAAAGTACATTAAAAATAAAAGTAACTAGTATTTTTTTGTAATTTTAATCTAACCTGTACTATCAAATATCAATGCAGATTTAAGTTTGCGCGAATACTTGCGAAACGTATCATACGAGAAATAAATTTTACTTCGCGATAACATCTAAATTACCGTCACTTTGTTGCATAAATTTAGCCACTTTCTGCCCTTGTTCCAGAGACATTGAGGCTTTATATATTTTTATTATACCGATTTTAAAATTCCATCATAAAAATCCACTTCAAGTCGCCTATACCGAGTACAAAAAAGCTCGTTGACATGCTTCAAGCGCTATCTTTCGATCGATAAACGATTTAAAGGACACGATGCAGAAATCAATTTTTTCGTTCATTTTTTATCAATCCAGGTGAAGCTGTATTTTGCGAAACTGAATTAGATCGAAATCCGTATTTGAAAACGCAGTTTCGTGTCATAAATCATTTTAGGTGCAACTCCTAATTTACGTTGAATGCTTGAGAAAAACAATCTTATCGATTACATGTTCGAGGTGACATTTTTTTAATTGAAAAATCAATAATATTCCGATTTCGAAATAATAATTTATTGTAGCTCGGGCAAAACTTGGTAAATGAACATAAATTCTTGAATCGAAATCTCTTCGAACAAATAATTCGAGCGAATTTCTTTTTTACCGACGTCAGCGACGGATTCATTTCTACCTACCCTCATCGAATCGTTACAGTTAAAATCGCGGCTACACAAAACTGTCGAACGGTCCGTCCGATGTCGCGCGCGCAAATACGCATGTGGTCGTTTCACTGACCCTCATGAAGGCCAATCTGATAAAAGTAAACGCGCGCACCTATGTACAGTACCTGCAAAGGCTTATAGCCGCGATACTTATACATATATCTATATCGACAGTGCCTAGCAGCCGCGGGTATACAGTAATCCACTTAAGCATATTGGATCACACTCGTTTGGAATTAAATTTCGAGCAAAGTTTCTTTCTTCTTTTGCTTCTCTTCGTCGGAGATAGAGACCGGATAAAGATCGACATTTACCTCTCTCGCGATAGAGCGGCCTATTTGAGTGTGTGTACTTCAAAAATACCATGAGTCTCGTAACATCAAGCAATTTCGTGTTCTGTTTTTTTGAAATCGATCTGCCAATCGTATCGACCAATTTTTATAAAATGAAGAATTTGACAAGAAATCATGATCTCCTCATTTCGATTGATTCGTAGCACTTGAAAAGTACCTAAACGTATTTAATTTTTGAGAAATTGAATTAATCACTTGCAAGATATTGTGTCTAAGTATATAGTTTCAAAAGTGTCAACATTGAAGGTGAGCATAGTCTTATTTTGAATTATCTAGTGTTTTAGTCAGTGCTTGTATCGTAGATAAAATCAAATACTGTGCAGTAGCATGGGTGACTTTTATTGCACGGGGATTAGTTTGAAGTGTTTTCTGAAAATCTGTGATACTTTAAATAGTGTTCATGATCACAGATAATGCCATGAAAGTTAAACATAATTGTGTATCTCCTGGATTTAGCATCGTATAACTTTTCTAGAATATTTTATTATCTCATAACTTCAAAACTTTGGAGAGTACTAGAATATCTGTAAATAATGACGAACGTGTATTATGTCATTATCATTGATTGTATATTAATCATTCAATTTTTCTGATATAACTTCTTTATCCATCGATCGTCTGAAATAATATTATTTCATTGAAATTATTTTTATCAGAAAAAGTTTATAACTTTCGTTGAATTCTTGTATTGAAAAAATCAAAATGTTTCTATTTTACAATTTTATAAAAAAAGTTCATGCGAATATAAGGATAATGCTTCACGCGGTGTGAACTTGTTTACTCAAGCGACAAGATCTTATAATGAAATCCACCCACAAATTGATAAAAAATAAATTATTGTTTACTTTCAATATTCTCAGACAACAGTATATCTCCAAGTACCTAAGGTCACTCGCGTCAAAAATCGATTCTCAGGTGCGCATGTCTAAGGTCTATTATGCAGATATATATAAGTATACAATGAAAAAAGGCACGTGTCGAGTAATGTGTGATTGAAGACAGCTAAAAAGATATATCGAGATTAGCTCCGATGAGTTTTACGCATGAGGCTTCAATGCTCATTGATTGTTCTGGAAAAAAATTTTGAAGCCTTGTTATTATGAAACTTTTTGTATGTAATTATAAATAATTGTTCAAATTTACAGTCATGAAAAAATATAGTCAGGATAAGTTTAAAGGTACAGTGTAAGAGTTGACCAGCGTAAAACGTATGCAGTAATAAGATCGATTACACAATGTAACATTTTCATCACAAATGCCATGTGTTAACGATAAACGAGAAAACATGCGTGGGCGTTAAAATAATGAGCTTTCGAGAGCATTTTTTTACTTGAACCTTGCGATCTTTCTACGTGATAATAATTCAACATGTTAAAATAATTGCTTCAGCATTTTCTATTTAATATAAATCAAATAGCACGTCAAAAAAAAGTTTGTATCGAGTTCAAAATAAAATTCATAAAAATTCGTGCTCACGCGAATTGCGACTGATATCATAAGAGGCTTGTTCGACGAATTCTCGTGCACCTCAAACTTTTGAGCTTAAAGTGCAAGCTTTGCACGCGAATTTCAGTTTGCGTCACTTTCCATCACACAAGTAAAGCGTGAAAAAATTCATAATAATCTTGAGAGATTACCTCGATAATAAAGTAATAATTGCAAGATTTGTATATTTGGAACGAGAAACGTTACCGTTTACGAGGTCATTGCCTCCTAGTACAGAAGCTTTTGAAATTTTATTGCTAACACATGCACTCGCTGCACAAGACAAATATAACAATGCTGTTTGATAATTAAATGCGAGGAAAAACTATGCCAGCAGGTTAAATCCTGGGGACTGATAACAGTTTCGATCTGCCATATATGATAGCATTTCGATGCGACATCCTGATAAGCCATATTACAATTTATATTATCGAATCATATTATCAGATGTACTGGTCGGTAGCGAAAAAAATTAGGGGGACACAGACGAAATCTTTCATAATTTCGTTTGAAGTACGCCGATTTTACATTCTTCACTGTTTCGAGTGTTTAACACGTGTTAACGGTTTGATTACAGAAATATTTTAACTCTGATTGATTAAGAAAATTAGGCTTTTTTTACTTGAAATAGAAACTTATACACGTTGTGAACTCGAAACCCCTCGGTCTATTTTACCAATGATATTGTGTAAATTTTTAAAATATTTCAATAAATATCATCAAATAAATTGATACTTCCTTGATTCATCGTACGATTCTCGGAGGAAGTGAGAATTATCAATTTATGAAAATTCGATTGAAATTTATTTAAATTCAATTGAAATCTATTAAAACTAGATTGGAATTGGAAATCCGGTTATCATTAGGATATCGAACTATTTTATATACCGCCTGTATGAGTGTTATGTCGTAATAGCAGCACACACGGATCAACGTGACCAGGAAAAAGGGAAAAACAAACAGCAAGCCTCACCAATTTGGCCGCAGAAGTCTGCTCGGTAAAGACACTGCATTAAATATTGCAGATATATGGCGCGGAGTGGGAGAGTACGATAGTGTCCACATCGCGAGCGAAGACTATAGCAGCAGACTGTCGGTGACTCGCGATTCGTTTGGTAAAGAGCGCGCTTTTATTAGAAACTCGAGAGTCGAACAAAAAGCATGGTATAAACGCTGTATTATGTTTGGATCAACGCAGATGAGATTTTTCGGCATTTTCGACGTGATATCGTGAGCAGGAACGCGACTGCTTTCAGGAATTAGTGTTTATTAGTGGTACAAGAATCAATTTCTTTAAGGTTATTTTCTATTTCGAGATTATTGAGGTAAACTATAAACCATAATCTAAGAGTTTCATTCATTCTTATCATTTTCTTTCAAAGTGTATGGTTTCAATTACATTTTAAAATAAAATCTATTGGTGAAAGTTTTCATTTCATTCATCAATAGCTTTTATCTAGATCTGGTCATTCTTTATCATCTAATCATGAATCACATTGCAATAAATTCAATGAATTTCAACATACTATACCGAATTTCATAACATAAATAATTTAAATAAAAAAATCCCTTGTATTTTATTGAGTCGAAATTCATTATAAATTATTGGTCATTCTGTATTTTAACATTGTACATGTAAGCAGTGCTATAAACGAAACCCACGTAAGAACGAGCTAACTCATTTCCTGACGCACACGCATGAAACGCACGACTCGGCGCGATTTCATTGCATATATTGAGATTACAAAAAAAAAATTATATATATAAATGCATTACTACAATGTTCCTCGTTAGGCACGTGTGTGTGTGTACGCGTGCAACATTTCTAACGAGCGAACTCGCCTCGACTCTCCGCGTTCAAGCCGACGACTTTTTCTAAAAATATACGAACGCACATATTTGCACACAAGTGCAAACTTTTTAACATGCGAAATGTGAACTACATTTTCATTTGAGCATTCAATAATAACGTGGGCAGTTTTATTTGATATTTATAAAAAAATTTGTGTATAAGCGAGCAAGCGAGTATATTATTAAAAGTATTGGGTGTGTAAATACAAATGTGTGTGTGTTAAATTTGTCCAACAGGTGATAACGCACTTAGCGAGAGTCACTTATCGTCCTACTGCCTTTCCAACAAAGTATTTGAAAAAAGTCGACTTTTTAATACACGTCAAAGCATGGTAAAAAAAAACAATGAATTGTAATCAAGCTCAGCTTCTCGTTTGTCATAATTAAGCTACAACGAAGACGACTAATAATGTTGATTGTACCTTTGACAAGTAAACGTACTATTAAATACGTCCGGTAATTTTGGCAATATTGACACTCGAGTTGGACGAGCGCGCGATTAAATGCCAAACGCGTATTCAGCATTTATGCATATTCTAATTACGCGTGTTTAATGAGAAACACGCGCGAAACAAACGAAGCGATCGTACCTGCATGTTTGCGCGTTTAAATTTCACCGCCCAAGAAATCTCCGCAAATACACGCGAAAAGTGCCTACGGCGAATGTTGTGACTCAATCGGAAAGCCATGCATACGTTATTGCGCGAAATTATAGTTGCTAATACGGCGAGTTTGTCACTGCTCTCTAAGCGTACATAAATTCAGAGTCATTACAAAAATAAATACTCACGAATAAGTAATAAGCGTATCGATACGTATGATCGAACTAACGGGTCAAGCTTTCCGAGCTAGTATTTTCTTAGCGGTCGTTAGTAACACTTGGCTCGCGCGTAAGAGTTGGCAAAAAGTGGTGTCGTTGGCGAATTTTCATCCAAACCAGAAATGATCGTTGTTGCGCTGAAGCAGTGCAACAATAACACAATGCTCGCGCTTAATTGTCGTGCTTGTCATCTAGCGCGGCGTAAACAAAATCGGCTCTGCAGTTGCGTTAAACAAAGCGCGATGTTTACAATCGCACTCGATGAGCATAATTGATTATTATATTTCCTCATCCGCTCTCGTCGCGTGAGTTCTGATTTGGCCTGATCTCGATCGAGCCTTACTTAGCCACGGTTCAAGAAAATTAAAAGTGTAGGCATTACTGGCCGCGCGGCTAATCGCCTATCGACGGCCAACATTAAAATGATTGCAAGGCCACAGCAATAACCCATTGAAAAGATAAATACTACAGTAGCTTCGCGAGCGCTGTATATCGACATTTCAATTCGTGGAATCCTAGAGGTCTCGTCAGGGCCGCGCCGGCCGCTCTGCTTAATCCAGATGAGATGCCTGCAAATGCGGCTCGCGCGCGTGCGTTCGATTTATCAGCGGTGCATTAATTGCGCGCGTGCGCCCGAGTACAATTACGGACAGGCCGGACAGCAAACTTCAACTCGCTATTAATGTTCGGCTATAGTTGCAAGTTGAGCTGCGCGCGCGAGAGATCAGAGGTGATATTGCTCGGCTTGCATGCGCGCTTATGCGCGCGTACAAATGCTCGTGGAAATTTTGAGCCGATATTGTTGCACATTGATATATTGTAAGTCAATGACGCAAAAAATGAGGAGGAGAGAAAAAGAGAGAGAGAGAGCTTCGGACTGTAAATCTACGTAATTAGTGATCGCGTGGCTTCTTATCTCGTGATAGGGTAAAAGTTGAATTAAAATGTTGTCGACAAGAGTGATGAATTGTTTTTTTTCTCAAATTTTAATAAAATTGCTGAGATTCGATAACGATTGCAAATGCCGTAGTATTGGATTCCTTTTCATCTCGATTACACAAGTCTTTCTTAACGAATTTTGATTAGTTTGCTATTGTAAAAATACGCCTATCAATCGATTATTTCCATTTGTTTAATGCAAACTATAAATAAACCAACGTCGGAAACTCTGGGTACGTCGGAAAAATTATACAAACGACAAGCTCAGGCAGAGTTGCTTAATCAATTGTATTTTGCATCTCTTTAGTTCATTAGCATTGCATCAGTTTTCTGCAATGAACCGTATACTTAACTGTCTAGTAATTTATACGCATGAAGGCAAATAAGGTTATTTAAATAATTTTTATTAAAATTAAATTATTTTTTCGTTAAAAGAATAACCGCGTTATATCTGAATATAAAAGAACGATCTTTCCAAATTTTTTTAAATGATCAAACTGTACTACTCAACTTGAACTAAAGTTATATTGAAACCCTATTACGAATAATCCTGTTTATTTATCCAAAGATCAAATAAAATTGTAAATTTTTATGGAAAATTGAGAATTAAATATCTTTTTGTTTGGCATTTCAGGGAACTATGTTAAATATCTTCACCCGCCAAAGACAACATTACAACATCAATAAATAAAATCACATCAAGATCTGCTGTCTAAAAGAGAGATTTGATCTGCATACCTATGAAATCTAAATTCGAGTCTCAAATATTTAAGTGAAGAAACTGCTTCTGCAAGAGAGATAGAAAATCGCATTGGAAGCATCAAGAGATAACTTCACTGCTACGAGTTAAGAAGAATAATTTATTTATCTTGCATTGCAAGGTAAGAAAACGATTGATTGTTTTGCTGAAAGACGTAGAAATCGAATGTTTATTAAGAATCATCATCTCGATGTGTAAATTATATTCATTTCTTAGTAAATTTTTACTAAAATGTAACATTTTTTTAATTTTCAGAATTACAAGAAAGAGTTACCAGTATTGAAATAAAAAAAACAAACTTCAAAAATGGCAGGTATCGATAACGACCTAGAAGAAGTTATGGGACACTTGGGGGAGTTCGGAAAATATCAACTATTTCAATTCTTACTGCACATAGTTGGTGCATTGACTGCTGGCCTCCACATGTTAACACTTTTGACAGTAGCAGCTGTGCCAGAAACTTATATATGCGTGCCACCAGGTACAAATCTCAATGAAACTGTCATTACGAACGAAACGTTCCTGTTGACTCCAGAATTAGACAAATGTTCCTACAAGGATTCTTATAATCAGACGATGGAGTGTGATCAGTGGATCTACGACAGGACTTATTACGAATCATCCATAGGAATGGATTGGAATTTCGTTTGTACGCGTAGATGGATGGGTGCGACCGCACAGTCGGCCTACATGTTCGGCGTCTTTCTTGGGGCTGTAACATTGGGAAGTATGGCTGATAATTATGGCCGTAAAATAATATTTTACGTGTCTTCGGTGGCTCAACTTATCCTTGGAGTATCGGTTGCGTTCATACCTGAATATTATTCATTTGTCTTGGTCCGATTTTTGTACGGATATTTCGGATCAGCCGGAGCATATATTACTGGTTTTGTTTTGAGTATGGAACTCGTTGGGGCTTCAAAGAGAACATTTTGCGGATTAATGTTCCAATTAGCATTTGCTGTTGGTTTCATGTTAGTTGCTGGCTGGGGAGCTGTAATTAAAAACGCAACATATCTGCAGGTTGTATACGGCATGCACAGTGCTTTACTATTAGGTCACTGGTGGCTGATGGATGAATCTCCTCGGTGGCTTTGGGCTCAAGGTCGCATTCGCGAGTCCTTAACCATTGTTCAAAAAGCACTAAGAATGAACGGCAGTACAGTTATATTGGACGTTGAAAAATACACTTCTAAGGGCAAAATAAAAGAAATCAATGATGACGAAAAAGCCCATAGTGGATTTGACCTTTTAAGAACACCTAATCTGCGGAATAAAACTTTGAACGTTTGCTTCAACTGGTTCGCTAATTCTATAGTCTACTATGGTCTATCGCTAAATACAAAAAGTCTGCCGGGTAATCCTTATTTAATGATGTTCCTGAGTGGATTAGTCGAGGTCCCAAGTTATATATTCGTTTGCTTGGTCATGGATCGTTGGGGTCGAAGAAGTCTCATAAGTGGATTGATGTTGATCGGAGGAGTGTGTTGCGTGTTCGCGTCAGCTTTCTCCGAAGAAGATAGTTTTATATTGAAAATTACAGTATCTTTGATCGGTAAAGCATGCATCGCTGGATCCTTCGCCATAATTTACAATTACACGGCTGAACTATTCCCCACGGTATTGAGGAACACTGCCTTAGGAGTCGGTTCAATGTGCGCGAGATTGAGCGGCGCCATCACACCTTTATTGATGCTTTTGGACTTTTTGGATCCAAAGGTCCCAGCCACGGTTTTTGGAATTATCGCACTGGGATCAGGATTTACAGCGCTTTGGTTGCCTGAAACCCTCAACAAACCCATGCCTGAAACGCTTGAAGATGGCGAAGAGTTTGGTAAGGGCGACACATGCTTTTCCAGTTGCTGCAATCAACGAGTTGTTGACAAACGAAGTTATCAAGTGGCATTGGAAAAAATGGGTGGAAACGCCTTTGAAAGTGGCGATTCAAAGGCTTGAGTCCAGTTATGTTAGACTATTAGTCTAAGTTATAACTATTGAAAACTTTTAATTCCAATTCGCGATATTCTTTTGTAATTTCAAAAGTATATTTAACGATAAAAATTATGGAAAAATGAGTGGAAATCACGCATAATATGTAAATATATGAAGTTGCCTATTCCATTATAATTACGATAGAAAATAAGTTTTTCTGTAAGATTGATATACCGTATCAAGTACTGCATTCCTGATCGTAGTGGAAAGGCACGTGTTATTTTTTTGTACGTAAAATCCGTATTTTTTATGAGTATGATTTTGACGAGTCTTTAACTTTATAGAACAATTTTTTTATGAAACTCATCCTTTTTCTAATATAAAAAAGTTTACGACTTTTGCATGTTGTAAGAAATCAGACAAATCCTCAAATGTAATAATTATTTTTAACAATCGTTGTTTATATATTCGTTATTATAATTAATAAAAAATCGTTATTATAATTAAAACTAAGTTTGTGTTTACCAACAGTTTATAATTAGTATTAAAAAAGTTGGTTATTGAGGAGCATGTATAATGTGTATAAGTGTGTTTATAAAAGTTAATACTTTTGACCAAAATCTTACAAATTCTCAAATATAAAACGAGTTATTTATTTGTTCTCATTGCAATACTACTTACGTATTGTCATCAATGAAATTAATTTTTGAAGATGAAGAATATAAATTGTTTTATACATCACCAAAAATTGTTAAATATTTACGGATAAAAAATAAATTTACTTTATACAGTGATTCTAATTTTTACTTATTATCTAGTTTGTATAATTTATTTTTGTTTCAATCCAATTTTATATTTACTTTTATTAAAACATTATAGTGAATAGTATTCGTAAATTTCTAATTTATCAACAGCAGGTACATGAAAAGGTTGAATAATAACATTTTTAAATACATTTCTTTTGGAAGAAAAAGCAAAAAATTGTCAAAAAACTCATTGAAATTCATTATTAACTACTACTGGCTCTCCACCCTAAAAAAAAATACAAATTCTTGCAGTATCAGTACAACCCGTTTATAAAGTCAAATTAATTCTTATCAAGTTACTACGCTGAGTAAAAATTGAGATTCCTAAAAGGGTATTAAAGTAGAAGGTGAACATTTTTTTTTAATATGCATGTAGTGATGTGCGTGTTGAAGGATCATCGCTTGGGCGCGAATAAAAGCATACCCATGGAGAATAGTGCCTGCTACGCGCTCGAGCGAGGACGGCGAAGCAGCGTATCATGCACGCGTCGATCCGGTTTTATGTGTATAGATGTATAAAGTACGTGTATATAGAGGTACGCGTGTTTCGCATCTTTTTTGCTCATACCGTCCAGCAGCGGCGCGTATCGATGGGATGCTGGAGCGCGTCGCGCGTGCAGTGAGCTGCATAAACATACGCAGTGGACGAAGCTCGTTGTAAAAGGGAGCGATAAAATTCGAGCGTCGAATTGATCACAAATTAATTTAATTTTACGATTCTTTTTCGATTGCGTACATGATTTTTTTTTAAGATTAAATTTTATGGTCTAATAATAATTGGATTTGGAATTAATTATTTTCTTTGTTATTGTGCGGATGAAACGTGGTCGCGCATGACAGATGTTATTAAATAAAAAATTTTATTATTTTTTTAGCGTTTTGAACGTACGTGGCTTTGACAATTGCACAGCAATATTGAGAAATAAACTATGAAAATATTTTATTTAAAATAATTAAAATCTGAACAATAGAATATTTCAACTGCGAGAACTGTCTATTGTAATTTAAAAAATATTTCTATCGAACATCGAGCGTGCAAAATTAATAGAAAAATAGTTGATTGTCATTTAGTAATATAGTATTTGTATAGTTTTAAAAATATCCAGTAGAACGTTAACTAAGTTTTCAATTAATAACATATGTTTAAAGTTATTGAGAAAAGACTCCTAAAACGAAACGGTACCCCTAAAACACAAACTCTAAAGATTATTGGAGAGATGCAATTTATTTCCCTATTTAATTTAAGCTCGATATTATTCATATATTTTATCGTTGAATTTTCGTACTTTATGCATTGGCAGGCCGTGAAAAATCAATCAACTCATAAATCGATTGCTATAAAAAAGATGATTCGTTTTTGGTTTAAAATAATACAATAATACAATGCCCCTTCAAAAAAAAAGGGTCACTAACCTGCAATTACATGAACCAAGTGACCATCCATGCGGTTCTTCGGAGATTCTGCGAAGATCTTCGTTGTATGCCGTGTTATTTAAATATTTTGGTGTGTCGGATAAGGGAAGCTGCGTTCGATGTTGCTCCTGTGCATGCCACGCTGTGACTGTCGTCGGCGCCAACACCACCACCACTACCACCTGCGTCCACCACCAGCACTGCTGTTCAAGCTCCGACGTACATTTACACTGGATATATACGTCGCGCTCAAGGAGGTGTGTGCTCTCTCACGCCCGCATTTTGCCTATGTGTATATACGTGTGTACATGTGCAGCTTGTAATCGAGAGGCATGCGCTCTTGGATTATGTGCTTTCGTCGTGAATTCGCGTGAACTTTTTCTAAAAGATATTTCATCTTGCGCGCCGAAAAATAGGTTTCCGGTTTTTCTTGTCAAAATTAAACGAAAAATATTTTCATGGAATTTTTTATGAAATTCGAAAATTGTGCAAATGGTAATATATATATATGCATGTGTTCAGTGATGATTATGCAGCCGTGAAATTGACTTCGGATAAGTTTTTGATGGATTAAACTTTTAACTCTGTTTGGATAATTTTAATGCGTTTTTACTTTAGAGTTGAAATTTATGTTTCAAAGAAAGTATAGGAAATTTTTTTGATTAGCCATTCACGGAATTTCATTTGTCAAGTTTATTATAAATCATAACGGTATTATATGATTGATTCAAATAAAAAGTATTTAAGTAATTCATGATGATTAAAATTATAGTAATATGATAAAGAATGTACTCTGCGATTATGTATAATAAGAAGGTAATCTGTATTTAAATGTCCGAATAAACGTAAACTGCATCACCATCATAATGTCATAAAAGTTTATGTCTCGAAATAAACAAAATAGTAGTGATCCGAACGTTATCTCTCCTTCAAGAATAGTACGAGTGCTGGCTACAGGAATATTTTTTCAATTAAATAGTTTCAGATTAATTAAATTTTATTCCAATTTTATCTTTAACGCATTCCTTTGTTTCAGGGCGATAAGTTCGTGATATGAAATGATTTTGATTTATAATCCATTACCCTTTCATACGTGAAAACATTTGCCAGCGCTTTTAATTCAAAGTTTAATAACATTCTCATGTCGTAATACTTTGATGATGATATAATCTATGTTTCATCTCTTTCATCCGCTTGTAATGCACAAATGTCTCATGTAACCAAGATCAATAAAATAACATAATTGATCTACTTCAATTTTCCAAGAAAGGATGAGTACTAACATTTTCAGCACCATTTTTTTGTAGCAATCAGAAAAATGCCGGCAGTTGTAGAATCTTATAAACATTTTACTCAGATGCACACAGCGCAGCGAGATGTCCCTCGCAAGCGCAGTTTGTATTATCGAACTTAACAGCGGTGATCGACCCTTACTTGCTCAATAAGCAACACGTAAACATCTTCTCGGAAATTCAGGTATGTATACGCATCACTTTGCTTCGCATGCCGCAAACAGGTTTTCAATGTATATGCGTTGTGTACGCCCCAAGGGTCAAGATAAAATGATTTCGCCAAAAGCCAAGTGTGCAAGTGATTAATCCTTTAACGGTACAATATGTGTAATAGGTGCTCAAATATTTCTCAGCCTGAATTTAACAGAATCTTCCTTTAATTATTATGTAGATGTAAATAGAAGTTAAAGGGCACGAAATAATTATAAAAGTAATTGAATTTATGAGAGAATAATTTCTTCACTAGTTTTGGTATTTTAGTAGTAGTCTTTGTTGTTAAAATGTGTATTATATTGTATATTAATGATTACTAGAATTTTCTTCATCATCGTCGTCGTGGTCTGAAGCTTTGAAGCTAAAAGGTTGAAAGGGATAACCCTGTCCATCATAAAATTTGCTAAGAAACTCCACCCTAAAACAATTTCAAAAATATCGATTTCCATCAGACAATCAAATTTTAATATAACAAGTATAAAAAAATTTGAATACCAATGCAGTCGTAAGGTGTGAAGAAAAGCTGATAAACCCTCCATTAAAACCAATATGGCTAAAGTGAAAAAAGCCCAAGCAGCAAAGAGGATGGATAAAATAAAACCATTAATATAAAATGGTAAAGGAAAAATGAACCCATAATGCAGTATTTTGATCCACAAAATTTCTGATAACTGCGAGTGTGCCAATGATAGAGCCCAGAGGCGCAAATACGAGGCTGTGTGCGACACGGTAGACAGAACGTACTCGATGGTGTGTATAGCTTGATATATGAACAATTCGCTTGCAGAATCGTCTTTGTGTTTACTTGATCTTTCAATAAGCTGAGTAGTTGATGGGCTAGCAGCTAGATTTGCATTTAGTTCATCCATAGCTATATCTTCGCTTTCTCCATCGTTTTTCTACAATCATCGTAAAATCATTATGATTATTTTTTCGCAATGCTTCGATAGGTACTACTCACATGCTGGTTGTTTGAAAATTGTCTCCTTCGATACAAAGTGTAAAGTGGCTTTCCCAACAGCATAATAGGTATACAAACTAAGGCAATGGCAACTAAAAACTTCTGCAGTATGTCTTGACCTTCGAACATCCATTCCTCGCAATTTTCTTTTTTCTTGTTCTCGCCGAAGAGCATCATGTTGATAAAAATTATGAGAATCGAAGGAGCGCACGCCTCAGAGTACGTACCTGAGCGTATCGGTTAATTAGCATGTAATAAAGATGTTATACTGAAAGCTGATTTTACTATACGTACCTTTTCTGTAACCGCTATACATGACCCACTTCAAAAACATAAGGCTAACTAAGTAAGCAAATAATACTAATAAAAACAATAGCTGCGGCAAAAACTCGAAGAATAAACTCGAGTATTTTTTGAAATGCCTGTAAAAATAATTTGAGATAGAAAAATTACGATTTAACACGATACAGTAATTGTGATGATACATACACAATATTAACGACACTCATACTAACGCCAAATATCATATGAACTACACCAAATATGATGGACAATTTCATTTTGTAAGAATTTAGGTGCACTATTTTATTACTCGCTAACATCCATACTGGATCCATGCCAACTGGGTATGGATGGTCGGCGTACGAAATTTTTGGATCTAAACTGATCGATTTGTGACTAACAACATCTTCAACGTTGTAAGAGCTTACATTCCAACTAGAGCTAAAAATATTTAACGATCGCGAAAATACATCGTTGTATATAATACCAGTGTACATTGAAAATAAACCCATTAATAAAATGATATATCTGCCACCGAAAAATATATTCCATATTTCATTGTTTGACTTTTTCATTGATAATTCATTTTCTTTGAGCACCATAAACAGTCCAAATAAGAACAAGAGAAGCCCTAGGTAATATTATTTTGTTAATAAAATATTTTCTACTTTGTTTGATTATTCTTGTGTGTACGTACCATGACCAGCGTCACCAAACATAATACTGAATAAAAATGGAAATGTTACTATTGTGTAAAGAGCAGGATTAGCTTCCCGATAAGAAGCAACGCCATACGCATCAATCAATATTTGAAAACCTTTGGTATATTTATTTGTTTTATAGAATGTCGGTGGTTTTTCTTCAGTTTCAATAGTGTTGAAAATTGATTCGATTGCGCTGCCACTTTCCCTCTAAAAATTCATTGCTCATTATGATTCTTAAACTATATAGTTACGATGAGTTTCAATGGGAATCATTTACTTACCGATCCAACATTCAAACAAGTCTGCACCTTTGCTAAATCGGATTTTGGTATCCAGCACTCTCCGATGAGACATTTACTCGATACATCTACGTTGAAAAGATTCATAGTGTGATAAATAGCTTTGATTTTATTTACAGCGATACTCCATCCCGGTAATTGTTTAGCCACGTTTTGCAAAACGCGTAGTCGATGTTCTTGGGTTTGATTTAATACCTTTCAACAATTTCAAATTGTAATAGATGCGTTTATTAAAAAATTTATTTTTGCAGCTGGTTATTTTGAGACTTACAATTTTGAGATCTTCGATCCTAGTACTGACACCGCTTATAATCTCTAACCTTTTCATATGGTTACTTGGGCAAGGGTACAATGATAGACAGTGCTGCAAGCCACTACAAAGTTTTTTAATGCGGGTTTTTAATTCTTCTCCTTGAAAAAATGCCACAAAGACAGTTTTATAAACGTCATCTCCCTGATATTTGAAGTTTTAAGATTTAAGTCATGTCCATTTGACTGTTTATGCATAAATTAAAAGCTTATTACCGTTGCATGATCTTTAAGACGTTCTGAAATATCTGTTTGACGAAGAAAAATATTGCCATGAGAAACACGCCACATCATTCGTTCAAAAGCTGCCATACGTTCTCTATGCATCACTCCGGCAATAAAACTATAAGCAGAAATTTTTTTACACTATTGACCAATTTTGGAGATGAATTTTTCTTCACTTACTCGAGACAACCGCTTGCATCTTTTTTGTCGTCGGTCATGAGTGCACGAGTCGCCGTAGTGGTATCTTCCTATGAAAAAAGATGAATTCACATAATAAGTTAAAATATTAAACTTATAACTTATGAGATCATTATTTTACCTCAGCGAAAAAAACATCAGCTGCCTCTAGCATAATGCGAAGTTCTATTAAATCCAAAACGCTACGCTGTAAATTTTTAGCATTCTGAGTCAGTTCTGAAATGTCACTTTCGGTTTTCTCAATCTGAGCCTAAGAACGCGATAAAAAGAACTAATTATTTTCAATTCACTATTTTTTCAGATATTATAAAAATGACAATAAGCAATCAACCTCTAGATTGATCATTTCACGTGGAAGAGGAGCACGTGGTAGTCCAAATAGGTCCATGATGATTATATTGTCTTTATTGACTTCTTCAGTAATATACCTTAATTTTCTCTCCATTTCTTCGCAACGTCTAACTTCGTTAACATATTTTCGTTGAAAAGAACTTAAATTCACATTTAGCTATGGGTGATACAGAATTTTATGTTTTTTGATGTACAGCAATTCTTACAACATGTACTTACGTCCCGAAATTGAACAACACCGGTTTCGCCAATTTCAGAAATAGTCAAATAAGCTGATTCAGGTTGTAAAAACATTTGACACAGGCTCATTTCTTCACTTCGGAATAATGAACCCATTTTGTATACTAGTAAATTATTAGTTATGTGTCAAAAATATTGGACAAATTATAAATTAAAAATTTTTAAATCTAATCTAACTAGCTAAAAAAGCTCTTTAACTAGTTATTTAATCTAATGTAACTAGTTAAAGCAGCTCCACTACTATTATTCGATAATATTTAAAAGTTTCATAAAAAGCAAGATTTACCTTGAAATTTAAGCGAAGAATTAATGTAATACAACAGTAGCTCAAGTCAAACGATGTCAAACACCTTGGTTCCAAGCCATTCACTTAACAGTCACTTTAGTATTGTGTAAACATAAACATCCGTAACATAAATTCTCCTTTTCTGCTTAAATTTTGCGCAGATTTCTTCGATTGCCACAACATAACAAGTATTGACATTTGGCCCATAACAAAATATATGCACTTACATTGAGGCCATTATCAATACTAGTTAGACAAAGCATCTTATGATATCTATGATTAAAAGTATTTCTTATCTCAAAAAGAATCCGCTTTCATATCGATTTCCTGAATTAACAATTATCAGAACACAAGTTCTAGTCATTAAATAAATTCGATTTAGATAAATATTTTCTTTCAAAGGAGTTCAACTTCTTCGTTTTTAGGGGAATACGAAATTAATATTTTTCATTTCTCACAGAAAATTTGAGAGCTTAACTGCGAATAATGTAAACCTACTCACGACTTATTATTTTATAAGTGTTGTGAAATACAGATATTCACTCAGATATACGCATTCGTAAGATAATGTGCAACCATATCAGTTTTAATAATGTCATCGGTCTTATCAAACAACTTGGTATTATGAATCTAATTCATAAATGTTTCACCTATTAATCACGTTGTTTAAACAAATACTTATTTACATGAAACTCATTAATGGCTTCGAAAATTAGTGGTTAAAAACTGGTATCAATTAAATTTATCTGCGTCAAAAATTGAATCATTAATTAAAAATACTAAATTTTGCTACAAAAATTTGAGGATTTTCCTTCTAAGCCTTCAAGAATTGAATGCAACATTAATATTTAATTTCTTTTGGATGAAATTTCATGTTATTTTTATTTTTATATCAATAACTAATTGTTACTTAATTTTTTTTTTTGAATTGATCATAACACGAAATATTGGTCCAAATCAATATAAATATTAACTTTATAAAAATTAGCACATACAATTCTGTACCCAACTTACATGTACATAATGTACTACATGGTAAAAATCTCATAACTTAAAGATTTTTCAATCATTAAAATGTTGGACACCTAAAATAAGTGAGTGTTTGTATGCTTAATCAATTTTTTAGTTGAGGCCTCTTTCCATTACTCAAAATGCGAAATTATTTTACTTGAATCGTAGTAACTAATTATGAGCAAATTCATTTTTCTCTCATTTTATCCCTTGATTTGGAAAAAAACATTTCAAATCTAACCTTCAGACGAAAATTTCTTTTAAATCATTATTGCTTTATACATTATATATTTTGTTCTAGGAAGTAAAAAACTGAAATTCTTTTCTGAGATACATTAGACATCTTGCGATTGTCGGATAAAAAAATGGTCTTCCTACGAGCACCGGTACTAGAGGTAAAGGGTACACGTTCCATATACGTAAAAGGTAGAGTGCGGAAAATATTTTTCCAATGTCTCTTTACTGGCAAAACGAATGCATTTGGCTGTTTTACTTAGAAACTTCGCATTTTATCGAAAAAAAGTAACTTCTTCATTTTTTTTTTTTTTTGTAAAAAATACAAAAATATTTTTCAAGCTAACTATAAATGAAAATAAAAAGTCTTGGTGATGTGTGCAGGAAGGAAAGTATCATTTTTCTTTACAATCTAATGGTCTCATTGGTTTTTTCATTTAAACGAGACATTTTGAATTTTTTGAAAAAATTAAACAATAAATCACTCAGACCTCTGTTATTCCTGCAGAAAATGTTTGTATGATTGTGTTTGTACATTTGACCTTGCCATTGGAAACCAGAGTTTAAATACATTGAAAACTTATTTTATACATTTTTTATGGGGACATTAATGAACTTTTCTGACAAATTAGAAATTGGGCGATTTGCCACGCAGACTCCATACTACGAAAGTTTATGTGAAAAGCCAAATAATGTGTACTTCTGAAAAATGAGAATCTTACTAAAATCAATCGTAAATTTAATTGAAACAAATCTTCTCTTTATTTGGAATGAACTATATTTTTTATAACGAAAGTTTGACATCCATAGACATAATTCATCTTGAAGCGGTAATTTCCGGTTCACAATGTTAATATTTTTTGGAAATAACAATAAACATTTGCATTATATAATCACAACTAGTTTAGCAAATAAATGTAAATTATCTGTTACTAACTCGTTGTTTAGTGATTAATCATCTTCCGTTGATTCTTCAGAATCTAAAATATTTTTGAAACTGAACGGTTGGAAAATATAACCTTCGCCTTTATAAAATTTGCTCATAAATTCGACCCTAAAATAATAATTATATCATTTTTTTATCAGACTTAATAAAATTCTATCAGTGATATTACAACCAGACTTACCAATGCAAACGCAGGGTGTGAAGGAAAGCAGACAGACCCTCCATCATTACTAAAATTGCAAGAGTAAGTAAGGACCAAGCTCCAAATGCCAGAAACAGGTAAATCGCTTTTAAATATTGACCCTCTTCAGCATTGAAACCAAATTTAAGAACCATATTCCAGAGGACGTCTGACAGTTGAGCATGGGCCAATGATAAAGCCCATAAACGCAGATACGAAGCTGTATGAGATACCGTAGACAGTACGTATTCGATCGTGTGAATCGCTTGATGAATCATCATTTCGCCAAATGATTCTTCTTCACCATGACCATCGTCATGAGATGAAGCATGATTAGCTGTACCGTTGCTTTGTTGCAATTCAACGTCTCCGGAGCCCATCCCATTTGCCTATCATAAAATATTGATTATTTCAAAAATTAGAGATCGCATTGTTGAAATGTTGTTTTGTCATAAACTTACAATGGGTTTCGATTTTTTTGATTTCTTCGTACACAAAAAATATATAGGCTTTCCAAAAAGCATAAGAGGAATGCAAGCAAGAGCCACAAATACAAATGTCTTTTGCAATATTCTCTGACCTGCGAATATTTCTTCAGGACATTGGAATTTATTTTTATCAATCGTTTCTCCTTTATTATCGTATCTAAAGAGCATCATGTTTATGAAAGTTATAAGAATCGATGGCGCACACCCTTCCGAAAAATCGCCTGTTGAAAATTAATTTTTATTACCTCAATTTTACTAAATCATCAACTTCACCGAAGATAAAAAAATGAATGAATTCTTACCTGGGTATTGTGCAGAGTACAAAATCCATTTCATAAACATAAGGGCAACCATGTATGCAAAAAGCAATACCAGAAACAGTAATTGCGGTAAATATTCAAAGATCAGACTTGAGTATCTCTTGAAATGTATAATATTGACGACACTGACAGTGACTCCAAAAATCATGTGAACGACACCAAATATTATGGATAGTTTCATCTTATATGAATTTGAAAAGATAATTTTGTTTTCAGCCAAAGCCCAGACAGGGTCCATGCCGACGGGATAAGGATTCCCCCAAAAGGAAGTTTTTGGATCCAATTGGTCGGAATGATGAATCTTGATATAATTTTCATTATAGCTGCTTACGTTCCAGCTAGATTGAAAAATGTTCATTGATTTGGAGAATATGTCATTATAGATTATGCCAGTATATATCGAGAATAATCCCATCATTAAAATGATGTAGCGACCACCAAAAAATATGTTCCATATTTCGTTTTTAGATTTTTGTTTTAATATTTTTTTTTCTTGTGTAACCATGTAGAGACCGAATAAAAATAATATAAGCCCTGAAAAATAAACGAATAATCTTGAATCCATACGATTTTTATGGAGTATAAATTCATAATTATTTAAAAGCTAACCATGGCCAGCATCTCCAAACATGACACTGAATAAAAATGGGAAAGTCACAATAGTATACAGGGCGGGATTAGCTTCACGATACGATGCAACACCATATGCATCAATTAACACTTGAAATCCTTGAGTGAATTTATTTGTTCTATTGTAAGTAGGAGGGTTTTCATCTGTATGCAGTATATTCAAAAAAGATGGAATGGCATTTCCACACTGACGCTGAAAAATTAATGAGAATGATTGATAAACGTATAATATGAGTTTTTAATTAAAAGTTAAAACAATATGAATAATACTCGTTTGGCATCTATAATAAATCAAGATAAATTTTCTTAAACGAATCACAATCAATAACTCACCGTTCCCTCAGCTAAGCACTCTTGCACTAAACCAATATCAGCCATCGGTACCCAACACTCTCCGATTAAGCATTCCTTTGATACATCAATATTAAACAAGTTTAGTGTATGATAAATTGCTTTCATTTTTTTAACTTGTATTTCCCACGTAGATAAATCTTTTGCCACGCTCTGCAAAACGCGGTAGCGATGATCTTGAGTTTGATTTAAAACCTAAAATAAATAGAATAGAACCTAATTATCATAAATTTTGAATAAATATAAATGCATCTCGAAGTTATTAGAAATTTTACCAATTCAAGATCAGCAATACGCGTTTGAACGTGTTTGTTCATTTCTTTGCGTTCGGTATGATTACTTGGGCAGTGATGGATGGAGGCGTGAAAACCACTGCAAATTTTTTGTATTCTTGATTTTAATTGTTCTCCTTGGAAGAAGACTACAAACGTGGTTTTATAAAGCGGGTTGCCCTTAAAATTAATTTATAATTAGATTCTTATTATTTTATACATTTTGGACTATGAAAATAATAATAATTTTGGGACATTACTGTAATTGGGTCTTCCAAAGGTTTTTCAATATCAGCTTGTTTTAATAAAGCGTTACCCCTTGAAATGCGCCAGAGCATGCGTTCAAAAGCGGGCATGCGGTTCCGATCAATTACTCCAGCAACAAAACTTTAAAAAATAAAAATAATACAGTTGACATTTTCCTATATACAATGCTTCCTTATTGAATATGAGTAAATGAAGAAACCAATTCAAGAAAATGGAATTAAAATGTAAATTTGATGATTAAATATGATAATTGAATTTTATGAAAATTAATAATTTTGATTAAAATTTAAAATGACATTCGTGTCAAAAAATAAAATATAAAATGATTCCAAATGATGCATATGCTTTTGAAATAGTAGCTTACTCTAAGCGTCCACGTTGAGTAGAGTGTTGGATTTGGGTTTCCTCGCTGAATACGCGGCCCATTGTATCCATATCTGCCTGTAATTGATAAAACATAAGAGTGATTTTTATAAATATAAAATATGAACTTATTATTTTTCAAATGCATAGATAGTATAGATGAATTCATTTAAGAATGCTGATAGTACCTCAGAAAAGAAAATGCGAGTTTTGTCCAAAATATAGCGTAATTCAATGTCTTTGAGATAATTAGCTTTTAAATTGACAGCATTCGAATTGAGCTCGAGAACATCATGCTCTATTTTTTCAAGTTTGGCCTGAAAATAATGCAAGTTATTTTTTCATCAAGTTTAATTAATATTTTTAAACGCATCAATTTCAAACCTCAAGATCGATGATTTCACGAGGATTAGGTGCACGAGGCATTGGTCCAAATGTTTCGGGAATTAGGACATCATGTTTGGCTACTTCAGATGAAATGAAACGCAATTTTCGTTCCATCTCATCACAACGGCGTACTTCATGGACATATTTTCGCTGAAAAAGGCTGACTTCACTGTTCAGCTGTAAATTAAAACAAAACAAATGAATACGTTCCATAATGATCCTCAAATGAAGAATTAATTTTTACTCTTAGTATTGTACTTACATCACGGAATTGAACTTTTCCTGTCTCTCCAATTTCCGATATAGAGAGATAAGCGGCTTCGGGTTGGATGAATAATTGGGCCAGGCCCATTTTTTCACTTCTAAACATTGCTCCCATTTTGGAGAATGTTTTATTTTTTTGATCTGTAAAATAATGTAAATCATAGATTTTTCATAGTTGTAGTACACTAAAAATATAAAAGTGTAATGTCTACAAGAGAACTGTAGTAAACTTAACGATTGACATTGGTAGCTGCTACCAGATTTTTCTGTCGATACAACTAGATTTTCTAATGTTTGTTCAATCGAAAAATTAAATTTACTTGTAGGTAAAAGTGATACGTACTAGAACCGATCGACTATGGCGCTCTAGTAACCATCACTAACTATAGGACAATTAGTGCTGAGGATGATTTTATATTTGCAGTGTACACAATGCTGTCATGTGATTATAAGTGAGCTATATTAATAACAATGATTTTGGAATGTTTGGAATTTTTCAGGATATTTGGTTTTGAAATATTTGAAACCATAAAGTAGTGACGTTTTATCAATCAATTAAATTATCAGTTACGATAATAAAATAGTAAGTGAAATTGATGAATCGTATGGTAACATAATAATGATTTCGTGAATCTCAGTGACTGCCCCACCCAATCATAAATCTTAAAAAGTAGTTATTATTTTATTTAGAGAGTGAAATTTGGAAATTTTTAAGTAGATCAATATGATCGCTTAAAGACTTTCATAACTACGCATCGTTAGGTCGGTCGCATTACAATGTTTAAGTTTGCGCATTGTTTGTCGAAACCCCGTGGAGTCACGAGTGATTACCGAGCGAGTTACTGTTCAGTTTCCTTCTTACATCATATTAATTTTTAATCAAATCTGTTGGTGAATCGAAAAAAAACATTATTCTTGTAAAAAATAAATTGCTTTAAATAAGCATCTGAGAATAGAGTAATTAAGATGCGTAACTTAGATAAGACAGACGCTTTGAAATTTAAGTTGAACTCGTGCTGCCTCACATGACTACGATAAGCGCGTCGGACTACATAAGCCTTTGAAAATCTTTGTTTTAGTTTAGTTTTAAAATGTAAACTTTTCTTATTACCTAAAAAAAGTATTGTATTGTTGCAGTACGATATTTTTTAAACTTAATTTGATAAAATATGGTAGATATTTGACTGATCAAATGTAATGTAATGTTAGATCCACTTAAAATGAGAGAGATCGTGTAAATCTACTAACTGGCACTGATTTACGTCCCAGTAAAGTAAATAAGAACAAAATAGAAATTGCAGATCACTCACGTGTTCAAATCCAAAACAGTCCCAGTAATTATTTTTCTATTTCTAAGACAGTGATTGACGGAATTTCACAGGCACGTTCAACTTGACTCGCGCCACTCACCTGATTCACCTACGCGAAGTCACATACTAAAAGCCATAACGAATCGTTCATACATCTATATACACATATATATGTAGTAGCCTCCAATCTCCTACTCATCGCAGTATGAGATAAGACGTCCCCCCTCTTTTTTTAGCGGAGTTATATCTTCCCAGCTGTAAGGTAAAACATTTTCGGCCCGACGTTGTAAAAACAACTTTAAATGTATTAGAATGGCATTAATTTTTATATTGTTCTTAACTTGTTAATTCTTGAATTATATTATTTTCATCAATTTGTGAATAGAATAACACAATTACACTTTGTTTTATACACAATGCTTAGTATAATTTAATTCATTAAAAATGAGATTCATACAGAAGAAGTAATAAGAATTCGAGTCAATTTTCTATAGAAACATGTGCAAAAAATAACGTATCACTGAAATTTTCTTTCATTTATATGTATTGAAAGTTTTTATTTATTTAATTTGCAATACAGGGTCGTTTCAAAAATTTATGGTAATTTTTTTGATTGCATGAGCTTGAATTGAACACATTTTATTAAATTAATATAAAGGGTTTGGCTATTTAGGGGAAAATCTTCTACGAACTTTTTTCAAATAACCCTAGAGATATCTCAAAAATGATGATATTCGTTTATAAAACTCAAAAATCACTACCATTTCGTATACAAATTTTCCCCTGTATAGACATTTTAGATAATCAATAAATATAAGTCAAAAATAAATCTCAAGAAATTACTTACCAGAAAAAGTGCTACGAATTTTGAAAACACATATAGTTTTATTTTGATCAGATACTATCTTTGTTTCGAGTCATAGTTTTCCCGTGTAACGAATTTTTTCAACTGAGGTTCAAAAAATGATTAATTTATTTATTGATACTATTTTGAATAAGCACAAGATGTAGTCTTAAATAAGTTTTTTAAAATTTTTAGTTTCAAAATGTTTGCATTTTATTGTATCATAAAATATTTCATGTGCGATAGATTCTGAACGGCCTAACCGAACGTGTACAAGCATTTACATCATTACGTTCCTTTTTTCGAATTATTTATTTACTATTCAAATGATTATTATCACAGGATAAAATTATTCAAATATTAACATTTTCACGTACAAAATACTCGTTGTCTAAGACCCTATATATAATATATTATTTATAAATTTATGTTTATAAAAGTTTTAAATTTATATCTCCTTTTAAATTTTTATTAATAAAATATTTATAATAATTTACAATAAAAATTGAATAATTCAATTATTCATAAAGTATTTTACATCGAATCAATTCAAATTATTATTTCCTTTCTGTATTTATCGAAAATATCAACAAGGATAATTAATTTGATTTGTTCTAATTTGAATTTGTCCAGACTTTGACAAGTATTTGTGCTAGCAGCTTTATTCATCAACTAATTAATTTAGAGATTTTGAAGTAAAACATAAAATATACTACGATGTGTAAAGTACCATCGTGTCTGTAAAAACATTTCGAATTCAACACAATTCCATGTGAAAATTGTACATAGATTGCTCTAATACCTTGGTAAAATTAATATAACGATTTCTATAATTGCTTTTAATTCTTTTGGAAAATTCTACGTCATTAATATTTACAAAATTTTACAGTTTCATGAACACGATTTTTTTTCAGCGAGGTATACAGTTGCGTTTAATATTTTTTCATTTAATTAAATGAAGCAACGAAAAACGTGTAGATAAAGTTCGCTTAATACATTGTTTGCGAACTATCTCGAGTGAGAATGATCTTAATTTATTTACAATAGCACTTGCCACATTAGTAAACATTTTTCTCAACAAATGTTAAAGTTGAAAGCTACGATCAAAATATTAAAAATTACGTAGCTTCATAATGAATTCTTATTGAATAATCAAGCGGAAGATCCTCTTTTTGATTATTTGTTAAATGCTAGTCGGTATCTATAGGTTCTTCAGAATCTAGAATCGTTTTGAAACTAAACGGTTGGAAAGGGTAACCTTCGCCAGCGTAAAACTTGCTCATGAATTCGACCCTGAAAATGTCAAATCAATTATTACTCAATTATCATACGAAACAGAGACAAAAAATATCAAAAGTACACACCAATGCAGGCGCAGAGTATGCAAAAAGGCAGACAAACCCTCCATCATTACTAATATTGCAAGAGTGAAGAAGGACCAGGCTCCAAATGCTAGAAACAGGTAAATCGCTTTTTTGTATTCACCCTCCTTAGCACCTAAGCCAGCACTTAAAACCATATTCCAAAGGACTTCTGACAATTGAGCATGGGCCAAAGATAAGGCCCATAAACGAAGATACGAAGCTGTATGGGATATTGTAGACAATGCGTATTCAATCGTGTGAATTGCTTGATGAATCATTAACTCCCCAAATGATCCATCACCATCGTGATTATCAGAGTGTCCAGCGCCAGGTTGATTTGGATTTGATGGATTTGGTTGCAATTCGATATCTTGAGAAGTTGTTCCATTGGTCTGGAAAAAAATTGTTGTATTAAATCTTTGCACTCAAAAAAAAATTTTTTTAATGTCATAACAACTTACATAAACCTTGCGCTTCGTGGCGTTTTTATTGACAATGAAATAAATTGGCTTCCCAAACAATAACACGGGAATGCAAGCAAGAGCAACAAATACAAATACTTTTTGCATTGTCTTCTGACCTTCGAATATTTCGTCGGGACAGTTTGGGGTTGGTTTGTCACCAAAGAGCATCATGTTTATGAAAGTTACAAGAATCGATGGCGCACAACTTTCAGAAAAATCACCTATTAATGATTAATTTATATTGTATTGCTTTTAATAATTTCATAGACAAAGTAAATAAAATAAAAATTAATTGACAAATCTAACCTGTGTATTGTGCAGAATACAGAGACCATTTCAAGAACATAAGAGCCACCAAATATGCAAAAAGCAATACCAAAAATAGTAGTTGCGGCAAGTATTCGAGGAACAGACTCGCGTACCTCTTAAAATGTATAATATTGATGACACTGACACTGACTCCAAAAATCATATGAACGACGCCAAATATTATGGATAGTTTCATCTTATATGAATTTAAAAAGATGATTCTGTTTTCTGCCAACAGCCACACGGGGTCTATACCGATGGGATAAGGATTTCCCCAATAGGTAGTTTTTGGATCCAGTTGAATAGACTTTTGAGACGTAACATCATTTACTTTATAGTTGCTTACGTTCCAATTAGATTGAAATACGTTCATTGATTTGGAGAATATGTCATTGTAGATTATACCGGTATATATCGAGAATAATCCCATCATTAAAATGATGTAACGACCACCGAAAAATATGTTCCAAATTTCGTTGCCTGACCTTCTTTTCATTAATTTTTCCTCTTGGGTAACCATATAGAGACCGAATAAAAATAATATGACTCCTGAAAATTTAATTTTAAACATACACGGAGTTTGTAAAATAAAGTTTCAGTTCAACCTGTGCACTTACCGTGGCCAGCATCTCCAAACATGACGCTGAACAAAAATGGGAAAGTTACAATAGTGTAGAGGGCGGGATTGGCTTCACGATACGATGCAATACCATAAGCATCAATCAAAGTTTGAAATCCTTGGGTAAATTTATTTGTTTTATTGTACGTAGGAGGGTTTTCATCCGTTTGAATTAAATTCAAAAATGATGGGATGGAGTTTCCACATTGCCTCTAGAAAATATATGATAATTATTAGAAACAAACGAATTTTTTTCTGGAATAAACTTTTAAAAACTTACCGATCCCTCGGCTAGACAATTTTGCACTGTCTGAAGATCGGATACTGGTACCCAACATTCTCCAATTAAACATTTTTTCGACACGTCCATGTTGAAGAGATTTAAAGTGTGATAAATGGCTTTCATTTTTTTGACCATGATTATCCACATGGGCAAATCTTTAGCGACACTGTGCAATACTCGCTGACGATGATCATGAGTTTGATTTAAAACCTAAGAAACCCAAATTATGTTTTATCGATTTGCTCAAAGAATCGTTTATATTAAATGGTATATTTAGTACCAAATTCAGATCCTCGAGCCTAGTGGCAACATCTTTGGTCATTTCTGTACGTTCAGTGTGATTACTTGGGCACGGAAAGAGGGAGGCATGAAAACCATTACAAACTTTAGTAATCCGACTTTTCAACTGTTCGCCTTGAAAAAATGCAACAAAAGCCGTTTTATATATCTCGTTGCCCTGAAATGTATTTCACAAAACTTGAAATTTGTCTCGAGGAGTTAATTTGAGAAAATTAAGATTCGTTAAAAATTTTTTTACCGTACTGGGGTCTTCCAAAGGCTTTTCAAGACTAGTTTGTCTCAGGAAAACGTTACCTCGAGAGATTCGCCAGAGCATGCGTTCAAAAGCAGGCATACGCTCTCGGTTGATCATACCAGCAACAAATCTGCACAAACATATCATTTTAAGGTGTAATATTTCATTTTGTTAAGCACATTGATAGCATACTCAAGTCGTCCACGTTGCGTCGCGCTCTGGATTTGGTTTTCCTCGTTAATCAATGCACGACTCATCGAGTCATTGTCCTCCTGTTGGTACATAAAACAAAGCGAACCTTGATTCTTCGACAAAACGTGAGTACCCATCAACCATTATAATAGCGAATGAATTTTATATCATGATGGACTAGATTTTATCTACCTCTGTAAAAAAACATTGTGTCTTCTCCAAAACGTGGCGCAGTTCAAGAAAATTCAAGTAGTTGCTCTTAAGATTAACCGCATTCTGACTGAGCTCTAGAATATCGTTCTCCGTTTTTTCAATTCTAGCCTATTGTTATTACCATTAATGTAATTTTCAGATCAGTATAATATAAAAAAATACAAATATCACCAACCTCAAGATCAATAATTTCGCGGGGATTTGGAGCTCGAGGCAGCTCACCTAAATCATCCGGAATGGGTACACCGTCCTTTTTTACTTCAGCCTCGATGTAACGCAATTTTCGTTCCATCTCGTCACAGCGACGCACTTCGCTCACAAATTTACGTTGAAAATAATTTACGTCACCATTAAGCTACAAAAATGAATGTACATTTTTTTTTATGGAAAAGCAGTTTGCAATATTATTATGCAAAAATAATACATATGTGATCTTACGTCGCGAAATTGGACAGTTCCGGTCTCTCCAATTTCTGATACAGAAAGATAAGCAGCCTCAGGCTGAATAAACAGCTGACATAGGCCCATTTTCTCACTTCTGAACATTGCACCCATGTTGAATGGTAATTGTCGTTTGTTCTAGTGTAAATACTGCAACAAAAATAATTAAAATTTCAGTCTATGAATATATTACACATTTAGTTTATAATTATTTCAACTTCTTAAAGTTAATAAAGAAATGATAATAAAACGTGAGCATTATACTTTATTCACAATATTACTCGTCAATAATTGGTAAAAAAGTAATTGTTTAACTCTCATTGGTAAACTTATGATGGAACAATAAATTAAAGTACTCAAGGATAGAATGAGAAAAATAAGCACGAACTAGCTTTACAATAATCACTACACAAGTTGTACACATGTGTACGGACATAAAGTACCGTCACGCGGAGCTTATTCATGAGCTCATATAATATACATTCGTTACATGCGTTACACATGTAGGTATATGCGTACGTATGTACACATATAGCCCGGCTTGTTGTCGTTTGATTTTGCTCGCGGTAAACTTGCGGTGCGACCTCAGTCTCGTTTGATTATTATTCGCATAATACATCTATGTATGAATGTTTGATCTATCATCTAAATTAACAAATTGTTGCTGTAACAGTGAGCTTTACTGATGCACACTCGCAGCGACTGAAATTCAAGAGCCATCATTTTTATTGACCTATATACACTTGAAATTATATCAAATGTTTCAATGCGTTTTTTTTTATTAAAACGTTATTCATAAATATTTTTAAAAGAAAAATAAGGCTTACACTTTTTACGGTAAATGAAAATAAATAAAAAATGAATTCAAATATTTAAATTTACCTAGTTATCTTTCAAACGGATATGACAAATATTTTAATCTTTAGAATAGTTGCAAATCGATTTTCATTTTACTATTCGATCAGAAACAATTAATCATTGGTTTAAAAAACACGTTCCTTTGGAAAGTTTCATTCAACAAAATACGTCGAGTAAATAAAACCATGCGTGCATCGAACTAATGTGGTAGCTTCGTGCCAACTCCGTATATACACTTAAGAGAGTAAAATGCACATGTTTAAATTAACTAGATAAATTGTGAAATGTTTGAATTATGTACTGATTTTGATTATACGTTTTTGTAAAAATATAGCGTTTATTAATTTTCGTCTTTTTTTGAGTGTTTGAAAATGGTAACTTCGTTTACATATTTTATATTTTCTGATTAATATTCGGTTTTGATAATGAGACACATATATTAGTATCCCGTCATTTAATACACGTATGTTCAAATTGGTTGCTAAGTATTATTAAAATTATCAGTAACAAGACTCAAATGTAGATCTCTATGCATGATACGTTGTAATCGTTCTGCAGTCTTCGTAAGATGCAATTGAGCTCGTGTTGTCAGAGAAAATCTAATAGTTACAATCACGCGTGATCGCAGAATTCATACAATGGCCTCATTCGTTCATCAGCATTAGTTCATTGAACTCGATTGTGAGAATCATTTCATAGGCTAAAAATTTTATTTAAAATGTAAGGAAAATAACATTAACGTACCAATAAATATTAGTATTAAAGAGAACATTTTTGCGCGAGGAGCAAATAATTATATTATTTTCTAACTACATATGAGGACGTGCAATATGTCGTGTACTGTAATGCAAAATTTAATACGTGATGTTTAAGTTCTCAAGTATTTGTATTTAGTAAAACAAAATTTTTTACTATACTTTATGAAATAATTCTAATTTTTCATAGCTTATTTTTTATGTAAAACAAACATGAATAAGACTGCTAAGATGTGGCAAAAAAATAAAGAAAAACTTACGTTTTATATTTAACCGATAGCTTTTTTCGATGCCATAGTAAAATAGCTCGTCAAAAATATAAAAACTCACGCGCAACTGATGCTCGCATCAGTCGCATGCAAGTATGTAAAATTGCATACCCATCACTGCGTCAGATAAGACCCACTCCCACCTTTACAGTCAAATGCCTTATCTTTTCATTTAAGAGGAAAAAAACTTCGATCTCTTTTGGACAAGTAAATTGCAATCGTTTGTGCCAACAATTTTGAAACTACTGCCGTTCTTTTAAATCAATCATTATTACTGTATCAATTAATTTATAATAAATTATAACTATTTTCCACTGAGTACTTTTTTATGTTTTGAAATGCAAAAAAACGTTTATAGGCTGAATTACAAGTTGAGAATTAAATGATCGTGATTAAGTAGTGGATAATGATCTTTAAAACTAAAATTTAATTACCTTTTTAATAATTTAATTCAATCAAGAAAAAGACATTTGCAAGTAAATTCAAGAAAACATTTACTTTATTATATCAAATCTCAAGTATATATAGATTAATATTTATATACGTTATCAGCAGCATTCATTCTGAATGACCGTTCTAAATGTAATTGGAATCTATACTTTCACTTTTTTCATTTGAATTGTAAAACTTTTTGATGCTTGCAAACAAAATGATAAAAATAAAACGACTTTTTTCTTGAATTATACATTTTATTTTTAGTAAGTGCAATAGTGAGTAAGTAATAATATTGAGGCCACGGTCGTTTGCTAAAATTCACAAAAACTGGGAATTCTCATCAACGGTCATACGTAGTGAACGAAAAATAATGAAGACTAAAAAAGGTATTAAAATATATTACTATAGCTTTTAATTTTTCACACGTTTACAAATATTATAGTTTATGTGCAAAGCTTTTTACTTGTCAATTGTCAACCTAATTCAAGAATCATACTCTACTAGTACCCTCTGAATAGTTTACCTTCTGAGGGTATGCATTGACTCATGCGCTAAGGTAGATTCATCATTTTACCACCAGATGTCGAGAGGGACGAATTTCACTCTCCACAATCGAGTTGTCCCAATAAAGTTAGATATAGAACCGCTCTGCCCGTTTCAGTTTGACATCCTTGTCTAGGAGAGCATAGTATTCAATGATCGTTTGGAGAGGGTACTGATGCTGAAACCATGACAAATAAATGCCGCATCGTTGAGCATGTGCTCGATAGATGCAATTTTTGGGGAGGCCTCTTTACTTTACAAGAGGCCCGATAGCAAACGCAGTAATAAGAACATTTTAGAATTAATAATTTTTCGTTAATGATTTAATCTAAATGAATTAATCGTATTTTAGAAAAATTAAAATTTTTTTAATTTTCATTATGATTAGTGATAATCATCATAATTAAAAATACGACGTAAAGTAAGGATTCAAACATTAAAAAATAAATTATACTTTAAACTATTACAGGTTAATCAACGATAAATATCTAAGAGTCGAAATTGTCCTTATCTCAGCAATTCATCAATAATCCATAATACTAATGTTAGTGCTATTAGCAGAAATTTAACTTTGCGTTAAAAAAGAAGCACTGTTAGTGTAGCATTCATTGGATGTTTTTCCAATATTTTTTGGTTCATGAACTAGCTTTTACCATCTCGCTATAATTTACTTCTGCAACTATCATGTAGACAAATAAAAAGTCAATAATTTTAATCTACACTAGTTTGTCAGTTCAATTACTCTATCTAGACCGAACAATATCGCATACTGATTCAATCGCGTACAGCCCGAGGAAAAATAAACATAACCAGAATCATTACGAAATGTTTTCATAGTTTTTCTATGATGAATGAAAGCAAACTTGAACATTATTTTTTATTTTGTCTAGAAACGAAGAAAAACACTTGTGCTTGCAGGAATAAAATTGAATTTCGCAAATTATGTAAATTAACAATCGAATGATAAAAGAGATTCAAATTTCATTACAATTGATCTGTTGGTTTAACGGAGGTAGAAAAAAATTAATAAAGCGATTGTTAATTTTTAATGCTTATTTATCACTTGGGCTATCGTTTTAAAACCGTGTTTAACCAGTGCACAAACGTGGTCTTGGAATTTACCGATAAGTAGGTCAGCGGTCGCTGCGAATATTTGTTATTAATACGGGTGAGATACGGTTATATATGATTACATTCATGCATTAATTACGAGGAAAACCCCTGAATCCACGAGCAAAAGTGAACGTTTCCTTTTGACCTTATGAATTTTTCATCAACAACACTATCGACAGCGAAACTTTCGTCTTCGCGATATATTTATAAAACAAAGATCTAAATAAAAAAACTTCGAATCAATTCGTCCATGAAAAAAACGTGCTCATAAGTCAAGTAACACACCCTATAAACTAGCTTTGAATACGAAAAGCCTTGATACAATTGTAATTTCTTAGCATTGAACAATTTTTTCAAGTGAAGGTAAGCGAGGCTTGTTTCTTTATCGAGGTTATCTAGGGGTGGCAGTTACACACACAAACACACACAAGCTCACACATGCCCAGTCTGTATGATTCAAATAACGGCAAGGAAAAAAAGTCTACAAGATTTTTTATCGGAAATGTGGCCGTAGTTTCCAGCTTTATATCGCGTGCGAAACACGACCAGCGTTTTCTCGACGTAATTGTTCGGTAATCGAGTGGCGGTATCGGTGATTTTGCGACGTAAGTAATCGATTATTCAAGCCGAATTACACCAAGGAGCAGTTAAATTTGTTATAATTGATGCCATTCTTCTGTGCGGCGTGTGCCATCATTAATCGTAATCACGAGTCCGATTGACATTCAAATGGTACCAACTTTTTGAGCAATATAATTGAAAAAGAATGAATTTTAAAAATGGTAAAAATTCGAAATGCCATCGAGTCCACCGCCGACCAATGAAAGAACTAATGGGTAGCACTCGAGTTTTGTAACTTCTTATCTCATCGCACTCGTCTGATTCCAGTGCAATATACAGCTGAGATGACGTGCAGCACGATAGCAGCTAACGAACGAATTACGCTCGCGGATCATTATGTCACTTGTACAGGTCTTGGATACCTGAAGCAATGTAAATTTCGACGACTGACCCTAATAAATACGAATATAATTTAATACACGCACAGGCCAAGTTACATGAAAATAAAATATCATATGCAAGCACACGATGCCTCGTTGGACTCATCAAGTTTCCGAGAGAGTACACGACTCTCGCTGGTGGTACGAATGCTCTTACACGTATAAGCGCAGCTTCCAACGTTCAAGGCGATAGTGCAGATGTTGCTTTAAATTTGAAAGAATTGCTTTAGGAAATTATTCGTTAACGAGCCTCGCTTACATTTCAGGCTAATTTATATGCAAATAGAGAATTGGGATCGTTAGTCTGCTAATGACACGCACTCCATACACTTTGGCCTGCATGACAACTTTTTCTAACGAGCGTTAATACAAGAAGTATATTTTCATTATAAAGTATGATTCTCTTATAATAAATTAAACACTTCATCGACGATTTCTAATTAAAAAAGCTGCTTTCCAATTATTGAGGTGGAGTAGTTGCATAAATATATCTTGCAAACATAGTCCTAATAGAAATAGTGGAAAATTCGTATTTGATCGTTAGATTAAATTATTTTCTAATAATGGCAATGATTAAATCTCTCAAGTTACAATAAGTGCGAAGAAAAAATCGGCATTAGTTTGCGCAGTCGCGTGCTCTTCGAACCCTCGTTCGCCTCGTACAACAGGTCGTCTACCTTTTCTACCACCAGCCCGCGCGCAGCACGCACGCATGTATAAAAAGAAAATACGTATAAAAATACACGCGCTTATATGCTCACGTCCACGCAATATTTACCGATCCTTGGGGCTATATGGTATAGCTTTAAAAATATTCGAAGGATCGCCAAGCTATGTATCCTACCCTGTGTGCGCTATTTCCGGATACGCGTAGACAAGCCTAATAGCCCATCAAGAGGGTATGTATAGGTAAATATATACGCGCGCGTATGTATATGCGACAAGGCTTTAGATACATGTATATGGACGATGGACGACGCTCTACTTTTGCGGCTTCTTGCTCGACCAGTGACGATGTCGAGCATCCAAGGTGTATAATAACATCTATATGATAAGCTGATGGGGCGCGTGCTTGACTCTGACAATGTATATGGTATCTCTATCTCTCTCACTGGGGTTATATTTATTGAATATATATAAGTAAAATACAAAAACGAGTTTGTTAAATTTGATTTTATTCAGAAATAATTAAATTTGCACAAGTTGCTCCAAATTTCAACGTACCATTACTGTTTCGTAATTTTTATAAGTCAGACTTTTTTTATGAATAAAAGTCAGTTTTTTCTGCCCTATGTTTCGATTAGAGAAAATGAAATTTGTCCACTTCCAGAGACACATAAATGGATTGCTTGCACTCGTTGTGCGTGCTTACATATAACATCCTCTGTGGCAAGCATATCATTCATTACAAACTCGCGCGGCTATTCATACATGAGATTAGATCTCCTCATGTGTTACATGATTTGATAGTTCCGTAACTCAGTAAGGCATAGTTACAAAAAATAGTAGGCCGCACTCGACTCTATTGTTACCGACGTGCTGAGCAAAAAAAGCGGAAAAGCATCCTTGTTCTATTCATTCGGCTCGCCTATTAAAGTCGATGCGTTCCTTGATTCCGAGATGAAATACACTGTATAATGAATTGACTTTCATCGCATCATTTTTTTTAAAATGGCTCAATGGAGGGAGGGGGGGAGAGAGAGAGAGAGAGAGAGAGAGTTGAAGCATTACGTAAAACAGCTCAGTATCAAACCCGAGATAAAAATTCAAATACAAAAAAATGAAATAAAATTCTCTCTTCCTCCTTTTGAGACAGTTTCACCTCAATTATTGATCATATGTAGAGGCACGCTTGGCTAAAAATAAGCCCGATTCGGACTTGAACAACGGCAATGATTGATCGAGCGGACTTGCGATGACACATACAAATCTTTCGCGACGATAAGTCGTCTTTCCTTTCTCATCCATTAGTATAAATGTTGTGCTCGACATTTTGCCACTCGTCATCGGGTGGTCGATATACCAACATAATGATATGCTCGTGCAACGATCAAAGCAATTTAACAAATCGTCAACAATGTATATTGCAGCCGAGTACCTTCCTTTTCTATTCCATGAATAAAACACGTATAAAGCTCGTGTCATTTGCGATGATGATTATGTACATGTGTCCGGCAGCTGCTTTATTCTCTTCTATTCGCCAAGTATAGATACGTTTGGTCGCATGCACTCGACGCATGCGAACGATTCGAACAATAATTTTATCTGTTCTTGACCCGTGCTTCCGTTTTAATCGTTGAGCTCGCAGTAAAAGAAGCCGCACCCCCATATAGATCGTAGTTTAACGCGGTCTTTCACGTGTTTCAGGCTAATCAACACCAACTCTCGTGCACAGCTCGAATTTTATTTCTCTTTTTTTTTGTCGAACAAATATCAAGTATTATTAGGTCAAAAATCGTAGCAAATATGAAATTAAATTATAGAACATTCTAATTGTTTGGATTTTCAGGTGAAATGCTCTTTGCTTTGTAGCGATTCTTGTGCGTAAATACGTGCTAAGACTAGCTTTACCTCGATTTCTGGTTCGTTATTGTATGCCTTTAACTCAGTACAATATTTTTTTCATTCTAATCGGAATGGTTGGCTAAGGACACTACTGAGTTTTGTTGAAAAAAATTTACTTTACTACTCAATGGTAGGTATGGAATAATAAAAGTGCTGCGAACGAAGGTCAAGTACTAACTCCATAATATTGCACCTGACACATCGATACACTGAGAATGTCGATGGTGTTGCAAGCGAAACATGCATTTGACGGCTGTCTCAACGGCCCATCTTGAATAACAAAGTGGCCCATAACATATTCGTGAAAACGACCTTATACTCATCGAAAAAAAATTTAAAGCTGACGTTGAAAAAGTCCATGCGATCCGAATAGCAAAATTATTGTCGGAAAAATGTATATGGGAAAAAATTAAGAACGATGATGTTGCGAAACTCGAAGCCTGCAACCCACGAAAATGATGGACATATTTTTTTTCACTACTAAGCCTTTTATGAGACTTATAAACGTGTGCAAAATTCGTTGTCGATATGAAACAGCACGTGCAATCCTACAAATTTGTGAAATTTAACTCTAGTCTATTCTTGGAATGGAAAATATTTTTTGAGTAAGAATTATTACCCATCCATCAATGGCGACTCTGTTAAAAAGAGTATGCAACTACTGCATTGGATATTTTTTCTGCATAAATATTCATCGGTTGTTGTACGCGGACATACATACACGCACGGCCTCAGACTTAATTTTGTTCTTACTCTCTCTCTCTCTCTTCTCTCTCAGCCTGTCTTGGCTGACGGCAAACACATCGAGCGGCTCGAGGTCGTATTCTCGCCAAAAGCTTTTATCTAATCATGTTTCATTATATACACATTATACCTTTGAGCATCTATATATACATCGTGTACATGTAAGCATTCGTGTCCTGAAAATATACACTCCGAATGGTAATTTTTAAGGGACACAAAATAAATAAATGGCGGTATTGAATGGAAGTAAAATCAGTTCTTTACCTACAAATTTGCTGAGTGACTTGGAAAATTGTCTTTTTTTCTCAAACGATGCTTGTTAGGGTAGTAGCACTCGATTAAATGGCACACGCGAGTCATGATCATTCATACGTGTATAACTTATATTTATTTTTCACTTACAAAGGATAATGTATTTGCACGAGCTTGATAAAACATGGATAAACGGGAACTAGCAAAGTTTTCATTGATGAATATTTACCAGCCGAGTTCGATCGTCGCAAAAAAAAACGACATCGATCTCCAAGGCTCTTGCGGGGATCGAAAAAGAGAGAGAGAAAGCTTATAACCCCATTTTCTTCATCACGAAAATAGTCGACATGGTCTACCTTGTCTATTACCGGGCAAGTTTATTCAACAGCTATACAATGCGCTTGACGTGGGCAACGTCGTGTTTTTTGCGCCCCTGACATTCTCTCTCTATCTCTTTCTTGACGACGAATTTATGTGTTTTTGCCTATGAATGCAACCTGTTCATTGTGCCAATGCCTAATTCATCCAACTTTAGATTCGAAAAACTTTTAAAAATGTTCATCTTGCCTTTACCAAGAGAACATTTTTCATACTTTATATAACTGCGACCATCGAGCAACAATTGACGTATGTGCAGTGCACACTAAGCACCTGGATCGAAGATAACAACCATCGATTGCCTTTTGAAATTTTATGATTTTTTACTTTAATTTCGTAGGGTTTGCCTCAAAGAAAAAAAAAGAGTTTGTCAGATCTTACGCCATTACTTCGGTAACTTTCATTAGTAAAGAAAATTTAATTGATGCATGAAATTACACTTGCTTCGGTTTATTTTTCTGGCTATTTTCCATGCATTACGAGTTCGTTATAATCAGTTAGTGCAATTTATTTTAATGATCATTTCAAAATTGAAAACAAGTCAGGTAAATAGGTGGATATAAACCCGTTAAAACTGCAGTCGTATAAATTTACGATCAGATTATAATAGAATCAAGCGAATTACCTTCGAACAGAACTTGGAAATTCAGAAAATAAAAATTGTTAGAACTCGTGAAATCTAAGAATATACTCGCAAAGAATATATTTGGATGGGTTCGCAAATGAATAGTCAAAGGCTCTGGGTCTCAAATTTTCTTAAAAATGCTGATCAACAGCAGCGTCGAACATTATGAACTTAATCGTACCGAGGAGATATTGTCTACTACTATTTTCCACTCGTATTATCAAATATTTGAAATTCACGCGGAGTTTAGAGAAAAAATATTTGCTTCCACGCGATATCAGCAATGCTCATAATGAGTTTTCTCGGCTGGCAAAAAATATGGCTCGAAACCCACATTTATTTGATTCTTACGCTGCATACATGATGCCACTGATTCACATACACAGAGGCGCGCGCGCACACACACGGGCTTAACACATACAGGCGCGCGCACGCGAATCGTGCAACAAGCGCGTCAAACTTGTAATAACCAATGAGTATATGTAAGTACGTGTGCGTATAAATACATTGTACATTCAATAATTGGCCGTTTGAAGTTGTCGAACGTATATACGTATTACATTCATACAATGATTGCTTGTATATATGTAATTGACCTGTTGTGCGTTATTATTAGAGTGTCTTTTGATCTTTTCAATAAGCCAATGTTGCATGCGAATGAAAACGGAATATCCCATCCGACCATTTGATTACAAGTCCTAGATGACTTTCAAATACTCACCGTCGAAAGGCAAAAAAAGCCGCACCGACTAAAAATACTATTTTCTTTTTTACTGGCTGCAACCACGCTAGTGCACGTCAATGTTTAATAACATTAGCGTCATCTCTCCAGCAGTGGAGCCTCGGTATTTGTGATTATCACCATGACAGCAATCGAACAATCACACTGTATTAGCACAACACCATGAGCACAAACTCAAAAGTCGCGCGCAAAAGCTTGGATTTTAAAATTTTCTCCGGTATATGTTAGTGTGGGTATTCGTACTAACGATCGATTTGGACGAGAAAAAGAGCAAAAATTTCTCGCAAGACAACCGAGTGTTTCGCAAAAAGCGAATAATATAAATGAGGCGCGCGACGCGAAGCACGACTACTGACCGACCACATAACGACGGCAACGACGACGACGACGACGACGACGACGGCGAACGACCGGCCGATATACACACGCCCCACCACCAACAAATGTGATACGTTGTTTGTATGCCTATACGTATATATTGTATGTGCAACTTGTATAGCCGCTCACCACGCATGCTATGAGCTTCTTAAGCTTGTGTGTATGCAAAAAAAAATGTGTGCTTGCTTATGTGATGAATAAAGCTCGAGAGATTTAACGCATCTGCATACACGACAAAAGTTTTCGTTGTTATTTTTCGTAGGGGAATTAAAATTCTTAGCATTTTTTTAACAAATTGCAACAAAAGTTTATTCGATCCATAAAAAAACTATGGTAGAAGTACAAAAAAATTAACATTGTAAACTTTTTAAATAGTAACTTGTCAAGCTCAACGACTAATCACATTTTGAGTGTATAGTAAAACTATATTTACAACTAGATTTTCACACCGAAACCATTAACATTAACTACTTACTATTCAAGATATATCTTTGTTAAGACTTCAATACTCATTGACCATACCAATGGCACATCTGTGGTTACTTTTACTTCTGATTGTCCACTAAAAGAATTAGACGTACTTATGAGCTCACCAAATTTCATGCATCTTTTATCTGAAAAAAATGAGAAATATAATTTGATTGAAAAAACAATCTCATATTATTATAGCTAATTATTTAAAACTTGAAATTCGACAAAAAAACTTGAAAATTTTAAAAATTTAAATGGATACATCAACGCTATGAACGAAGTGAATCACGATTTCACTCATTTCGTAATGCGAACGTTCTAGTTCTCGTCAACAGCGCCGATATAGCTATTATCATGGCAATTGTAGTTGAGTTGTAATACAAAATGTATTTTTATTAGATTATTTAAATTTTAGAGCACGTACTCAGATCCCATTTCAGTCCTTTAGTTATTACACAATTATTTGAGTTTCCAAAAGGAATAAGTGAACACCAGCTTTTTGCTTGAAGAATTGAATCCGGTATAAGTATCTTGTGATTTCCAGGTTGCAATAACCATATAAGAGATCCACCAGTCATCTGAACTACCTACAAAAATGCATATACATGAAAATTGATAAAATTAAATTTTTTATATAATATCTATACTTACAGGTATTTTGTGCACAATTCTATTGCACTTGTGCAGTGTATTAATTTGCGAAATAATATGATCAAACCTTCCAGACATTTCTGTCAAAACATGTATTCCATCTAACTAGAAATATTAGATTACAGTAAGCAAAATAAAAATGATTAAAATTAAAAAATAAGTACCTTAATTTGATTTTCAGTGATATAATTATACAGCTGCATTAAGGATTTTGTATAATCAGTTTCCATTACATCTGGGGTAACAATAACTTTGGTTTTGGTTTTTTTCAACTTCTCTAAAAGATTTGGCTTAATGCTATCCATGTCACCAGTAACCATTGTGGGTAAATACTTTGTATTACACCCTGATAATACATCAGCAGCACATTCTCCTATATATTCAAACCAAAAATTTGTTCCACCATCAACTGTAACAGTTACTGTGGCTGAAAATAAATCATTTAAAGTTATAAAAATAATAAAATATGTAAATTTCGATATTTTTAAATAATATTGCTAAAAATACCTTTTTCCCACAAAGGCAGTACATAGTCTTCAGGAAGAAGAATTTTTTGATTTAGTATAATAAGTGCATACTTGTAGTTTTTAGGATACTGATATATTTTCATAACATCCCAAATTTCTTCCGAAATTTCATCTTTGGATCCCATTATATATTAATACTGTTCAAGGTAAAATTGCACATAATATCAAAACATTATACAACTATTGGTTGAGGTTAGAAGATAAAAACTGAAAATATATGAATTAAAACTTTGACGTTTATATATTTTTTTAAAAACATAATATTTTTCAAAAATCGAGATAACCTTTGCTGCTTCAATTTTTATATCATTCAAATCTTTACTTGAATCAGATTATAGCATGTGAGTATATAATTAAATGACAACACTATAGCAGAAAACGCTGCAACTTGGAGCGATTCATAATGGTGTACCCGACATTAAGATCAGTTCATAATAGTCTTGCCTGAACGTAATAAGAAAAATGTACACCACTATGTATAATTCATACTACCGCAGTCCGCAACTAATACAATCATAAACACAACATGAACTGTTGAGGTTATGGTTAAGCTGGAAGTTTGACAGTTGTGACGGAAGTCCAGTGTAATTGAAATGTTTAAAAATGTCGAAGTTGGCAAGGCTAATTTTTTTTAAAGCATAAAGTTGAAACTAAAAAATGTGATATTTATCACTTTTTTATTAGCAAAAAACCTTCGAGTTTCCCTTGTTGTAGGTGAAATATCAAAAAATCTTTATTGGCGACTTTTTTATCAGGTTTTAAATACAAAATTAATGTAACTCTTTTCTAATACATTGACTATTACTGTATTTTTTGTTTTTTTCTCATCATGGTTGATGCATAACAATTTATATTTTCATAGACCATAATACCAATAACGACTGAGTTTCACCAATACCAAAGCATAATTTACATTGATTAATTACCTATAAAAATAATTCAACCGAGCTGTCGGTAAAAACTACATGAAAGTTAATTATTATAGGCATCACTTCGTCTTAAGTATTATTCAACGACCTATTGTTTTCTTTTAAATTGATAACAAAACAAAAGTATAAGAGCTGTTGTTACAAAATAATTGCACGTTATAAAAAATCTATTTATAAACATAGAATATAGATTACAATTCATAAAACTTGCGCGTCATAATATTCTGCGAACTATCTCAATTCAATACTTGAGAAAGTGCAACGGTTTTACTAACTTTCAGTTGTTAGAATAATTCTTTTTTACTTTATTTAATTTTCAAGTTTCATTTTAGAGACTAAGACATCAAATACTTGAAATTTTAAGCTTTACATAATTATTATTCAGAATTCATTAATGCATCTCACTCTCGTGGAGCTTCATGAAAGCTCAATCCTATAAGTTACCACCAACTGGTAAACATAACATTAAGTATGGTAAATACAAATTCTATTGAATTCGAATTGAAAAAAAGCTAACTCAAGCAAGTATCATTTTATAGCACTATTTATTTAAATACTATAGCAAGTTTTGAATTAAGAAAGTTAATGTCTATTGAGTTTTAGTTTCTTACGTTAAAATACATTATGCTCATCATCAAAAGATTCTTTTGAATACTGAAATGGCATATTTTGTAAATATTTAATAACATAGTGACACCGTGGATCGATTATATTTTACTGAGTTATATTTGTTATTTGTTGAAGTATAAATTTCTTCAAATTTTTCAAATTCGAACCTAATTAAATTATTTACCGTGATTAAAATTTGCCAATTGGACGAACGGCTTATATTAATAAATGATTCATTACTGCATCATTGCTGCTTCTGTTATACTCGTAAACAATATCTGTCACAAATAATTTTTATAAGTTCGAAATTTGAATGAATAATTTTACAAATATGCCTCCTGCAGACCTTCTCATGAAAGAGAAACAGAGAAAAAAAATAATACTCATTCGATATATTGTAGTCACGGACGCTATAAATGGTTGAGTGATGTCATGTTTCAAACATTAAATCATAAAACAAAAAAGTTATTAAATAAATTCAAATTATTTTAATAAACATGAAGACGTAAAAGGAAAATTTTCATGTGTCAGATTATCGAATGAAGTAAAGCACTCGAATCACTTAGTTAATTTGCAAACATTCGAGCTCTCGCATTTATCGTCTCTGTGAAGTACCGAAAAGTTGAAAAAGTAGCTGGCTGCTATAGTACAGCGCGCTCGTTATCAGTGGCACTGACAACGGTCTAATTTAAAGCCTATTACGATCGCAGTGCAGCAAAAGCCGCGAGTGTGTAAAGCATAATACAGTCGTAGCAGCAGCAGCAGCAGCAATGGTATAGAGCACGACAGTCGTCGCCATTCGCGTGCTATTGGCCTCTTCACGCTCTCCGTGTGTACATACACGGTACAGAGCGGAGCATAGAGAGGGGTGCAACTACGCGCGGCGCACGAATTGTGCACTTGGCACGTTGCATCTGTATATCTCATGAGAATTGTTGCCGAATCACTGCAGCTCGCGCGAGCGCGAGAGAGAGAGCCAGTATTAGAGAGGAGTGCAGCACCCTGTGACTCTGCTGCACTGCCTGTGCTGTGCGCGGCTCTGCAGCACACCCTCTCCGTGTATGTGTCGATGTAATACGTGCGCGACGTTATATAGCCTCCCGCGAGGCAACCCTCTTCCTACTGCTACAACTACTACTCCTCCTGCGGCGCGCGCGAACATGCCAGCGATGACCCACATCACCCTCTATGTGTGTAAGCTCGTGAGTACACATTGTTGTACACATTCATAGACATATATTTATATATACGTATATACATGTGTACACATAAAGGCATATCTTTAAGCAAATTCCAGCATAGTAAAAGCACCCGCAGAGAATTTCAAGACTATGAAAATATATCTGGAATGGAGTTATGCTTGATACAATAATGAAAGCTAATGCTCCTGCACGGCATTTGAAGAATTTCCGAATCGATGAGTAAATAAACTTTTTTTATTCGCTATAATTGGTCAATTTTCCGACATTCCAATCTCTTCCTTTGGCCATACAACTTTGCCGAATTTTTTGTACCCCATGAAAAAGAGGTTTAAAAAAAAACACGAAAACTTGAGTAAATAATAATGGTTATGCGTTGCATTTGACCTGGATAGAAAATTGTGTTATTTCGTATTCGCCACACATAGGTTTTCTTCTCCTTCAGTTGAAACGCGCCACGTTTCGCTTGTGGCACTTCTTTATACTTTTTTTATCCTTTCTCTATACGTGACACTCTCGAATGAGAAACACCCGCGACATTGTCAGAGTATGGATATGTGAATCTCCGTGTGTGTATGTCTGTGTATATGTACACATAACACAGCGTACACTCGTACACACCGTTGAAGATGTATTTTTATCAAATTTTTCTTCGAGTCCCAGGAGAATGGCTATTGCCAGAAGAATCAACCTTGCACTATTTTGTTGCAATGTGAAAAATTCAACCATTTCTTGTTGACGCTTTTTTAGCGCTCTTAAAGTAGGGTCGAATGGGTGTTAGGGAAAAAAGTAATTCATAAACGCACAATCCACGCGTAGCTTACGCTCGCGCGAGTGAAAAGAAAAATTTCCTCTTTCTCTCATTACTACCAAATGTACTTGTTTTTCTTTAGAATTTCCTTTTCTCATTGTTATAGCCGACCGTTAATTTAGCCATTGTTAACCTCTAGCCGACATGCTGAACACTACACCTCGACAATAAAAACAGGTGCGAAAGCTGACTGCTTTATTTTAGTTTGCTTTCCAAAAAAGGGCAAAAAAAGGAGGTGAAATAAAGAATGGTAGTTTCAAGCAGGCTCTGAGAAATTTTTGTACTTTTTTATGTATGCGCACATGCTCTCTGTTTACGTGAATGCGCGCGTAACTTTTGCGCTCATTGAGTAAAAAAATGTGTTACACTCGAGCTAAGTGCCAATGTAAAGTTGACGCGCTAGATTTTTTAAAATTTTTACTTTTCCACGTTTGTTCCGCGTACACAATGAAATCAAACAATTTACGATATCTAAAAATTATGATCGATAAATTTTACAGTAGGTTGAAAAGCAATAAAATAAATTTCACTTCTCGGTACATTCATTTCTACATTTTTTTTATAATTTTCCACCGTTATTACGCAAGTATTCTCGACAGCCCATCTAATTCAAATTTTTTAAATAAAATTATTTCTGCGTACAGTTTAATCTTATTTTTACATTATCGCAACTTGTCTGGAAATCATTTTTTTTTTTTTTTTTAATTCTATCACATGGCCAATACAATTTATTATTTCTCTGAAAATATCGTAAAATAAAAGACTTGTCGAAAGCAGACTCCAAAAATACAATATTTATCCTTCCAATTCTCACATCCATAAGTACAAAAAAGATATAGAATATATATACAGCGCGCTGAAGGAGCTCTATAGGTGACTGGCAGTGTCGTTGTGTTGAAACTTGTACATTATCGAAGGAAGAAGCTGTTCCGACTTGGAAAAGTGAGAGAGAAAGAGAAAGGAGAGAGAAAAGGCGTCGCTGAAAAATGACAAGTTTACTTAGCAGCTCAGTCTCATGAGTCGTATAGTCGCAGGAGCTGCACATACTCGCTCACATGCCTCGAAAGTTAACGTTTCATACGCAAGGATATATCCACGTGCTTGGTGACCCGAAGGCCTTAAACTTTTTTACAGTCTTCGACAACATATGCTTCTGCTCGTTTTATAGAGTGAAATTTGTGCATTTTGTCTCTTGGCATCATCATTTTGCCGCCGCTTCTGTGTGCAGAGCGCGAGCGCGTGTGAAAAAGCAACTTTTATTTTATTGACTCGATTCATAGCCGAATTCAAGAAAGAGAAACGTTTTGAAACACTCGCTGATCCACCCTCTCGCGCGCTCGCATCGGCTTAATTTGTTCGAGCATGCCGTATAAAATTTGCTCGCGCAATGGATCCGAGAGCGCGAGGATAATTTAACAAATGAAGCCACTCGAAGCCCGGTCGGAAATTGAAAAAAACGCTGTACATTCGTTGGCGCACTTGTCGGGCTCGAGCCCCGTAGACAATCCGCGCGTATCGGCAGTGTTTCGCGATCGGGTAAATAATATATCAGCTGGCAAGGCGATAGAACAAATAGGTGTCGAGCGAATCCTGGCCAGGCCGCGCGAGCGAGCGAGCGATATATTGAAACTACGAGCGTAATAGCTTGTATCGAAGAAACTCGAGGCTTAAACCGCCTCGTGTCTGTGCCGCTGCGCTTTGCGCTCCGCGCTCCGTCCGTAATGCTGATCCGAGCGAAGATTACTGGGAAAATGCCAAGACTTTTCTCTCTTTCTCTTTCTCTTTCTCTTCATCGTGTCTTTGGCGCGCCACTTTTTTTCACACCTATCCTCGAACCCTGAGAATTTGTCACTTTTTTATTCTCGCTCCTTTTATTCATTTACGTCGCGTACTTTTCGCTCTGAGGCACTTAAATTTGCTCGAGTTTTTTTTACTTTACTCTCCGATTCCTTACGTTATTCGCTTTCCTTTTTTGCTTTTACGAATCAATATTCAATCTGTATAATATTTGGGTTATCCCCCACTCATCAAACTCGCATATCTTTTACTACTTCAGCCTCTCTCAGTGTCTGCATTATTTAATAATAAAAGCACAATGACAAATTGACCCAGTATTACGACGATGCATAAATTATCGTATGTAAAATTTGACAGGCGACGAATAATTATATATTGCTTCGCGCGCTGAATACTAAGTAAAAATATATATACGTATAACGAAAAACTTGAAAATTCAGCGAGAGCGAAAATTACGCAATGCGAGCCTAGTGCGGAGTGCGAATGCAGTCGATGCGAAATGGTCAACGTCGCGAGCATAACCATGGGGCGTTTGACGAAGGAAGCCCCGCCGAAAGACGTCGTTTATGAAAACTGACGACTTTCTAGGGAAGGTGTCAGCCGCCACATATCGCGTTACTTTACTCTGGCCAGGCGCGCGCGCGCGCCCACTGCCCATATATTATGTAACTGTATCGTATTCGCGCGTTTAGCCGCGGACGATTATAATCGGCTTAGCCGGAGCTAAGCGCAGAGAAAGGTAGAGAAAGATTTCTGCGCTTCGAGTTGCGGCTGACTTTGAAACGGCGGCCCGACGATCGTAAAAAGTGCTGAATTAATTTCGAGCGAAGATGCTGCTGCTCGCTGCTGCTGGCTGCAGGCTGCAGCGCTTGTACAGCAGTGCGAGGAAAAAGCGCGAGAATGTGTGCGGAGAAAAGCTGCGAAGGGTGTGCGTTTATAAAGAGGTTGCGCCCCCTCGTGGTATCGAGTTAGTTGGGAGAGGAGCGCGCAGCAGCAGCAGCAGCAGCAGCGAGCAACGGCCAGAAGCGGCGCGCATTCGGCCAAGCCTTCCAGTCGTGGATGCAATGTGCTCGACAAAGGTCGCGCAGTCCGACGTGCCGCTCGTGTGATAGTGCAACCGATATGCAGGCCAGGACGGACGACCATTGAGTGCTATAGCAGCAGCAGCAGTATACGATATAGCAGACGATAAGATTACGCAGCCGGCGCATACGTGCTCGCGGCCCGCGCGGCCAGCTTTATCTTTATTTTCCGTTTTATTTTTCGCCTTCCCTCGCTCCTCCTGCACACGCCTGCGTAATAATAATATATATTGTGGCTCGAGAGGATCGACGAGATAAATCCACTGAGGAAATTCTTCATTTTCATTTAGGACGGAAGTGAAAGTTGTTTGTGGGTGATAATATGCGGTTCGGATGAAGTCGCACTTGTGCAGTGGTGATGATGATGCAAATTTTTTAAATGATTTCCAAGACACGTCGACGAAATTCTCGAGGTATGTATGCGCTCTCTTTTTTCCATCTTCTACTTCTGCTGCTTCTTCTTCGTCTTCTTTGCCCATTCGAGAGCCCTTCGTCGAATAATGCCGATATTTTTATTTTCTCGAGGAAAAATTTTTCGATTCATGGAGCATAAAATGCATCGATCAGTCAACCATGAATAATGAAAATAAATAATTTCAAATGCAGAATAAGCGAGCATCTGCTGACTCTCTCTTTATCGATTTTCCTCGAATAAGATTTGATCCCGGGTAAAAGATCGTCGTCTTTTGTGCGCCGAAATTAAACTGCAACTACATGCACACACGTACGCTCGTATAAAAGTCACAAAGCCGGGGCCAAGTGTTTGAAAATTTCACGCTCGTTTCGGCTGACGATTCTGTTCAATTTTCGTCATTTTAAATTACCGTCCACTTTTCGTCGGCTATAAAAATTTCCTTTTATTTCCTCGGCTCGACAAAAAAAGGCTCGCAGCCAAATCCCGCGCACTGTTAAACCGATCGCCGACGGCCGTTGATTTTTCCATTCACAATCCGCACTACCAATTATTCGGCGGAGCACATAAAAAAAAGAGTTGATTTTGTCTTAACGAGGCTCCCCCCGGTTGCACATGTGTATACAAACTGCCAACGTAAGCGCGTGAAATCAATATATGATCATATACGGATTGCACGTACCTATTGTGAATTATAGGCTTGAATATTCCTCGAGAATTGGCGCATTTTAAAATAATGAGCAACATTTTCGAGCGCGTCTGCAGATCGCGACACGTACTCCATACGTGCTCTGACGTGCATTATTGTAAAATTGACAAATTTCCAAAGCGAAATTTGCATTTGGCAGTGCATATCGCGAAACGCCTGGGTGAGAGAAAGAGAGAGAGAGAGAGAGAGAATTGGAACGATCATTACTGTGGTAACGAAATAAAAGGGAATAAAAATGCAGTTGTTGCGGTTGTTCAAGTAGTTTGGTAAAGCTCAAGTTGTTGCTTAACAATGTATATGCGATTCCGTCAGCCAAATATAGCTTATGTATACATGTGCTGGGGGTAAAGTTTGAAATGTTGTATAGATGCATCGGGCGAAGCTCGGAGTTTATAATGCCGTCGAGTAGTTGGACGTGCACGTCAGACCGCGGGGGGTTGTGATTAGATTGATTGATTATTGAAAAGTCCATTGACCTCAATTACGTGGGCTATTGATGCACATCTATCTCCTCTCTCCCCCTCTCACTCTATATATATGCATGTGGGCCACTCTGGCGCGATTAAGTATACGTACGATGCCGAATAGCGAATAGCGTTATACATACATGTGTCTATGTGTGTGTTGTTGGGCTGGTGCGATGTGTGCGCAGATCAGCAGTAGCGGCAACATCTCTAATCCGCTGCACTGGAGTTGAGAAGCAGCTCGTCGAGCTGTCGGCCGAAGCAGCAGGAGTGTTTGCGGTGTCGGTGGCGGTGGTGGATGCAGCCGTAGCAGCTGCGTAGCACAATGCCGCCGGTATCAATCGGCGAAACGTTGCGCGTCTGGCTGCTGTCGGCCCTGCTGGTGCACGGCGCCGTCGCCGGCAATCCCGACGCCAAACGACTCTACGATGATCTTCTTTCCAACTACAATAAACTCGTCAGGCCCGTCGTTAATACCTCCGACGTGCTGCGGGTTTGCATCAAGCTCAAGCTCTCCCAGCTCATCGACGTCGTAAGTACACGCATATTTCATATACCCAATTTTAGCTTCGATGTTTTCTCCTCGTTATTTTTTTTTTGGTGCGCCTCGTAAACACACCTCGCTCGTTGATGAATTAATAAAAAACGCGGCTTTTTCTTCCACTCGGCTCGAGCTTATTGCTACAGATATTCGCGCGCTCATCGATCTCGGCTTTAATTAAATGCTGCATATAGATATTAGACGATCGGCAGATATCGCGACTCGCTGAGTAATTGATTGCTTCTCTCTCGAAGGCGCCCGCTGCCGATGTGCGCCGCGCTGCCACGGAATATTCAAATGAGAGACAGGAAAAAACTCAACTTCTCGAGCAGTGACGCGAGATGGATCCATAAGGATATCTTCAAATTAATAACTGCCAGCTGCGAGTAATAAGAGCTTAGGGCCTCGTTACGGTTTCGCTGCGCCCGATAACTTTTTTTCCTTTTATCTGCGCAAAAAAAGAACGCGCACAAGCGTTAAAAGTCCTATATTCGATTACCGCTCAAAACAAGGATAATACCTGGGCTCGCTCCTTTCGCTACGATAGTCCTCCACGATGATATCTACGCTATGTATAGCAGAGGTCGCACAATACGCGTGAAAAGGAAAAATAACAAGAGAAAAGTGTTGGCTCGGGTGTGGAAGAGGGTGAAAATAGAGACGTAAAAAGTCATTGTTTGACTCTCAACTTGTGCGGTTCTATTGGTGAATATACATACAAGGCAGTAGATTCACTTTTTCGAGAGCGTGAGCTGCTGCTCGCAAATTGCGAAAGCTTCGACTTTTACAATTTATGTGAGAGTGTATACGTGCGCGTCTGTGTACGCTCGTGGGCGCATATGTTTATAGAATCGAGAGAATCGAAAACAGCAAAGCGGCAGATTTTTTTTGCTCCTTGTGGCCTTTACATTCCTCTGCGCTTTGTTGTTTTTGATTCGCTGACACGAGAGATAAAGAGTAGCGCGTTAAGACAGAACTTTTATCGAAAACCGATGATACTCTTTGCAAAGCTCTCGAGAGCACGTGTGTTAAGCTCCGATTCGTGTAAACCTGCACGTTCGTTACACACTGGCGTTTTGATTTTCTCATTTCGAAAACTCTAACGAACGCCCAGCCGAACATCCTTGTTTTCGGAACGCATGATGCGAAAAATAAAAGTTCCATTATTACTTTATGCATTATACTAAGCGATCGGGCATGCGACTCGAGAACTTTCCGAAAGATGTGTAATAATTTTGACTTAAAAGAGAATCGTACTTTTTTGCGATCGATAAGCACTTGATTTCGAGTTCGGCGGGGCGAGCGGCAGCAGCGATGCCGAGGCAGAAAAACGAGTAAGGTTCAAAGTTATCTCTTAGTTCATACAATCGAAAGAGAGCACTATAGTGGTCTGACTGAAGCTAGCTTCGTACTACTAGTTTCCCAAGGAAAATACGAGCATTTATCGATTAAGTGAATAAAGAAAGCTTTTATCCTTCTTATTTTTGTTTCTTTCAAAAATACTACTCTTACTTTCTCGCGATCTCGCTTCTTTATTTTGACACTCTGAGGAATAAGAGTATGAGTTCTACAACGAGAAAGTATATTTGAAGAATAAACCTATTTTAGAGAAAATTCCTCGTCGACGTAACGTTGAGCAAAACTAGATTTTAATTTTTAACCGACTCTAAGTTGAATTTCTCAACTTTTCCACGGACGATCGAGGAATCGTTGAATTGAGCTTCCGATTCAGACTCGAACTTTTCCGTGTCGAATGATAATGAATCATAATCTCTCAGTTGTTATGTCCTCGGAATAAATCAACGTTCGTCGCGCGAGCCAGCTGCAATGAGGTATTTAACATTCACTCGATGATATCTGGGTAATGTGGAGCAAAAAGAAAGGGTTAAAGCTAGGACTCGAGTTACCCGCTGGCTAAGGTTCATTTTCAAAAATACGTGATAAAAAACTTTTCACGCTGTATGATAAAATAGTGAATGAGAGAACTTACACGGGATGGACGAAGGCCTTTTTTAAATTCAATAATGAACATCACAGACTGCATATTTTTATGTTTCAAGTACCAACTTTTTTCGTTCCATCCGATGGCACTTTTTTGAATGATTCAACAATTGCGCAGATACGCAACGTATACACCTTTCGAGATCCAGATATTTTTTCGGGCGTAAATTCATGTATAGAAGTAATTATAGTTGGATGAAAAATGAAACTTTTGTGCGTGCCAATAAGTTAATTCGCAAAAATTTAATTAAATCCAGTATGATATACTTTGTTTATCAAACTCGCATTTACGTACCGTTATTAATAGAATAGAAAAAAACGGATTCATAATTTTCAAGTCAAATATCGATCGAGTACGCAGCCAAGTAATTACCCTTATTATTTTTAATTTTAAAATATACGCACTTTTGCGTAATAATTATAATAAGCTCATTGAATAACGAGCGCTGCATTTCATAGTATCAAACCTCGTTATTGCTCGCAAGATTAAAGAAGTTGGTGTAGTGTAGACAATACCCATTCGAGTCATAAATTATGTAATATCGACGATGAAATATGGTAAACAAATCTCCAGCGATTCGTTGACCCGTTCTCGAGTGCTCGCCTCGTTGCAAAGTGAAAATTACGATGTGTTTCGCGCGCGCACTGCACTCGAGAGCGTCAAGTAAAAACCGATGATAAATTATATAATTCCGAATCAATAGTGACATTTATATTTTTCAATCGTGGCTGCTGAAGCATCGCGCGCGTTCGACGCGAAAAGCGTCATTTATCAGAGGGCGCATATACACCGTTTTTTGGCATTATTTCAGGCCGATTCTCGGATGTGCGGTTTACACATTGCAAAAAAGATTCACCGCGCCCGAATCAATCATCTGTGTGGCGTTTGCCGTTGATAAGCGGCTCCTCCGAAACTAGGACAATTATTCAGTAAAAAAAAGAGCAACTTTTTATTTTTTTTTGGCTTTTTTTCTTTTTATGTCACTGGATCATCAATTTGCTTTTCTTCGTTATTCGGCTACAAGAGCATATAGATAATAGTCTCTTTCACGGGGCGCGTAATCCAATTAAACTTTGCAAGCTCGTTAATTATGCACACCTCGGTGAGTATTCCAATTGATTCATTGCCCATTGCCGAGAGTACCGCCTACGCGTTACCTTCGTTGTCGAATTTCTCGAGGTATGAACATTTTTGTCACTACTTTGAATGAGAAAAAAAATCCCCGGCAATACGATTTTTTTACAAACTCGTTGAATAACCGAGAGTACATTCTGAGATTGAAGATATGTCAAAAATATTTAATTGGTTTATCGCAGAGTAGTTTGTACCGCTGCATATGGGAAATAAAGAGCTAAACGCAAAGTCGAGAAAACACGTTGGCAAATTTTTATCGTGCAGCTCTATGCAAAGTATGCGGAGAAAGAAAAAGGAGGAGCGCGTCGAGGCTCCGACACTTCTGGAGAAAGTCGAATTTTCTGACACGATAAACTTTTCATAAAATATAAAAGAGCCGGGGATCGGTGGATTTCCTAGAGGTAACGAGCTAAGCTAAACAAGTGCCGCTTGTATATGGCCCGTGGTGGACTTTTAATGAAGGAAGAATTTGAAGGATTTTTCCCAGTGCGAAAAATATTTCTCCTAAGCTCGTAAAAAAATTATGCCAGAGATCTAGGATGGAGAAGGAAATGCTCGTATAAAAAGGGTGGCCACGAGTGCAAAAGTAATGAGGAAATCAAGTTTTATCCAAAGGCTGAAAAGATGCGCTCACCTGCATTGTGCACGTGTGTGTGGGTGTTGGTACTACATCCTCCGAATGTGTGTGCACATACATATATCTATATGTAGCACTCGAGTATCACATGCCAAAGAGCTTTAGGCAAATATTCGTGCATCGCATATCTCCAGCTTGTATTGTGCATAAGTGCTAAGCGCGCGCCAGTAGGCTTGTGGTCGACCACTTTCCCTCCTCCTTCTCTCGGCACACTCGGCCTCTCTCTCTCTCTTCGAGGCATTATGCAAATCCTAGTCTGGCTCTGTGTGTCGGCGCAGTTACGAACGAAATCGTAAGCGCTGGGCGCATGATATCATCTTACCCGTCGCTCGACGCTGCTGCACAAGGCATAAGTCGAACAAACGACCTCAATATATTTTCATTAAACATTTTAACGAAATTTATTATTGCAAGGTAAAGTTGCGCTTATATTAGCTACAGGAGTGCGATCAAGCTTACAAAATTTCATCGTCGGTATATTGGGGTCTTGGAAGGTGAGCGACGCCGGAGCCATTGATGCGTTGACATTATTAAATTCAAAGCTGCGTAATGTAAGAGCTTGTCGTGTCAAAATGCGCATTTAATAGGAGATGGGGGGAAGCTTTGGTTATACTCAAGCATCCATTGATACATTTTTGGGGAGGGGTGAAATAATATTTTCCTTTGTTGGAACTTTTATTCGAATCATAGGCTGAAACTCATTGGCACACGAGGTATTGGGACGCAAGTCGATATAGGCGCTCGGTTAAGCACGGTGAATGTTTATTCATGCAGTCGCGCGCAAGCACCATAGCAGCTGTATTTACGATCCGATTTCAAGTACTGCATATCTATAGATGCACATATATACCTTTTAAATAGGATATCCGTAGGAGCCTCCAAGCAATTTATCATAAGTCCAGCGATGGTTTCTCTCGCGAGCCACCCCCGACCCAGCCCGATTTCGTCTATGCGCTCGTATCGGGTCCTCGTAGAGTTACTAACGATGACGTCGCGTACGCGCTCGTATATATTTTTATGTAAATTTACGTCGCGTGCATTGTAGCGCGAGTAGACGCAGCGCGTGCACAGCTGGCTCGAGCGCAAAATTGTTCGGGCGCAGTTTCAGCAGTATCGAATTAACGCAAGACAACCCGAGATCCAAGCTCCAAGTTTGAAATACTAAACCGAGTGCGGGGCTATTCAAGTTTTTACGTGACTAAAACTCTCGATTCGCTC